CCCACCCCGCAATCGGTCGTATGTATCATACGATGCTTAGAAATTGGAGCTGCTGGATGATCGGCAACGACCGTCATTCGGCGTCGTCGTCGTGGTCGTCATCGTCATCGTCATATCGTCATATCGTCATATAGTCCAGCGCGCGCGCGAAACGACGGCGGCAGCACGGAGAGGAAGGAGGAAGAGAGAGAAAGAAGGAGAAAAGGAGAGCGGCACAGTGGGACGGCGGAAGAAATCGTGTCTCACCTACATTGTGTGGGTAGCGGAATATACTACATCTGGATGCGTTTTGATGCTCCCCCCCCCATCTACATTCGGATATCCGCTTTAGCTGCCTACTTGTGAAGAAAAATGCATGCCGTTGTTTAAGCCTCACTTTTTGCGTCGGCATACTTGCTTCATCTGCGCACACACATACACACACACAAAAGGATCGCCGTAGGCCAATTTCTTTTTTTTTTCGTCACCAAACTGCGGAGGAGGAGGAGGAGGAGGAGTATTTTCGAGATCCCGCTATGACTTTTCTTTCCTTTTCGATTTTCCCCCGCCCGCGAGCTTTCTTTTTCCCGGAGATCGTCTCTCTAAAATGTTATGTATGTATGTATGTATGTACAACCCTTCCTACCCCTTCCCGACAATCCTTCCCTTTCTTTCCAACTATATAGGCTCTCGGACATTGTGAACGACTAAAGAGATCGGGCAGGAGATAGACAACAGCAGCAGCAGCAGCGTAATCGGGAAGTAGTAACCGAAAACGACGGCGCTGGTTAGGTTCGAGATGGTAAGGAAAACAAAAGAGATAGAAAAGAAAACAACACACGGCATGACGCAGTAGCAGCCAGAGCACGCGGCGGGGGGCATTGGAAATCACACACACACACACACACACACACGCGCGCGCACATGGCAAAAACAGAACGCTCCGATATTATGCACAAACCAGAGAATGCCACCACACCCATGACGCTCTTCGCCAGGCAAAAAAAGCATCCCTGACTCTTTTTCAGCTGATAGCTGGAGATACTTCCGACGATAAGCGGCACATCCAAAATAATGATCAAAAACATCGGAAATGGCCAGAAGCCCCCTCATCAGCACCCCCTCCCCATCTCTACCATGCTCGAAATGAGCCGGCCTAAGGAGGGGGGGAGATGAAGTGTGCGACTCCCAATTCTTGTTCTCGCTGACTTTGAGGCGCAACGAGTCCAAATGTCTGAATTATCTTGGCCAAGTTGCACCCCGGGGGCACCACGGACACACGTCAAGGCATGCCGGAGGCGCGGCTGACCTGGTGATGGGGGAGAGTAAGAGTGCAGTGGACCTTCGTTCTCGGCTCCAGGGGAGTTTCGAGCACGAATGTCCCCACTGCTGCCAAACTGGGGGTTTGTTGTATGACAGGACAAACGGAAGCCCTCTTGTGGGATCGGACTCCAAGTCTGGGAGGACTTCAGGAGGTGCAAAGTGGTAATAAAAGGCCGTCTCGTCGTTCGGATTTGAATGTTGTAATGTAGATGTCTGGAGCTCGCGCAAGGGGTATCTTGGTAAATGAGGGTTTGACGTTGGCTGTATGAGCTTGTCCAAGAGCAAGGGAGGTCGGATGAGTAATTGTTGGAGAGGTGGTTGGGATTTTATCGAAGGACGTCGGGTCAATGTGTTGCATTCGTAATTGGGTCAGCCGTCCACTGTATGAGCGTCGAGCAAATGTCAAGTCAGCAGGAAAGGATTTCGGTTGTCGTCAGGCGAGCCTGTTATGGCCACCAGCCCATTCGCTTGTAACTTTCTACGACGTCCTCAAGCTTGTCCTTTGTGAGGATGGGGTGCTTGTATCTGTTGCACACCGGCCCATTAGTTTCGCAGCCCCCTTTGATTCGTCTCGCAAGCATTAGACTTACTCAAATCCAGTCTCTTGCTCAAAGAGACTGCCGTCCATGCTGAGATCGGTATCCTTGAGGATTTCTTTTTCCATAAAGGGGCTCAGCGGATTGGGGTTAGCCTTGGAGATGCCAGCCTTCTCCTGCAGTTCCGCCCAGGGATCGAGTGTCTCATCGTTGACGTCGTCGACGACGTGCTCTAGGTTCAAACGGGCAAACGCGGAAATAAGGGTGCCGTGGAAACCGGTCGGGATGTTGAAGGTCTCGTGTATTAAGTTTGCCAGGATTCCTTGAGCTGTACGCACGGTCCTATTAGCAATGCCGAACGCGAACGCGGTTTGCTTGGACCCTGTGGCACAAGACAGAGCAGCGGTGCACAACGCAAAGCACAGAACACGCTAAAGAAGCGGAGTTCAGATGGCCGGACCGCCAAGCATGTGCGCCGGCATTGCTCGAGACGAGCGCGAGCGGGTGGGGCAAGAGTCCAATGCAATTTTTCGCTTGCCAACGCAGCAGATTCTTGAGGGACGGGGAGGTACTCACAGGTGTTGGTGTGGTCGACGACGTTGAATATGGCTGGCTTGGGCTTCGGCTCTGCTTTCTTGTGGTACCAATCGGCCGCGGTCCACAACGCGCGGGCGACATCCTCGACATGAACCGTGTTGGAGCGGAGCTCGTCCTTCCACAGCCACTTCATCTCCTTGCCAAGCGACTGGTAGACGCGAGCCATGCAGAGAGCGGTTGCCAGGAACTTGCTGGTGTAGGGGCCGTAGACGTGCGGCAGGCGCATGATGATCAGGTTCAAGCCCTCGATCTTGGCCAGATCCTCCTCGGCCTGCAGCTTCCACTTGGCCATCTTCAGCCACGGCTTCAACTTGTCCGTCTCCTTGCGCGGCGGCGCCTCGGGCTTGTAGACCATGCCGGTGCTGAGCTCGACGAAGGCCTTGACCTTGCGGCGGGCGGCCTCTCCGCCGACGGCCATGGAAAGGGCGTAGGAGCGCATCTTGTAGACCTCGTCCTCCTGCGAGTAGCGTGTCTCACCGCCGCAGTTGAAGACATAGTCGAACTGCTTGCCGTCGGCGCGGTCGAAGATGCGGGTGAGGGATTCTGCACGGCTTAGCGGGCGGCGGGGGAGGAGGGATCAGGGCGCGCGGCTACTCACGTTCGCGCGAGGCGTCGGCCTGCATGAACTTCTCGCGCGAGCAGGCGTCGGCGAACTCGGGGGCCAGCCATGCCAGCTCGGGCAGGTGCTTGTCGACGATGCGCACGTCCGAGGCCAGCTGGGCGTCGTGGAGGTGCTTCGCCAGGAAGCGGCCGGTGTAGCCTGCAAAAGTTAGCCGTGGCCGGCAGCGGGAGCAGAGCGAGCTACGCACCCAGACCGCCGATTATCAGCACCGAGGGCTTGTCGGCGGGGTCGGCCATGGTGATGGTCGGGCTCTGTCGTGGCTGGGCGAGGGCGAGCAGGAGCGGTGCTGGGGCGAGAGGGCGCGAGCTGGGAGAGCGGTCGTGGTGGGCTGGGCGGGAGTGGGCGGTGGGCGTGCGGTGCAATTGGCGTGGTCTGGGAGGGCGGTGTCGAGGAGAGCGCGGGAGCGGTGCGGGCTTGGGCGAGGGGGAGGGATGTGATTGTTCGGGCACACTGGCTGGCCTGCTGTCTGCCTGCTAGCCCGGGGGGCAGGTTTGCTTTAATGACCGGCCGCGCTGCGCTCACGGGCAGCAGATCAGCAAATTTCCCAGTGGCCGCGCCAAATGGCGATGATGCAGCTCCGATCATGCAGCCCCGTTAAGCTTCATTTTTTGCGACTGCGCGCCCTCTGTGCGACCCGGCGTGTGCTGCCCTCGCCGTCGCAGCGGGGCGCCGCCGCGCTCAGGCACACCTCTGCACGCTCAAGCCATCTTCCCAGCAGAACGCAAGCGCTGCACGCGCCGATAACAGGGTCAGGTGAGCCGCTGCGCCAGGCACTCCCGCTCCCCGGCCAGCCTCTCCGTCGACGGCGACTCTCAGGATCCGACGCTGCACGCAATTCGCCATTGCGCCATCGCGCCCCAGGCCCGGACGTGTGCGAGACGCCAGACGCCGCCCGGCGAGGGTCTGCCCGCCTGCCCGCCTGCCCGCCCGCCTGCCTGCCTGCCTGCCTGCCTGCCTGCGTGGCCCCAGGTGCCCGCCCGACGGGGCCCTGTCCTCGCGCCCCGCATGCGCCTCCTGGCCGGCATTCCAAAAAGCCCTATCGATCTGCACGCCTGCGATGCGCGGCTTTTTGGGTTTTCCCGTTCCCGTCGAGGGCCGTCATCGGTGGCGGCGCCATCTCCCCCTCCGCGCGACCATGCCCAGATTGCACGCCACTTGCCAAAGACATGCACGCCCACTGAAACTTTTGTTCCTAGCTTCTCTCTATATATGTCATGCCAGATGAGGCACACCCAGCCTGCAGTGACCCGTCAGTGGCACACACAGAGATCGTCCCGCACCTGCATGAGCGGCCGCCGGGTCCCCAGTGTGGAGAGCTGCCACTCCGAATCCCTCGCAAAAACCACGCTGAGAGCCCAATGAACCGCTCCATGCCAAACGCCCCGACGGCTGTAGCTTGCCGGCCGCTATGCAGATGCAATGCCATCCTTTTATTGCACCTGCCCAATGCAGGCCTACCCCACCTGCCTTCGCTTCAAGAGATGCCGCACAAGGGCCAAGCCGTGCCCCTGCAGCGAGGGTCCACGCTGCCGCACGCCCGTCGAAAAACCAAAACACCACTTGCCTTTTCAAGAGATCTCAGGAAAAATAGCAGCCGGCGGCGTGAGAACTGCAAGCCTTCTACCCTGCACCAGACGCCGATAAAGCAAAAAGGAATGCAATGGGAGCTAAAACTGGGAAGAGATGGTTGTGCTACTGTGCCGGCCCCTAGAACTCCCAGTCCTCACCGGCCGACTTGATTGCCCAGTCGAACTTCTCGCGCAGCGTCTTGGAAAAGAAACGCTCAATCGGCACGTTGAACTTCTTGGAGAACACCACCGTGAGGCGCGGGTCGATGTAGTTCTACACCAAGCATTAGTACAGCCATCTTCCCGGCACATCTCAGCCACACTTACGATCTTAGACGTGCCAAGCGCAACTTCCTTGTTGTTATCCTTGTCCTCCAGCTGCACCTTCGCCGTCTCGATGCGCTGCTGTAACTGCTCGACTTTACTTTCCAGCTTGTCCACCGTGACGCCCTTGCCCTCAGCCTCAATCTTTTTCGTCTTGTTCTCCTTCTTGAACTTCTTCTCCAGGTCGTCTGCGACTTCGAGACGTTCTTGGAGCTCCTTGGCCTTCATCTCTTTCTCACCATCGGCCACCCGCTTCTCGTTTTCCTTCTCGAACTTCTTCTTGATCTTGTCACGCTGCTCCTCAACGAGTGCCTGCTGATGCTGCTCGACCCATTCTTGAGTGAGGTCTTCGGGGAGCTCAAAGTACTCTGCTCCCTTCTTCTTCTTGATCTTGTTGTCGAGGTCAATCATCATTTGCTTGACGCGCCACTGCTGATACCGGAGACCGTTGATCTTCTCCTGCATCTTCTCGATCTGATTACTGTGATTGGCAGCAACAGTTCTCTTGTGGTTGCAAAGGATGGCAACCTTCCGGTTGGCTTCGTTGTAATCCTTGACCTTTTCGGCAATGCTTCCGATCGACTTCATCTCCCTGAGCAGCCTTGCCATGGTGTATGAGGCGTTGTAGGTACGGAAAACCTTTGCCGTCAAGCCCTGCATGTAAGTGCTGAGATATTTGTTCAGACCTGAAGTGGTCAGTCTATCGAAGACTTCGTCGCCATCCTTCTTGGGCGCCTTCTTGAAAATCTTCAGGTTCTTAAACACCTGCGGCTCGACTTCGACCTCGTCGTAGAAGCGAATGCTGTCCTTTCCGAGAAAGTCAAACACTACCGTGTTCGGCGGCTTCAGCGTGATGTTCTCATACTTCAACGAGCAACAGCCAACGGTATCTGCCTCGTCCTCTCCCTTCTCATTTCCGGCACGGAGAGCGAACTTGTCGATGAGGTAAACAGCCGTGGCACGCTGGCGATCTGCCATGACTTCAGATTTGAGGTCGCGGGTGTAATCCTTCCGAATGCGATCAATGTGCTTCTTGAGCTCTCGCGCCTTTTCGAATTTTTTGAAATCGCTCTGGCCCTTGATATCGGAGTTCGCGGCAAGCATGACGTACTTGTAGGCACCGTTAATGTTCTCTTGCCACATGGCGAGCCAGGTGCCTGTTTGGTCATGCTTGACTTCCTTCCACTTGTGACCAGCCGGCGGTGGGGGAACCTTCGCATCCTTGCCAATGTTGAGCGTGATCTGCTCTGGCAGAACCCTCTTCTTGACCTTGCCCGTCTTCGGGTGTTCACCACGACCACGGAACAAGCCGGGCGGTTCGACGCGGAAGTTGCCAACCTTTTGCTTGCGACCATCCCACTGGCAAAACATGTAGGCCGCTTCAGCTTCATCCTTTGCTGCTTTCAAAGCTTTCTTCTCCGCTGCGGGCAGCGCTTTCTTGGCGTCGCGTTGGGCCGCGTAGTATTCGTAGATGTCCTTGAAATCGCACTTGTCGAACTTTTCGATTTTGATCTTCTTGCCGTCCGGACCCTTGGCGTGACCAGTCTTGTCCAATACCTCTTTGAAGTCGTGGAAAAAGTTCTTCTGGAATGTGGGATTTTCAACGTTGTGGGTCGAGTTCAGCATCGATCCGAAGAAAGTGGCAACTTCCTCGGCGTCCTTGTGCAGGGTGACGGGGATTCCGTTGTACTTGAGCCTGACGTTCTGTGGAAGAGGCTCATATTCCGGCGGAAAGACGACACCATTGTGCTCCAGTGTCTGCCATTTGATGGAGTTGTCGCCCTTGGTCGGATCCTCCCACCATTTGTACTCCTCTTCCTCAGCATCAGCCTCCTCGTCGTCGTCCGTCTCCTTCTTTGCGGCAGCTTTGCCCTTGGTGGCCTTCTTGGGTTCGGCCACCTTCGCCTTGCCTCTCTTAGCAGCAGGTGCTTTTTTGCTTAGAGGGAGGTCGTCGTCAGACTCCTCCTTCTTCACCCCGTTGGCCTTTCTAGCAACCGGCTTTTTCTTCTTCGATAGCGGAACGTCATCGTCGCTCTCGCTTTCCACCTTCTGGGGCTTTCTCTTGGCGGGCGCCTTCTTTTCCGCCGCGCGGATAGCCTTGGCTTCCTTCTCAGCAGCCTGCTCAATGTGCTTCTTTTCATCCGCAAGCTTTCGCCCGAGAGGAATGTCGGAGTCAGAAGACTCGCCTACATCCGCTGGCTTGATCTTCGGGGGCAGCTGCTGCCTTGCGGTCGTCTTCGCCAAGGGTACGTCGCTCAACTCGGAATCTGAAGCTGAAGTCGCCTTGGGGGACGAGGTCTTGCGCCGCTTACTCTGTAGAAGACATCAGCGCAAGTGAAGCGCACAGATGGGATGCAGGGGGACGAACCAGTGGCTTATCGTCCTCGTCTGAGCTGGAGGATTCCTTGTAGCTTTTCCCGTTGATGCTCGCGCGCTGCTTCCGCTTCCCGTTGGCGACACCGTTCGGCTCGTCGATGTCCATTTCTCGGACGGGGCCATTGCGTATTGATATGTCGACTTCGAGCTGACCGTTCTGACCGTTCGAAGGCACTTGCTTGTCCATGATGGTGTCCACGCTCTTGGGTATGGTGTGGGCAGACATGGCTGGGAGGACGACAACAGTCAGCAATGCAGGGAGGCAAGACAAACAAAGGCAGGTGAGGTGCAAGCGGGCACGCAGGTGTGAGGGGAGGCGTGGAAAGCAGGTGGCGCATGAGGGGAGCAAACTGGGTGCCACCGGCGCATTTCAGCCGAACGAGTGGATACGGGACGTGACGTACCGCCGTTGGCCTTGCCCTTGACGAGGGGCGTGTCGCTGTCGGAGGAGGACATGATGCGAGGCGGGCGACGTGTGGCGGGGAATCGTGCGAAAGGGAATCCGAGTCTGCGCTCAGCTGCGACAGCCCGCTGAGTGGCACCGAGTCTGGCGAAGATGCGCGAACCTAGTGTTGCTGGCTGGGGGAGAGTGGTGGGCGTGAGCCAGCGAAGGCCGACGCGCGCGGACACGGGTAATTGAAGGCAGGCGATGATGGCGGACCGCAGCGGGCAAAAGTGCACACTGGAAAGCGAAGAGAAGGGAGCGGGTGTACAAAGGGAGCTTAAGAGGAACCCTTCGATTCTGGCCCGGCTTGATCACGTGGCCACGGCACTAGCGAATCACCGCAACCTCGCCGTGAGGTTGAGAGCGCAACATCTTCTCCGCCGACCATCCGGAGCACCACGCCCACGTCGGTTCGCATCGTCCGCTCATCACCCAGCCCTCCGCTCTCTCCCAGCCGCAATGATGCTCTCGAGAGCTGCCCGCCCGGCTCTGCGAGCTGGCCAAGCGGCCGTCGCCCGGTAGGCCTTCCGATCGCCCGCGCCCACGCCCGCCCTGCGCTCCGTCCTCGATTCGATGCAATTGGCATCAGATACTGACTCTGCGCGTCCAATTGCTAGCCCCGCGACCGTCAATGTCGCCGCCGCTGCCAACTATGCCACCCTGCGTGAGATCGAGGACCGTCTCAAGTCGATTCGCAACATCGAGAAAATCACCAAGACCATGAAAATCGTCGCCTCCACCAAGCTCACCCGCGCCCAGCGCGCCATGGAGTCGTCGCGTACCTACGGCCAGGCTTCCAACGCCGTCTTCGAGCAGGCCGAGACCAAGCCGCTCGAGGAGTCGGGCAAGAAGGACCTCCTCATCATCTGCAGCTCCGACAAGGGTCTCTGCGGTGGTATCCACTCGGGTCTGTCCAGGTACACGCGCAGGGTCCTGCTGGAGAAGCCTGACACGGAGCTCGTCATCCTCGGCGAGAAGTGCAAGTCGCAGCTGAGCAGAGGCAATGCCAAGAACATCCAGCTCAGCTTTGCCGGTATCGGGAAGGACATTCCTACCTTCGCGGACGCTACCGCCGTTGCGGACCAGATTGCCCGTCTCCCCGGTGACTACGGTTCCGTCAAGATTGCCTACAACAGATTCGTCAACGCGCAGGCTTACGAGCCCGTCACCATTGACGCTTTCTCGGAGGAGGCCATTACCCAGTCCGGTTAGTTTTCGGTCCGGTGCCCCCCGTGGAATATCATGTACTGATGTCGCTTAGAGAACCTTTCCGCGTTCGAGATCGAGGACTTCACCCTCCCCAACCTCCGTGAATACGCTCTGGCCAACTCTCTTTACTGGGTACGAGACTTGTTCTAATCAACTATGGGACGCTTCTGACATGTTCTAGGCTCTGGCTGAGGGTCACGCCTGCGAGCAGTCCGCTCGTCGCAACGCCATGGACGTGAGTGATATGGACCATTCCAAGATATGGCTGGGTACTGACTTTGCCTGTAGAACGCCTCCAAGAACGCCGGCGACATGATCAACAAGTTCCAGATCCTCTTCAACCGTACTCGCCAGGCCGTCATTACTGGCGAACTTGTCGAGATCATTACTGGTGCCGCCGCTTCCGAGGAGTAAGAGAGATAGATTTGACAGCATCTATTGAAAAAATCCCATTCCGTCGATGCCGGAATTTAGGTCAAATCACCCGATTGCGTGTATGTAGAATACAACCGTTGTCTGATATCCCAACATTGAGCAAACGTTTTGTGAGAAATACATTGGGGAAATAGCTAAGCACAAGCTTTTGTGAGTGCAGCCAATCCGACTTCTGGTGCTGAAGCGGGTATGTCTGAAACAGCTGACAATGCCAGCAGCCGTTCAAGAGTTTCAGGTTGTAGCACTAGACTCTACTGTCCACAAGGGGTGTGACTCGTTGACCTTGACCCTCCTAATTGACTATATAAACCCAGACGATTCCTAGCGATTTTATCTGCCCACATCCCGGCTGGTCGCCCTAAACCAAATCAAGGGGAGCGGATCTCCAGGTGCCGAGGAGGACGTGATGCGCTGGTCCGGAATACGATGCAACCGAAGGGTTAATCAGCTCTGTGGCAAGTCTAACCAAGAGCAGGGGGCATGGAAGTTATGTGCTGAGCATGATCAACACAAAGGGCAAGATGGATACCTAGCTCGGTAGAGGTGGGATCACTGTGAGTGCAATGGGTAGGTGAGATAGCATGCCTGTGGGCCAAAGAGTCGTTCGATGCCTGCGCTCCTCGGGCCGGGGTGTGGCAGCGGACAGGCGACATCAGTCAGGGATTGTGTATTCGACCCAGGGCCCCCAAATGGAAAGCCTAAAGCCGGATGCATCACGGTATCTGAAGGCCCCAACCATCACAGATGGGCTGGATCACAGCGGTTGGCCAAATATTTTGAGCCAATCAAACCTTTATCAACTGCCCTCTGGTTGCGGAAATATGCGGACGGTTGGAATGTGCCGAGGCCCTCGAGGTGTACCAAGTTCTGCAAGGCAGCTGCCGCGCTTCGATTACTCGACGATAACGCAAGTAGGGAGCATGGTGTTGCGGTCCCAGCGCCTCGTCCAACCGGCATAATCTGAAACGGACGGATATGCCCTGTTTTATGCAAGCCACAGGGCGCCTCACAAAAAATGGAGACGGTGTGATTTTGTTTGGACGGCCTGCATGGGCAATTACTGGATATGGAAGCCGTGTAACCACCAAAGTTTCCCGTTTTGCATCTCCAAGGGGCATTTGACCTGAAGCCTTAGAGCCTCACGAAGACCTGGAGACCCCGTTCTTCCCGTCAGAGCCTTTTACCGGTCAGCGATCCGCGTCCGGGGTAATATTTTTGCGCCAGATCCACATTTTTGGAGGCTGGTCACCGCTCTTGTCGTGACGCTCTTTGTCCCGGCAGTCGCCGCGCGCAGCAACCCCCGATTTCTCGCCGACCGCGTCCAAGACCTTGTCAACACCGAGAGCCCGCCTCACTATACCCCCTAGCCTCGGATTTGACTGAATTCCCCGACTCTGCTGCGCGCCGTCCTCCTCGCACTAAGCAGCAACCATGATCCCGACGCGGGACATCGGCACCCGCTACAATGGCCTCGCGACCGTCCCCACGTTCGGTTTGCACGTGCCGCCGTCGGATGAGGGCAAAGGTGACCTGCGCAAGATGTTGAACGAGGTGAAGCACCTCTACTTCGACCGTCGCTACCGGCAGTGCGCTTCCAAATGCCTGGAACTTCTTGACAAGAATTGTTCGGATGTACGTTTCCTTGCCCTTTGCTCTCTTGCGTGCCACTGACAATAGTCATTGCAGCATCACCCTCTGGTCCGCACTTTCCTTTACTTCTACGCCGCCCTGTCGTACGACTCCCTGGCGCGGTCAATGCACAATCATTCAGTGGCGCGCGTGCCTTCTCTCCAGCAGTCTGAAGAGTTCTACAACAAGGCGCTTGCCACGCTGCCGGAGCCTCTACCCATTCAACAAGACGAGAACCGCCCGCAGTCGCCGCCGAAACTGTCCCTCAGCCTGCCAGCCCAGGATGACCAGCCTAAAGGCAGGCAGCCCGTACCCAGCATGTGGGACCTCACTTCAACCTTCGATGCATTCGACCTGTCGTCTTCGGCCTCGAGGCGTCACTCTTTCAACAGTTCGAAGCACTCTCGGACGGACTCGCTCGTGACCGACGTCTCGTGGGCTGAAGATATCCACTCCGACCCCTTCACCGACGACAAACGTGACCACAAGCCGGAGAACAACTACCTCTCCGTCGAGCCGCCAAGCATCAAGCGCCCATCGCCGCTCCAAGTTCGCAAGGCCAGGTCCAGCGACTCGCTGCTCTCCGAAAAGAGCGCTCACACGGACTCGCCAGCGCAGACGCCCAGCCGCAACAACAAGAAAAACAACAACGGCCTCGACACCGCCTTCCAGTTCCCGCCCCCGGAGACGCCCCCTCCTCAGACGCCCCCGCCGCAGACGCACGGCTTCGTGGACATGGTCGAAGGCACGCCCATCCAATGGGCGACGACGCCTCGCTCCTCGCAGCAGCAGCGACAGCGCCAGCTAAGCGACTACGACGACACCGACGATGACGAGGACCACGACGCCGCCGCCGCCGCCAACAGGAACAACACGCACGGCAACGACGCGGACCCGACCACTCCCACGCCCGCACGTGTCGCCGCCCGCACGCCCCTCGAGCGCACGCATCCCTGCCCGTGCCTGCTCTTCCCCCGCGACCTCTCCAGCACCAGCCTGCTGCCGCTGCCGCTCGCCGCCCGCATCCAGCACTACAACGGCGACCTGTCCGCGTTCCGCGCCCAGCTCGTCTCGCACCTGCTCGCCATCCAGCTGCTCAAGGCCGGCGGCTCCCACAGCCCGGCCTCCAGCCGCTCCGTGTCGGGTTCGTCCACGTCTACGTCCACGGCGACGGCTGCTTCTCCTTCTAATTCCGCGTGGTCCGAAGCCACGGCCACGAACTCGGGCGGTGCGGTCGAGGAGAACAGGCGACGCAGCGGCGTCTTCGCGCCCGCACTGTCGTTGTCGACTGACGCGACAACCGCTACGCACGGCGGTGGCGACGGCGGCGACGCTGCTGCTGCTTCTTCCCCTACCGTCTCGAACAGCCGCGGCATGACTCCCGGCCAGAAGGAGGACCGCATCCGCGAGGGCAGGAAGAGGATGTGGGCGCGGGAGCGCTTCGACCCGAGCGGCTGCCGCGAGCTGGCTAGGCTGGCGTTGCAGGAGTGCGAGGCGTGAAGAATGGTTGGTCGTCGTCGTCGTCGTCGTCGTGGTATGATCGGGCGCGCGCGCGCGCCCTTTTTTCCAACGAACGAACAAACGCACATCAACAATCACACGGCACGACGCGCTCGTTGTTTTCGTTTGCCCTATTGGAGGAAGTAGAGGAATTTCTATCCTCACTCCTTGACCAATTTCCCTTCTCACCCTTGTTTTTTTTTTCCTTTTTTGGTTTCCTTCCATCCCCTTTCCGTTCGAGCTTGGTTGTGAATATTATGAGCGAAAGAGTACGAGATGATTGACGACAACGAGACGAGACGGCCCGTCAGGCGGATCATTGAACGAGAGAAGAGCGGCATAGTAGCACTGTATGTATGTACGAGAGCGAGAGCGGGAACGAGAGAGCGAAAGCGAAAGAGCGTAGGTATTGGCAGGCATTTTGATTTCCCCCTTTTTTTCTTCTTCTTTTTGATCAACACCCCCATAATGTTTGTAGAGCTTGCCAAGACGGAGATACCCTTCAGCGATAGCACGATATTTTTGAGAAGACACGAACCCTAGAGATTTTGACTTTCAGAGAAGTTCTGCAGTTGTATTCGATTGATTCTTGGTAGTGGGGTGTGGAAATGCTCGACAGTCCGTTGCCCAGATTTAGAGACCAGGAAAGCATCTTTTTTACATTCCCATTCACCGACTTCTATAAATCACAGATGTAACTTTTGATCGCAGAAAGCAGAAAAGTCACACCCCCCAGGACTATTCTATTCCCCTTTGTGATCCCATCGCCGTGAAATAACATCGAAAACATCGAGCAATGTCCGCTCGCACCATTCAAATCCAATCCGAAACGCCTTGGCTATGCAAAATCCATTTTCTAGGGGAGGAAGGGTATACCGGGAGAGAGAGAGCAAGGGAGACTACCTCATCAGGTTCGCCATGTTCCTCTTCATGATCTCGCACTTGACCTTGAGCGCCTTGACGCTCTGGATGAACAAGTCGTCGCTGTCGAACTGGCCGGAGCTCTCGACGCTGAAGATGAAGTGGTCGCGCACGCGGCCGAGCTTGACCTTGTCCTTGAACTCGTCGTGGCGCAGGACCTCGCGGGTGACGGTGTCGTTGAAGGGGTTGGCGACGACGGCCTTCTTCTCGCCTTCGTGGCCAGCGTACGGCGAGCCTGGCTGGGCCGCCTCGGCGGCGGTGACCGTCTCCTCGGCGATGACGCCGGCGGGGAAGCAGCGCGCGAACTTGTGCGCGTCGGCGCCGAGGATGGGCTGCAGGATCTGGATGTGCGGGAGCAGGCGGTAGGTGGCGGTCGCGACGGGCGAGAACTTGGCGTGGTCCGCGCCTATGCTCTTGATGCAGTGCATCGAGAGGTTGATGCTCTGGCCCGGCCGCAGCTTCGCGATCAGGATGTCCGGGTGGACGGGCTGGATGGCCCCTTCGCCGGCGAAGAGCTCGGTCTGGCGGCCGGTGGGGACGAAGTTGATTTGGGATGCGTATACTGTGGGTCGCGTCAGCATTGATGTGGTAGAACATGGGGAATTGCGTGCCGTACCGCTGGAGTTGATGAAAAGCTTCTTCGGGTCCGTCTCTCCCTTCTTAGCCAGTTCCCTCGCATCCGGCGCCCAGTCGCACTGCACGTTGAGCTCCATGACGACAGTGTTGTAATCGGTGTGCGCGGCTTCCTCGGATTCGCCGCTCTCGGGCTTCTTGTACCAGGTCATGTTTCTGATAGCCTCGGGGTTTCCTTTGAGCGGAATCAGACCTAGGCGGTGGGCCAGCACCTCGTCCTGGATGATGGAGGTGTTCTTGATGATATACACATCCTCAATAGCGAGCGTGGGGAGCTCGGCGATCAGGATACGGCGGAAGGCGTTGGCGATGGCGGCGTCAATGCCGACGAGAGAGAACTGGGCGTCGAACTGCTCGTTTCGGTGGAAGTCGACGTGGAAGTTCTAGGAGGCATGAGCATTGTACGACTCGAGAAGCTCGGCGGCCAGCGCGTACCTGCTTGAACTTCTCCAGGCTCCATTTGTGGTCCTCGCCGGGGAAGTGGCCGGGGAAGTCGGTGGAAGAGATGTTGGAGACATGCTCAGCATGGACGCCGACGAGCTGCGGTGAATTAGCAAAGCGTGATTGAGAAGGGCCAAGATGAGCATACCCGGCGGCGCTCCAGCTCCTGCTGGGTCGGCTGATGCTTTTGAACCATGGCGTCTGGGCGAGTCTTCGTGCAGTCTACTGCTGTCGGCGCATCGAAAAAAGTTGCGACTGCTCTGAACTTCTGTGGCGGGAGAACTGCGGCCGAGAAACTGCCGCCTGTCACCGCCCTGCAACTCGGCTCTGCAGCATGCCCGGGAGGCGTGCGAAAGCCTGGCCGCAACACGACGGACAGGCTCGAATGACGACGACGACTCGTGCTCAAATATCACTTGTGCCAGTGACATGATCCCCGGAAGGATGCACTCATCTCATCCTTTGGCTTTCTCTAGCTTCAGCGAAGCACAATCGCTTTCGTGCGAGCCCATTCCCTGGATTTCGCGGGGTGGCTGTTGGCCATGGTTTCGCACGGGGCAGCGCAGGCCGGCTAGCCAATCGTCGTGGATTTGAATCGTCGACCTCATCATTCGGATACCCAGCTCCCGCTCATCGCCTCTCCACTCTACCACTCGTCGCCCCCGACAATCGACCTGCACAGGGCCCGGCATTGTTCCCACCAGCGACAATGCCCGTCTCCCTCGCCAGAATCGCCGGTCACACCGCGCGGAGGCTCGCCGTCGCCTCCCGCGCCCCGGCCACGCGCAGCGCCCTCCCGCGCTACAGCAACCTCGCCCGCAGCATCTCGACCTCGATCCCGCGCCACTACGCCGAGCCCCTGCCCACCACCCATCTCATCGAGACCGAGGAGGACTACGCGACCCCCATCAACGAGACCACCCTTCACCAGGAGGAGGCCGATGCGAAGGGCCGCAAGATCCGCCACTACACTGTCAACTTCGGGCCCCAGCACCCGGCCGCCCACGGCGTGTTGCGTCTGATTCTGGAGCTCAATGGCGAGGAGATCATCCGTTCCGACCCTCACGTCGGCCTGCTGCACCGTGGCACCGAGAAGCTCATCGAGTACCGGACATACCTGCAGGCTCTGCCCTACTTCGACCGTCTCGACTACGTTTCTATGATGACCAACGAGCAGTGCTACTCGCTGGCCGTCGAGAAGCTGCTGAACGTTGAGCTTCCCGAGCGCGCCAAGTACATTCGCACCATGTTTGGCGAGATCACCCGGGTCCTCAACCACCTCATGTCCGTCCTGTCACACGCCATGGATGTTGGTGCTCTGACGCCTTTCCTGTGGGGTTTCGAGGAGCGTGAAAAGCTGATGGTAAGCGTGGCACTCGTGAATCGATAAATGGCGGTCGGTTTAATGCTTTGCAGGAATTCTACGAGCGTGTCTCCGGCGCCCGTCTCCACGCTGCGTACGTCCGCCCTGGTGGTGTTTCTCAGGATCTTCCCGTTGGCTTGCTGGACGATATTTACCAGTGGGCTACTCAGTTTGGCGACCGCATCGATGAAACCGAAGAGCTCCTGACGGACAACCGTATCTGGATCGGCAGAACCAAGGGCGTTGGTGTCGTCTCTGCTGCCGACGCGCTCAACTACAGTTTCACTGGTGTCATGCTCCGTGGTTCCGGCGTGCCGTGGGATATCCGCAAGTCGCAGCCGTACGACGCCTACGACAAGGTCGAGTTTGACGTGCCCGTCGGCGTCAACGGCGACTGCTACGACCGCTACCTCTGCCGCATGGAAGAATTCAGACAGTCTCTGCGCATCATCCACCAATGCCTGAATGACATGCCCGCCGGTCCCGTCAAGGTCGAGGACTACAAGATCGCCCCCCCGCCGCGTGCTGCCATGAAGGAGAACATGGAGGCCCTCATCCACCACTTCCTGCTCTACAGCAAGGGATACTCGGTCCCGCCGGGCGAGACGTACAGCGCCATTGAGGCGCCGAAGGGTGAGATGGGTGTCTACCTCGTCAGCGACGGCAGCGAGAGGCCTTACAGGTGTAAGATCAGAGCGCCTGGTTTCGCCCACCTGGGCGGGTTCGACCAGATCGCAAGAGGTCACTTGTTGGCTGATGCCGTGGCTATCATTGGTACGATGGATCTTGTGTTTGGTGAGGTCGACAGGTAAAAGACGGGTGGACAGTAGCATACTAGGGGGTCAGAGAGGCAACCTAACCTTGTACATTTGTTTGTAGCGCCGATTACCAGACGGTATGAAATTCCTTTTGAACAGTCCTTGAGTTCCACTACGTGTCTGTGAGTCGCGTTTTCAATCAGTGCCGTTCATATATGGTCAGCGTCACGTTCTTCCGCGAAGAGAGCATTGTCAAACTCTACATTCACTGCTCGTTCCCAGTCTAGCGTGGCTTTCCTCCGGCCTAGCAAGCTCTATTTCCATGAATCGGACTGCCCTAGCATACTTCTCTCCCTTATGTTTGAGCCGTCGCCATGACTCTCAGCGTCAACGCCCGCCTCGCTTAACTATGATGGCAAGCGATACGGTCCAATGCCGAGCATCCGGATACCACGATAACGGACAGCAGCCACAACATGGCTATAAAGAATTACACATCGGGGCCGGCCGGGTTGCAGTTCATGCGGTGCCTGGCAGGGCCAAGCGTTATCGCGACCAATGAGACAGCCCACGGACGCAACGAGGGCCAGGCGCGAGATACGCGAACACGCCCGCCAAGGCGCCTCATCTCCGCTCCACGGCGGCTGAGTAGCTCGAACGAGCAGACACCTTCTGTTTCACGAAACTGGCTGCTTGGCACCTGCTTGGACGTGGCGACGCCGGCGACGACATGTATATAACGAGCAGCTGCGGCGCCTCGTCGTTGGGAAGAGGAGGAGACAGCAGCCCTTTCGCCCATCCCGGCCGTACTCGAACATGTGGATTTCTCCTGGGACCTCGTGGGCCAGTCTCGCCGCCGCGGCGCTGCTGTGCCTGCGCACCGCATCCGCCGTCACCATCAGCGACATCAACGGCGACGCTTTCATCTCGCCACTCAAAGGCCAAGCCGTCACCAACGTGACCGGCCTCGTCACCGCCAAAGGACCCTCGGGCATCTGGATCCGCTCGCCCACTGCGTCCGAAAGCGTCGGGTCTGACTCCATCTATGTCTTCTCCAGCAGTGTCGGCGCCAACCTTACTGTCGGCGACGAGATCCGGCTCGATGCCACCGTCGCCGAGTACCGATCCTCGTCCGCGTATCTCTACCTCACCGAGCTGTCCTCGCCCAAGAACGTCGTTCGTATCTCCTCCGGAAATGCCGTCGAGCCTGTCTTCGTCGGCGGCGTCAGGTCACCGCCGACGGAGCAGTACTCGAGCCTGGATGGTGGCGACGTCTTTGCCGTCCCGAACAACGAGAGCCAGATCTCCGTCGTCAACCCCACGCTGCAGCCCGAGTTGTACGGCATGGACTTCTGGGAGAGCCTGTGCGGTGAGCTGGTGACGATCGAGGCGCCGGTGGCGCTAGCGAAGCCGAATTCCTACGGGGAGGTGTGGGTAAGGGGCAACTGGACGGTGACGGGCTTGAACGGGAGGGGCGGTCTGACCATGACAGATGCCGGTACGTCTCCCCAAGAGCACACCATACTCACGAGAAAAACGCAGAGAGAGAAAACAAGCTAATCGCGATTCCCTCCTTCTTCAATACCAGACGCCAACCCGGAAGCCATCATGATCGGCGACGCCCTAGACTCCACCACGCACCCCACCACCATCAAGCTCGGCGACACCCTCTCCGACATCACCGGCGTCGTCACCTACGCCTTCGGCTCCTACTACCTCCTCCCCACCACCGCCCTCGCCGTCCTCGCCTCCCCCCCCCCCCCCCTCCCCCCGCCCACCACCCTCGCCTCCACCAACTCCTGCTCCGGCCTCACCTTCGCCTCTTACAACGTCGCCAACCTCTGGGCCAACTCCTCGCACCTCCCCACCATCGCCTCCCACATCGCCGTCCACCTCCGCTCCCCGGACCTCCTCTTCCTCCAAGAAATCCAAGACGACAGCGGGCCCGCGACCTCTGACGGCATCACGACCTCCAACCGCACCCTCGCCGCCCTCGTCGCCAGCATCGCCTCCCACGGCGGGCCCGCCTACGCCTTCGCCTCCATCGACCCCGCCTTTCCCGACGCCGACGGCGGCCAGCCCGGCGCCAACATCCGCCCCGCCTACCTCTACAACCCCGCCCGCCTCGCCCTCCTCAACCCCAACCCGGGCAACGCCACGCAGGCGACCGTCCCCCTATCGCCCTCTACCCTCTCCTTCAACCCCGGCCGCGTCGACCCCGCCAACGCCGCCGCCTGGACCGACAGCCGCAAGCCGCTGGCGGCCGTGTGGCGGACGCTGGACGGAGACGGAGAAGAAGGAGAAGGCAGGCTGTGGACCGTCAACGTGCACTGGGCGAGCAAAGGGGGGTCGAGCACGCTGGCGGGCGACGCGCGGGCGCCGGCGAACGGCGGGGTGGGGGTGCGGCGGGCGCAGGCGGAGGCGACGGCGGGGTTCGTGGCGGATGTGCTGGCGGTGGATCCCCTGGCGAGCGTCGTGGTGGCGGGGGATTTCAACGAGTTTGCGTTTGTGGAGCCGGTGGTGAGGTTTGTCGAGGGGAGTGGTGCATTGAGGGATGCGGATGTGGTGGCGGGGGTGGGGGAGGTGGAGAGGTATACGTATCTTTATGATGGGAATTGTCAGCAGTTGGATCATGTGTTTGTGAGCGAGGCGGTGGCGGGGAAGGGGGTGGAGTTTGAGCATGTGCATGTGAATACGTGGGCGGGGGCGGAGGGGATGGCGAGCGATCATGATCCGAGTGTGGGGAGGGTGAATGTTTGTGTTTGAGTGGGACGGACGTGGGGGAGGGAGGGAGGGAGGGCGGGCATGCAGGCCTTGAGGAGCTTTGGGAATGACTGGGTGGCTTGAGCGCTAGAGAAATGTAGGCCGCGTTAAGGGACAAATCTGGAAATGGTTCAGATAGTAGGCAGTGATGAGATACTCGAGTACTTCTAATATATTGATTATCGTTGACTTCGGAAACTTTGGAGAGAGGAGAGAGGCAGTATAGCCTGGAGAGATGTTGAATGCCAATCAGGAGGTCCAAAGGTGATGGACGATATAGATTTTGTTCCACTATGACAGCCATGGATGAGTTTGTCGGTGTGTGACCTTGTTCAGCAAAGAACTTTGAGGGAAGGCAATCTGTCTTGATCCACAACTTTTTGGAACTTGGCGACTCGCAGTGAAGAAAAGTAACGTGGTAGCTGACCAGGTTCTGAATGGTCTCTGAATGGGTAAAGGCAGGAGCTGGACTGGTCAGATATGCCAGGCTAGATATGGGAAACCAAAGCCGTAGCGAGGTTGAGAATGCTGTCACCAACTGAAGGGGAAGTCTGATCAGATGCTTTGTAGAACAAGCTTCAGCCCGTAGCCTGAAGGCACTATGAGATATGGTAGACAGAGGACTGGACCATTTTGAGCTTGCTCTGACGTTAGGTTTAGGGAGGCGCGAGCATCGAAGGAGGCAAGATCGTCGCACGATTCAGTGATAACAAATTCCAACAACAAGCGATCTGCACAAGGCCATAGCGTGGCACTAGACACTTCCAGTTGACCTGGAAATAGACTGGAAGCCCCAGACGAGTCGTAATGCAAGTTTTAAGAGTGAATGTGTATCCGCATAAGGCCTGCCTGGAGAAGAAGAGACCGTGTACTCCTCCGGGTATCTTTGAAGTGTAAAGCATGTGAAGCAACTCTAGCGCTTGCTAGACAGAATGTGACCAAACCAATCCGTTATCGAATAAAGGCGAGCAGCAAAGGAGCTGCAAAGCTTACAGGTGCTGCCTGCCGGCGCGTTGAGCTGATGTCTAGAAGTCCAGTCTCAACAGTTCGCAAAAAATGGCGCGCATGAACTTGACTGCTCCTTGCATGCTGACGAAAACCGATCGACCGTGTTTGTCCCCAAACGTATCCATGACATGCATGTCGACAGTCGGGAGATAAAGTTCCGAAGGCTTGCAGAGAGTCTGAGGAACAGTGGTGCAGATAGCCGCGTTCGTCTCGGATGATGCGAGCATTAGGCTTCGGGCCCGAGCAGTCACGGCTGAAGACTTCCTGTTTCTGCGGGCTGCGGGATCATCAGGCTGCTTACCAAGCTGCAGCCAGTTGTCGTCGCTTAGAGCGGGTAAGGAGTGAAAACCCAGAAATAAAATGGCTCACGCACGGGGAGAAGCATGTGGTAGTACAGGGTGAGATGTACATACATAGATACTGTGGATCCACCAACGTCTCGAGGCGGGGTAAATGCGTAGGGCGGGGGGTGCAGGCCCGGAGCGCGATGCGGAGCGTCGTTCTGGTGGTGTTTGGATCGAGGACGCCATATCACTGATCCTTTTGCGTCCATCGAGTAACCATTACCCTTTCAAAATCAACGATTCGCGCGGGATGGAGCATGCCAAGCTCAGCACGCACGTTGGACGGCTCACATCCGCCACATGGACTGGAATCTCTCCGGCACATGGCAAGGATGCCAGTCTGCCCACCAATTCCCGCGGTCCGTCTGGCAAAGCAGCAGCAGCAGTGAAGAATGATTAGCTCTGGGGGGTGGTTGCCGCCTGGTTGAAGCCTAGCCGGGGAATGCGGAGCTGTGGGGTAGGCTGTCTGGTTCTGGCCGTGCTTCGAGCCTCTGGCCTCCTCTCTCCTCCCAGCTCGACGCGGGCGCAGCAGCCAACATAGGACTATCGAGCATGCCGGTCAGGCGTCACACGGAGCCGAGGGGTGCATGAGGCTGGTGAGCAGCGGAAGCCGTTAGCCAGGCTGATGCGACGTCCGGAAGTAACGACGGGGCCGGCTCGGGACAGACGGACGGATGGTGTGCACATCGGCAGGGCGCACACGGGGCCGAGCAAGGTTGCTGGCCGTGGTTGAGGCTAAGGTGGTGCGGTGCTGTGGGCGTGGCGACGCGTGGGGGTCGTCGGTGGAGGCTGCGCGGCTGCGCGGCTGCCAGGAACAACAAGCACTCGTCTGCTCGTCTGCCTCCGCATCCCCGCGCATTCCGAGATCTCAGCACCGATGCACGCGTCCACCGCGTCCGTATCACCCCGCCCGGTCCCATGACGCGCGCCCTGTGCACTGCTGTGCCCGGCTGTGCCCTACGATGCACGCCCATGACAGCAGGAAACAAGCAGCAGCCAGCGCGAGCCTCGCGTCTTGCGGTGACAGCTCCATGATATCAGACGAGCTGGGCCAGGCGACCCCCACGCTAAGTGGTCCCGCACCACGCTCCGCACCACCGCCAATCCCCGCCCACGCTCCAACCCTCAACACCACCCGCCTGCTCGCTGACTCTCCCGATTGGCCTGGTGCCTGATCCGTAGGCCACCGTCGCCTCCCGCCATGGCTGCCCTCCTGTCCGCTGCTGCCGTGTCCGGTCCGACCTCGACACTGCAACCCCCACGCCGTCTCGAGCCTGCCCTATGCCTGCCCTATGCCTGCCCTCGCCTGCCCTCGCCTGCCCTGCGCCTGCCTATGCCTGCTCCCCGGTCGGCTATTTATTTCCACTCCACTCCGCTCTCTGCCTACACAGCTATTTATCCCACGCGTCTCCAGACGTATATCAATTGCCCCATTCGTGCCGACCCCGCGAGCTCTGCGCCGGCTTGCTCTTCGCCGCCCTGATCTCGCCATATTATAAAACCACATTAACATCTGGACCACCATGTCTCCCCACCAAGACACCCCGCCCTCCAGCGGAAACCACGCCACCATGACCGCCGGCGCCGTCCAACAACCCGCCATCACCAACACCACCGGCCGCCGGCCCCTCCCGCCAGGCGTCTACGTCCCCACCCCCGCCTTCTTCGACCCCGTCACCGAAGACATCGACGTCCCCACCACCGCCTCGCACGCCGTGCGCCTCGCCCAGGCCGGCGTCGCGGGCCTCACCACCCAAGGCTCCAACGGCGAAGCCGTCCACCTCTCCCGCGAAGAACGCAACCTCATCACCCAAACCACCCGCTCCGCCCTCGACGCCGCCGGCTTCACCTCGCTGCCCGTCCTCGTCGGCTGCGGCGCGCAATCCACGCGCGAAACCATCCAACTCTGCCGCGACGCGCACGCCTCGGGCGGCGACTACGCGTTGATCCTGCCCCCCGCGTACTACCAGGGGCTCTTCGCCGCCGGCAGCGCCACCGGCACCGTCGCCACCTTCTTCGGCGACGTCGCCGCCGCCTCGCCCGTGCCCGTCCTGATATACAACTACCCGGGCGCGGCGGGCGGCCTCGACCTCTCGTCGGACGCCATCGTCGCGCTCGCCCGCGCCCACCCCAACATCGTCGGCGTCAAGCTGACGTGCGGCAACACGGGCAAGCTGGCGCGCGTCGCCGCCGCCACCGCCGCCACCACCACCGGGGGGCGCACGGGATCGGGATTCCTCTGCGCCGGCGGCAGCGCCGACTTCACGCTGCAGACGCTGGTCGCGGGCGGCAGCGGCGTGATTGCCGGCTTGGCGAACGTCGCGCCCAAGGCCTGCGTGCGGCTGGTGACGCTGTACGAGCGCGGCGAGCTGGAGGCGGCGCGGGAGCTGCAGGCCGTGGTCGCGAGGGGCGATTGGGGCGCCATTCAGGGCGGCGTGGTGGGGACGAAGAGCGCGTTGGCGTCGTGGTTTGGGTATGGGGGTTACGCGCGGAAGCCGTTGCCGAGGCCCGGGAAGGAGGAGGCGGCGAGGTGGAAGGGGTTGTTTGAGGAGTTGGTCGAGGTGGAGAAGGGGCTGTGAGGGCGGGAGGGAGGGGTACTAGGTTTTTCCTTTTCCCGGCCTTTGTTCGACGTTGTTTCTTCAAGGCTGGTCCTATCCATCTTCTGACGTGCGTTGTCGTCGTCGTCGCCGCCGCCGCCGCGGCGATGTCATGGTAGCGAATGAGTTTTTTTCTTTTTTTCGACTCGAAGCGTAGTTCATTGTTTGCACCGTATTCCTGGTTTCTTCGCCCTTGCTCCCCCCTTTGCTATCCTCTTCGACGCATGAAGTGGCGCTTCGGGTATGGAATCTTCAGGTGTTCCCTTTCCAGCATGCCGAAGAAAAAGGGGAGTCAATAATCTCCGCAGTTCCACAATATCACATCGCATCCCTACTCGCTCTGAAACTCGACAGAGTGACATGGTGTGCATGGTTGATATCTGCATATCTGCAGCTAACGGGAGATCTTACTGAATCGGGAAACCGCGCGGAGGGATTCATGGGGTAAGGGTGGGTTAATTGTTCGCCCCGCGTGGCGAAAAGGATAAGGGGACCCGTCCGTCCCGTTGTGGCAAAGTAGACGTACGTACCGGAGGAGAGTGGGGGGGAGAAATGGAAATGTGACGTGTCTTATATCTTGCGCGTTCCGGCAAGAACGCGGAGCGGTGGACTTATTGAAGGGTCGGGCAACGGGCTTCGAGAAATTTAGTGGCGTAGAGTCAGTCGTAGGGGAAGCTTAGCACTTTTCTCTTGATAGATGGCATGTGGCCGTCTAAAGGGAATTCGGCTGGCGGCCATCCGTGTATATGAGAAGGTAATCCATGAGGCTTTCAATCATACAAGGGCCATCCTGCACGGTTTGCCACAAGAAAGCTTGGGGAACAGCTGTGACCGCCCTACTGGGGTCCCTAGTGGACTGACAGTTTCTAGGTAAGTAAGTCTTGCTAGATGTACGACCCCCACATCTAGATTGAACTCCAGCTATCCTTGTACGCAAGGGTCATGGCATCTTTTTCAACATGAAATCAAGATATCTTCCGCAACCCACTGCTTCCCGTATTTCAAGACACAAAAGTTCCAGACGACGACGACGACGACGACGACGACGACGACGACGACGGACGACATAAAACAGATACAAGCATCAAAGCAGCAGAAACAATCACAACTCCTCATCGTCCTCGACAGAAACCCGCGGCACACCGGCAGACGACGTCATCGCTGGGGCTCTGACGCCATTGCAGTAATCATCTATTTCGCCCAGGATACTGTGCCAATCAGGTCCCCCTGGGCCGGAAAAGTTTTCGGGCGACCATTTTCTCCTTGGAGGAGGGGGAGGCTGGTTTCGCGTGTTTTCTGAGAGCCCGAGCTTCGGATCAGCTTCTGTGCAAAAACGACAATGGTTTTGTTTTCGGGTGGCATTACCTACCCCGGTGGCCTTCCGGAGAGCTTGTGGGGGGCGTTGGCACTGCCAATGTCGCGTCCGAGGGAACGGATGCTGGCATAACGGGCGATGACGTGCTGCTCGAAGACTCGGACTCACAGGTCGGAAAGGGCGCGGACTTTCGCGCTGGAGTAGGTTGTGGAGTAGGTTGTGGCGTCGCTGGAGCGTGAGGTGTGCGCCTCGTCGTTCTGGCTGCAGGCTTTCGAGGTGCTTCTGCGGAATGATTTAGCATTGCGACGAATAGCTACGCTCAGGCAAGTCGAAAGATGGCACCTCAGGATAAAGGCTTGTGTACAAGGTCTCATGTTGGAGAAAGGAAGAAGGATGTACATTTCGCTGACATAGAACTACCTACCTTGTGGTGGTGGCGGCGGCGCCTGACGGGCATGCCTTCCCACAATCCTCGCCCCCTCTTTCAAATTTCTCAACCGCTCCTGAAGCGTCGAACGCTCCCTCCTTGTCTCCTCCGACTCAGAGGCCAAGTTCGCCAGCGTTTCGTCATCCATGGCCGACACGACTCCCGGCGAGAAGATGTCGGGAAGCGAAGAGACAAGACAGCTTTCCACGGCGAGAGTGGCCGCATTGTCGATGAAAGTGTGGAGAGCAACCTTTGATCCCATTAGCCAGGTTCCCAGCCGCAACCAAAAGTCTCCAGACATACCTTATAAAAAGCCTCCATGCAATACAGCAGCTCCTCCGAAGCGGACTCGCCTTCGTCGACGTCCCCATGCCCCCCCGACGTGATATTCAGCGCATTTACAATCTTTTCCGGCGACGTCTGGATCGCCGCCGACATATCCGCGCCATACCAACGCCCTAGACGCGACGAAACGTCGCTTTGCAGCTTCTTGGACCTAAGCTGCTGCATCGACTCGCGAAACAGGGGATGATACGTGATCAGATGCTCCGACTTATACGGCCTCAAGAGCTCCTCGATCTTCGTGAAAAGCTCCTTCCTCTTCGCGTCCATGATCGGCTGGATGTGGTCTTCCAAGAGCGCGTAGTTCGTGTGCCCCTCGGTCAGCGACCCGAGCAGCGTCTCCAGGAAGCCGAGCGCGGCGTGCCAGATGATGTCGGCGTGCTCCTTCACAATCACCTCCCACGGCCTGGCCTGCTCGCGGAAGATGTCGCACACGAGGAGCGGGTTGTACATGCCGGGCAACTCGCAGCCACGACGGCTGCGCTCCTTCTCCTTGATCTCCTCGATGAAGTCGGAGCGCAGCGTGATCCTCGGCGCGGGGGCCGAGTTCTCGAGCGGGGACCAGCACCCGGACGCGCCGTTGTGCGACGACGAGACGCGCTTGTAGCTGGGCTCCGCCTCGGTGGCGCTGTTGACGATGGTGCTGCTGTGCCCGTACTTCTGCATCACGAACGCAAACTCCTCGTTGGCGTTCTGCACGACGGCCCGCAGCCGCCGCGGCTGCGCCTCCTCCTCCGTCGGCAGCGTGAAGAACTCGTTCCGATACGTCCCGCGCACCGCATCCAGCGTCAGCCGCTCAAACGTCTTGCTGATCTCCACCAGATACGCCCTCTGGTCCCTTGCGCTCTCCCGCGGCTCGCCCATCCGCGCCAGCCCCTCCTCGCACTCCCGCACCCCCTTCCTGATCTCCTCCTGCAGCACCGGCAGCTCCGTCCTGATCTGCCGCAGCAGGATGGCGCCCAGCCGCGCGCGCAGCGCGTCGACGCCGACGTGCGCCTTGACCACGCTGGCCCAGACGCCGTTGGCGAAGAAGTCGCGCTCGGCGCGGTCGCGCTCGTCGGACGACGCGTCGCGCATGGCGTGGTCGCGGTTCTTGACGACGTGCCAGCCCAGCCGCAGCTCGTGCTCGGCGTTCTTGACCAGCCGCACGACGCCGCGCTCGTCCTCGCCGCCGACGACGACGCGGTCCGGCTTGGTGACGATGCCGAGCGTGCGGCGGCCCGAGGGGTCGGCCTCGCGCGCGAGCCCCAGCACCGCCTGGTTGGCGTGGTCGTAGTTGGCGGCGACGACGGCGAGGATGACGGAGCGCGGGTTGGAGGCGTACGACTGCGTGAGGCGGCGGACGGTGCGGACGTCGGCGGCGGTTTGGCCGCGCGCTTGGGTGTGGATGAGGCCGGGGAGGTCGACGATGGTGAGCGGGGGCCAGCTGGGGCCCGAGATGTCGAGGTGGAGGACGTCGTCGTTGATGGATTTGTTGGCTGGTGGCGTTGTTGGGGAGTCGGGGGACGGGGACGAGGTGCCGTTCATGCACTTCTTGGCGTCTTCGATGAGGGCGGGGAAGTCGGACGGGTTGGTGAAGGTGGCGGTGAAGCGCTTGAGGCGGTCTTTGTCGGCGTCGCTGCGAGAGGGCCCCGGGATGATGCTGATTTTGATGGAGCGGCGGGGCGAGCGGCGCAGGGCGACTTCCGTCGCGAAGGTGGTGCAGATGCCGTCTTTCGAGGGGAAGGGGAGGTGCGTGATGGCTTCGAGGAGGGAGCTTTTGCCGGAGGATTGGTCGCCGCAGACGATCAGTTGCGGGAGGTCGATGTGCTTGCTGATGCCGTGGCCGCGGAGCTCGTCGATGACGTCGAGGAGGTTGGCTTGATCGCCATTTTGGAGTTGGCCAAGTGCTGTGTCTTCTAGAGAAACAGTCTTCATCTCCACGTCTGGCTCGTCGAGTTTGACCTCGTTGAGATAAGTGGCGAGAGTCTCTGGTGAATAAGGAGGAGTGTCTGCAACGGGCCCAAGAGTAGGTGTGCCGTACGCAGACATGACAGGGCTGGAGAAATATGACATGCAATGTTCAAAAAGAGTTCAGATAAAAAAAACAAGAACGATGATCAAGAGTGGAAGTGCAGTAAACGAAATTGCTTTGGTTCCATCAGCGTTGAGTCCAGCGAACACTTACTTTATACTCATGGATCACCGCGCACGAGCTTGATAGCGTGGATGAAACCTGGTGAGCGATGTCAGGTGTAGCTTGGGAAGAGGGGCATGCACCCATGCTATTATTAGGCTACTACCCTCACCCATGGAGGTTCCAGGGGGCTGCTACATAGCCACTGGCTTCTTGGTATCCATTCAGCATCCGCGAAAGTCAGGCAGCAAGGCATAGTCGAGACTGGGCGGAGATACTAGCCACACGCAGTTTTTGCCGACTTGTGGAATGTATCCACAAGGCGATATCTGATCTGATCCCTTCCAGGGTCGTCAGCTCCAAGAGTGGATGATTGATAGCCTTGAGAGGGCGATAACGGCGTCAACGAGGTCAGTTCGTTAGCCGTAGAGCTGAAATAGCCGTCCGATGCTCCTTCCTGCAGGGGCTGCTACTGACGGCTCCGCAGTCGGACCGTGTCAGGTCTTCGGATATGGGGCTAGCGCGGCAAAGCACGCGGATGTGTAGTGTATTGTTTCCTCGTTCTATCTTAGCGACGGCGGGACGAAGACAATTGGGGTTTGCAAAGCTTCTTATTCACAAACTGATGTTGGCATTGAAGGCAGAATTACACATGCAAGTACTCCGTCGCCAGACCGGACGGTTGCTGCACTGCGTCTCCTGATCTTGATTGCATTTTTGCTTGGCCTCGATCTTTCCCGGAAACGTCTGGGGGCGAAAAGTGCTGTGCCGCACCAGCAAATCACCTCAGGATCCGCTAGCCAGGCAACGGGCGCCTAATAGCAGGCAAACATCGGCATCTCGGTAGATCAAACGCGTTCCGCTGGGTCGGTACAGGGAGAAGGAGATACTGCAGCCTCTACGCTTCTAAGGGCTATCAAGACCAGGGCCGTGCACTGCCTTGCTGTGCCGCATCGACGAATTGATGGAGAGCATCTGGCAGGCTTCCCGTGGCGGCGCTTATGGATGGAGTGCAGCTGAACGAGATCAAAGCGCAATTCCAACGGAAACTGTGTAGCCCGACAATGCAATGGATAAAAGCTGATGGCACTGAATGCGCGAGGTGTGGTGTTGAGATGCAGAGGCGTCGTCGGAGGTCCGGGGAAGGCGTGCGCCGCGTGCGGGATGACGTGGGTCGTTGGTTTGGCGCGTCAAGCGAACTTCGGGTGGCTGAGCCGCTGCAGCTCCCCTCCACCACATCCCAAACCGCCAGCCATGAGCGAACCGCCCGAGGATTTTTGGCTCTTTGGCTACGGGTAGGCGCCCGGCTCACCGCGTTCCTTCGTCCCACCTGCCTAACCACTTGTAAACCTGCAGAAGCCTGATATGGAAGCCTCCACCACACTATGGTACACACGCACTTCCCCCGCCATGAACGCCCACCACCTCCGCCGCGAATGCTGAGCCACCCGTGAACCTCCCTGCAGACCAGCGCCTCCCAGGCTACATCGAGGGCTATGTCCGACGCTTTTGGCAGGTACGTCCCGCAGCAGCCTGAGCGGATGCTGCGGCGCAGGCGGAGAAGAAAAAGTATAGCAACGCGCGGCAAAACATGTTTCAGAAGCACTACGGACGAGAGCAGAGAGAGATAACGGCCGCATTGCAGGCGAGGTACGCGCCCCCAGCCCCTCCCTTCCATCCTTGCCAACGCAGAACCACCCGGCCTGACCGAACTCCAGCCAAGACCACCGCGGCACCCCCGAAGCGCCAGGTAGGGTCGCGACGCTGATCGACCGCGCCCACTGGGAGACATTGACCGACCACGTACGTTATCCACATACACACACGCGCGCGCGCGCCCCCGCATGCACAAGCACGGCATGGCACAGCACAGCGCGGCAAACATGAAAACATCGAAAGCAAAACAAGAAGAAGAAGCACCTAACCTCGTGACCCTTTCCGCCCCCACTAGCACGACGCCCCCGCCGAGAAGGTCTGGGGCGCAGCATACCACATCCCGGCCTCGCACGCCGCCTCGGTCCGCGACTACCTCGACATCCGCGAGATCAACGGGTACAGCATCCAATACACGCCCTTCCACCCTTCTTCTTCCGCCGCCGCCTCCGCCGCCGCGAACAGCAAACCCATCCGCTGCCTCGTCTACATCGGCCTCCCGGAGAACCCGCAGTTCGTGGGCCCGCAGGACCCGCAGGGGCTGGCTGAGCACATTGTGCGCAGCGTGGGGCCGAGCGGCGAGAACAAGGAGTATTTGTATATGCTCGAGCACGCGCTGCTGGAGCTGAGTGCGGAGAGTCGGGACGAGCATGTTACGGATTTGGCGAGGAGGTGTAGGGAGGTGGAGGAGAAGAAGAAGAAGGGGGATGATGCTGTTGGTGTTGTCTCGTCGACGACGGCGGCTGTTGATGGGCACCCGCTGCATAAGGTGGGGAGTACGGAGGAGCAGGAGGAGGTGGAGAAAGAGATCTAGATGGAGGTCTGGAAGAAGAAATGTAGAGGTGTTGAGTAGTTAGCCTTCATCCTTTTTTTTTGGTCTGCTTGTGTCTGAGGTGAATATTGGTTACGTTCTTATGGGAATGAGCATTGAATTTTGGTAGTATGCAGGGAGAGGAGAGACAATGCGAGGCATTGCTGTCTGAACCCATCAACAGTGTAGCAGTGGGTACTTGGGCATGTAGAGCAGTGAATCCTGTCTCCAGCCCGTATCAGTCAGGCAACGCGCACTATCAAAAGTCTGCCACGTGGACTCTTACCTAAGGATTGAACAAGTTCAACGCATCCAATGGTTTGCACAACGAAACTGCGGATTGGGAGACCAAAACAGGAAAAAAGATATACATTTTCATTCACTACATAGTGTTGCTCCAAAACCGCCCATCGTATCTGTATTTGGACCTACAATTCTCCGTGTTCCGGAGCAGCATTCTCCTCAACGATCTCCTCAACCTCGATCTTGATAGGCTGCTGTTCGGCGTCTACCTTGACTTCCTCCTTGGACTCAATGATGACGCTCTGCGGCAGCTTCTCCTTCTTACCCTCACCCATCTTGATGGCGTCGATCCAGTCTTCGACATTCTTTTGAGAATAGTCGCTGCCCGAGTAGTGCTTCCACCAAGACTTCTTAGAGTTCGTAACGATCAGCTCGAAGTCCTTTTCGTTCAAGCCGAGCTCCTTCCGGAGCTTAGCAGCACCCTCGTTGTTGATAGGAGCGGTGAACACGGGGAACAGGCGGTGGCCTCCCTTGGTATGCTTCTTGATGACTTCAGTCAGGGATGCGAGCGCTAGCTGCGCCTGTTCAGGCAGCGGCTCCTTGGCGTCGGTCCTCGAAGGGAGAAGGGCCAAAATACAGTTGTGTGACTTTGTGGACAGACACTCCTTTTGAAGAAGCTCTTCGGTATCAAGCATGAGGAGTTGTGGACCAGAGTCTGTGACATCAACGGGCTTATCCTCGTCGGACGTGACGGGCTCCTCCTCCTTCTTGGTCTCCTTCTTGGCTTCCTTCTTACCGTTCTTGTCCGCCTTGGGCTTCGCTGGGGCAGGATCAGGGTTCGGTGAAGCGACCTGGGAGAGGAACTCGACCATGGGCTCCTTCTTCAGCTCACCGTCGTAAATGATGGCTTCCTTGTCGCCGCCAGGGAGCAGAACCAAGGCGGGGAACTTGTCAACACCGAGAGTCTCGACGGCCTTCTTCTCCTTGTTGCGGATCTGAGCGACCTGAACGCTTCCCAGGAAGTCAATGGCCAGAGACCGCAGGAGCGCGCTCGTGACGCCCTTCTCGGTGAACAGAATGGCCTTCGCGCCAGCTTTGTCCTCGTTCAGGAAGTCGTCGAACTCTTTGTCGGTCACGCGCTTGACGTGGTTGGGGATCTTCTCCACGACGGCGTCGACGATGGCCTTTGCGCTCCTCGCACCCTTGTAGTCCTCCACCACCGGCTTGCCCGGCTTCTTGCCTGGGCGCACAATCTTGAGGGTGGGGAAGCCGCCGACGCCCATCTCGGCGCAAAGGCGCTTGTTAACGTCGTCGTCGCAGTCAATGGCGGCGACCTTGGCGAGCCCGGCGAGGTTCTTGGCGACCTTCTCGTACGTAGGCTTCAGGTTCTGGCAGTGGCCGCACCAGGGCGCGTAGAATCTAGTTGCTGGGGTTAGAAGCTAGGACCAAGTGGTGTCGCGACTATATCGGCGGCTTACTCGACAATCTGGCGCGTCGTTAGCAACATTCCAGTGACGTCGCCGGGTCGAACTTACAGAAGTGTGGTTTGACTTCGCAATGAGGCTGTTGTAGTCCTTTGCTTCCACCTGCAGGACCGGGGAGTTCTTGGGGTACATGCCAGCGAGGGCGGGCGAGGAGAGGAAGAAGGCAGCCGCAGCGGCGGCCAATGCCTTGTGGGACACCATGGCGGACGGGAAGCTGCAGACGAGGCGCAGGAGTGGAGCGAGAGCGGGATCGTGAGGAGCGAGCAAGAAGCGGCGGCAGCTGAGCAATAATAAAGCTCGGGATTATGCAAACGTGCAAGCTGGCCTCAGTGGCGCTAATCGATTCGCGGGGGTTCGCGAAGGCGCATGTGCGCATCTCCCGCCGCTTCGAGGTGGCCAGAGCTCCAGGCGGTCAGCCGCTCTCAGCACCACAACGTCAGGCACCCGCCTCATCCCACTCCCCACCAGACACCCGCAATCCCCGCCATGACCTCCAATATACCCCAGGGCCTCAAGCCCGCCGACATCACCCGCTTTGCCCAGCGCGCCGTCCAGCTCGAGAAGTTCAAGCCCGTCGTCTCCTACTGGTGTAAGCTCCCCGCCGCGGCGCCGCTCAGCTGCACCCCGCCAAGCTAACCCCGGCCTGCAGGCGAATATTTCATCGTGAACCAGATCATCGCCAAGGGCCTGCACACGGCCGACGAAGAATGCATGCAGTACACCACCACTCTGATGGACAAGCTGGAGCAGACCAAGGCCCAGCATGCCGACAATGACGCCATCCTCGACGACGTTGCCGCCAAGGTCTACATCGAACAGTTTGCCCTCGAGACCTTCCAGAGGGCCGACAACGCCGTGCGCGCGAACAAGGCTTCAGCGTACGCACATAAACCCGCCCCTACCCAATTGTCCGCTGACGTGCCCTCAGTCAGACAGCAGACACCTTCCGCGCCGCCGCCACCTTTCTCGACCTCATGGGCGTCTGGGGTCCCTTGGATCCCGAGCTCGCCGCCAAGTCCAAATTCGCCAAGTACCACGCCCTTCGCATCGCCAAAGCCCTCAAGGCCGGCGAGGACCCGAACCTGTCGAATCCCATCCAAGAGCCCTCCCCCGCCCCCGAAGAGTCCGCCCCCATGCTCGACCCCAACGACCCCGAAGTCCAGCGTATAAACGGCACTGCTTCCTCGTCGGCGCTGCAACCAACCGTTGAGACGGCGCCCCCTTCCTTCGCGCCATCACCCTCCCAAGAGCCCAACGCCCCGCCTTTGCAGCCACCCTTCGCAGGCGACAACGTCTCCCCGCTCGAAGCCGAGGACCCGGACCAGGACCAGGACCCGGCCCGCCAGAACTCGGTCGGCGGCGGCTACTTCCCCGCCGTGCCGACCTTCACCTCCGAGGTCCCCGCCCCGAGCCTACCCACCGCGCCGGAGCAGGCAATGGACGACGCGCCCGCCCCGGCGGCCCCCGACGACGGCCAGTACGGCAATCCGAAAGACTTCTACCAACCACCCCAACCCTCGGCGCCCACGGCGTTTGCACCGCCGCCCCCGCAACAGCAGCAGCAGCAGCAGCAGCAGCCCGTGGCGCCTATCGCGCAGACCAACATACCTCCGCCTACGGCCTGGGGTGCGGATAGCTACAGGACGGACGACGACGCGGTGATGCAGGCGCAGAAGCATGCGAAGTGGGCGATTTCGGCGCTGAATTTCGAGGACGTGCCGACGGCGGTGAAGGAGTTGAGGATTGCGTTGGAGACGCTTGGGGCGCGGTGAGAGGTGAGAAGCATGAGGGACTTGATGCAGGTCGGACGGGGTGCACTTTTTTTTCTTTCTTTTCTTTCCTTTGGATTTGAGCGTGGGTTCTCATTTTGTATGGTGTAGATCCTCTCGTGTGCTGATTTTTTCCGCCCTTCCACCCTTTCCCCCCTTGCTGTAAGATGTGAGATACCCCGAGAGGATTGATTTTTTTTTTTTTGGTTTGTTCGAACAGTATACGTACGTTTTAAGCGGGCGGATGTTTGGAAATAAGAAATATGTAACTTTTCCCATCTTGTGCGGTGCTTGAAGTCTGGCTTGGGGCTTTTTGCGGTGAGAAAGCGGATAGTGTATGGTGGTGAGAGTCACATCATCGTCTTTGCTCCCACTGATGGGGCAATTCGGCGTAACGAGTCTGGGATGGGCGGACGAAACGGTGGAATGCACCATGATGATCCAGAGACGATTGGCGGGCAGGTGTCGAGCATATGCACTACCGCTACTGCTGCCTTTACTGAATGCACGCAAACAACTAATGCGGGATGTCGTAGACTAAGCAAACGGGCGTGCCGGTCGGATATACTTTGTTTAGTAACTGATAGAATGTTTAGGCCCTCCTATACTATGCTAGAATGCACTGCTCTTATGGTCAGGTTGGTTGCGAAAGAGCGGTCTTCGTGCTGGTGATGATGGTGGGCTGCGCTGTGTGGGGCACGTGGTTCTACCTTCCCATGTCTTGTGAAGGTTACACCATTCTCTTGGTGATGGTAAGCCAAGTGCACGGATAAAGCTCTAGGATGCATCCGCATAAAGTTGCTGGGCAAAGGCTCCTACTGTTTACTTCAGTACCGCGTTGGTACCTAGGACTCGGTTTCCAGTCAACTTCACTTCAACAACAGGACGACCCACCTGCAATAACTCTCACCGGGACTTGCTTCCACCTGCGCCGCCGGCCGGCGAAATGTTTCGCCTCTCCCCTTCACTGCTTGACTGGCAACTTAAATACGTCGACTTCTACTCTTTCCACCTCCCACGCACTCAACCTCAGCACCCACTCGCTCGATCGCTCGTTGTCTCACCCGCAAGGATGAACTTTCTCAACGCCATTTCAGCCACCGCGCGCAAGGCGTTTCAAGGCGTCTCTACTGTCGCCAGCACCGTGGTGAAAAAAATCTCGGACGCTTCGGTGAATATCAGGAACAGCTTCAATGCTTTTAGCGCTACAGCTCCCCGCAAGCTGAGGAGGTTTCTTCTCGACGCCCACTGCACACTGCGCTATAAGATTCGCCAGGTTCTCGACTGGATCAAGAAGCATCCATACCTTACTGCCTTGATCGTCCTCGCAATCATCTTGGCTATCGTGGTTCCTCCCGTCGCCCTCCACGCCGCTGGCTTCACCGCCACCGGTGTCGTTGCTGGTAAGTGTGAAGATAGAGACAACAATCTCGCGCGTTCTCACCAATGTTGTGGTTCAGTGAAAGTGAGACTGACCCACGCAACACAGGTTCCGCTGCGGCGGCGATCCAGTCATCCATCGGCGGAGCTGTCGCGGCCGGAAGCCTCTTTGCCATCCTCACGAGCGCTGGAATGGGCGGATACGGCGTTGCCATTCTCGTTGGCTGTTTGCTGGCCTTGTACGCCGGTGTTGCGGTTGGAGGGATTTCCACGTACCGGTCCTTCCACTTCTGAAGCTGGAATGACAAGGTTGGCAAATGTTTTATCACGACAAAGGCCTAGACTCATGAGAACACGAAGGAAAAGCAAATCGGAATCTGGAACACCGAAACTCCAGCAAGCATGAGATAGAGAACTGTCTGCAACTCTCTTTACAAGGCAGACTTTGGTTTACTCCTCTCTTAGCTTTAATGAAGAACCTGCGATTGGAACATTGACATGGGCTTTCGAACTGACTCGCAAACGATGCATTGAAGTGGTGACCTTATTCTCCGTTGAAATTCCACTGTATTACAAAAGGACCGGACCATTGGTAGCCATTTTTCTCAAGTTACGCACCGCCGCGGCCGAATACCTTACTCCGTACATATTAGCCCGAGAGCCTCTGACTCTGAAGTTGTGACTGCCACTAATCCCTCCCAGCACACTCTACATCGCACTCCGATTTCCGGCATTCATCCAGTGTGTTTGTCTTACTATTTACTCGCTTAAACAACTACTCCTTTTGGCGACTACCGACGTACATTAATCAAATATTTTTCTTTCACTTTACATCATCGCCTTGTCACCAACACCCAGATTTGCACTTTGGTCACAGTTGCCAACGCAAATTGAGGCAGAGCACCACCGAGGCCTCCAACGGCATCAGAGAACTCTCAAGAAGGGTTTCAATCCAACGAGTCAGCCACTCCAGAGACTTTGACCGCCCTCGAGACCAACCAAAACACCTTCATCAGCCTGGAGGCTTGCATCATCAAGGATTGCATCCACTCCCTTTGCTTCCCTCTTGCGCATCAGAGACTATCCCGCCGTCGAAAGCCAAAGCGTACAAGACAGCTGCCACCACGGTCAACATGCGCCCGTTCATCGCCCTTCTGGCCGACGCGGCCAGCGCTCCTCCCACCCGTCCAGCTGTAGGTGAGTGAGGCGAATAGAAAATTTTTCTCTCTTTTTTTTTTCTTTTTGCAGTTGCACCATGAGCCTGCGAAGAGGAAATATTTGACTGAATCCACACAACAGGCTTCAAGATTGCCGCAGCTGTTGCAGTCGCTATTGTAATGGTGCGCGTGGGAATCTTAAAGCGAGCAGATGACGATGACGAAGCAGCGGATGTATTGGTCCCGGCTTAGGTCACGGATGTTCTGGGTGATGAACGGCTGGTTGTCACTGTCGATTGGGCTCGGTTGATGGGGTCGGTTCCACTCGTCTCAGTCTGAAGGAACTACGATATTAATAGAGGTGCACCCACAGTGCTAGACGAGAAATTCAACGCCTGATGGGCTGTCACGGGTTTGAAGTAGTGATAGGATTTCAGATTTCCTCAAAGAGCGGTCCGGCTGTGATGACTCTACATTGAGAGCCCCGTAAAGGTAAGTGAGATGCTTGATCTTGTTGATATGCAAGAGCTACCAGAACACTTCACTACCAATCGCGACTACAGTGCACGTTGCGTGTTTTGACGGACGATATTACAACAGACCACTCAAGACTATCTAGGAACCCTCAGCCGCGGGCTTCTCCTCGTGTTACGTCAATATCCGACGCAAGTTTAATCCAACCGTGTTGTCCTCATACGCCCAACCTCTATGTGCTAACTGGAAGGCTTACAGGCGGGACTCTGAGCTCTATGTAGTTCATGACAACACTCGCAGCATGGATAGATATAGTATCACGTGAATGTTTGAGCAATAATTTCAATAGCAGAGTTCATGTATATCCACCACCACCACCAAATCCTTCACAAAGGGCTATATGGACCACCTTGGGATATCATGCGCATACGGAAAGCCAAACGAATAGCAACGGGAAAAGCAAAAACACAAGTAATCAATCATTACATCATACGCAGTTTTGTTTTCGTCCGGGTTCATGAGAGTGAGAGTAAAGGTCAAGAGAAGATCACCAATTGGTGTCCCTTCCCTCGGATTGGCCCCCATTGTCGGTCGCACCGTAAGTCGCCGCTCTGGCCTTGGAACGGCCGGTGATGTCTTGCCACGTAGCGTTGAAGCGGCTACCAGTGCTGGACAGCAGTCCTTCCTCTTCCTCTTCCTCGAGATCGGCATCAAGCTGAGCTTCGTCGAGTCTCGGAGTACGGAACAACATGGTGATGAAGACGATCAGGTAGACCGCTAGAGGCTGTTAGCTCGATCATTCAAAGGAACAGGAAAGATATTTTCCAAGTAGAACTTACCAAGGAAAGCAAATTGGGCCCAGAAGTCGACCACGCCAAAGAATGGGAAGTTTACCGTCACGCGGTTGATGAAAGTAGTGGCCACGCTAGGAGTACAGACATCCTTCGCCACAGGGTTCTCCGCGAGCTCAGTGCATGGCTTGATGGCACTCTTGTGTTGCGAGCAATCCGGCTGCTCGCCTGGGTGCTGGGCAGGACGGTCGCAATAGGTCTGAGGGCCAAAAGTGGCATATTGCGGCGCAATCATCATAGCAACGGAATAGTTGATGGCCAGAACCATCAGCGTCAGGAGGACAGTCGCCAGGAGAAGAGCTTGGGGGCTAGTGTGGCCCTTTCTGATGCGGAAGATAGTGATCCAAAGGAAGCGGATGCCCACGGTGGCGATTCCAACGACCGATGCGGAGAACAAGAACAAAATAAGTAGCAGGAAGATTATGTAGTCGATGGGGAAAACCTTCGATGACTGGACGAAGATCCAGTTGACGGGCTGGAAAATGTTGATGTGACCAAGCACGTACCCACATCCGGCTTTGCAGATGGAGTTCTTGGCTTTGTCGATGCCAGTGATGAGCATGGAGACGAAGACCAACAGGGCGAGGATCATGAGGAGGAGCCCGCCGAGAAGCTTGATGGGTCTGAAGATGGCCTCAATCTTGATCCAGGTCTTCATCAGCCAACCTTGCTCCTGGCCGCTGGCCTCAGCCGCGAGACGCTCCCGCCTGACGAGAGTGCGCTCCTCGCGCACAAGAGACTCAAGCTCGCGGCGATCGCGAGCATCCAAACCCTCATCGCGGCCCTCGTTGCGACGCTCGAGCTGTCTCTGACGCTCACGGTTTGATTCGAGCTGCGAAGCGGTGTTTTCGGCCAATGTCGGAGCGGAGATGGATGGAGCAGACTTGATCATGACTGCAGGCAGTAGCGCAAGGCCGGCGGCCGTGTAGAGAACGTATACAACGGTACCAATGGTGATCAAAAGACCCAATGCGAAGGTGAGGGCTCGCTCGCCATCTGATGCAGCGTTATTAGTCTGCTAGTGAGGATTGACCGGCAAGGACGACTTACGATTCTCAGCCAAAAGATGCTTGAAATAGTCCAAGTCTAGGTGTGAGTGCTTGGTGCTCTTCGCCACGGGCACGAAGAAGCCAACCAGGAACAAGATTACGACCAACACAATCAAGGCGATGGTGTACTTGAGGGCGCCCCAAAGGCGGCCGCCAATGGTTTGCGTGCCATCCGCTTCGGCACCCTCGTCGTACTCCTCGTAGAAGAAGTAGGTGAAAGGGACGATCAGAAGACACAGCAAAGCGTCCAGCGAGTACAGAGTATAGTACACGATCTTCAGGGTGTAAACAATGTCGTCAACCTTGTCGGGCGTAGCCCAGTCCTTGCGACGGCCTTCCTTGGAAACGTTGGTGGACGAGGTGAGGGCAATGTCGACGGGCATGAGCAGGATGGTGGCCCAGAGGGCGCTCACGGTGAAGATGCATACGGTGGTCACGGAGGCGGCGCGGTCGCGAGGGGTCTGGTAGATGTAGACGAAGACGGCGGCGATGGCCAGTAGGATGACGATGGCGACGGCGTACGCGACCCAGATCAAGCTCGTCTGGATGAGCGCCATTGCAGCGGAATTGCGTCTGCAGGCGACGCGGGAAGCTGGCGAGGGAGGAGCAGTTGGAAACTGGGGGAGAGCGAAGCAGAAGTGTTGCGCGTGATGGGCTGAGCAGGCCGACGGAATGTGGGCAGCGGAGGGAAGCTTGCTGAGCTTGCTGAGCTGCTCACGATGACGTGGGGACGTGCGCCAAAGCCACAGCCACAGCAGCAGCGATCGCGTTGCTCCTGCAGCCACAGCGATGAATGCTTGGCGCGTCGGCATTCCGCTCGCGACCACCATCACCGCGCCCACCGCGCCCACGACTGACCGCGTACATTGCCTGCCGCACCATGCTCGCGCCCGTCCTGCGCCCCATCCACCGACACCATGCAGGTCTACACTGAGCTCACTCCGCCCACCGCCGTCTCCAATGCCGTCAGCCTGGCCTTCCTGGGCCCCAAGGCCCACAACCTCGTCGTTGCGAAGACGTCGCTGCTTCAGATCTTTGAATTGAAGTCCATCGTCACCGAGGTCAGCCAGGCTGCCAAAGACGGTCCCGCTACAGCTGTCGCCGCAGACGACCCCTCCGAGCCCGCCGACCTGTTTGTCCAGCGGACCGAACACACCTCCAAGCTCGTCCTCGTCGCCGAGTATCCGCTGCAAGGCACCGTCCTCTCGCTGGCTCGCATCAAGGGCCTCGACACAAAATCTGGCGCAGACGCTCTTCTCATCGCTTTCCGAGATGCGAAGATGAGCTTGGTCGAGTGGGACCCCATCAACCACACACTGTCGACCATCTCCATCCATTATTATGAAGGTGAAGAGCTGCAGGGAGCTCCGTGGGATGCCGAGCTGGGACAATATCACAACTTCTTGGTTGCCGACCCGAGCAGCAGATGCGCCGCTCTCAAGTTTGGCGCAAGGCACTTGGCCATTTTGCCTTTCCGGCAGCTGGGCGACGACCTAGCCGAGGGTGACGATTACGACCCGGATCTGGATGAGCCCATGGATGCCCCTGCCGCCAGAGAGAAGGCCACCAATGGCGATGTGCCTCAGACTCCGTACAAAGCTTCCTTTGCACTGTCATTGCCGCAGATCGATCCTACACTGACGCATCCCGTCCACCTCGACTTCCTCCACGAGTATCGTGAGCCTACATTCGGTATCATTTCAGCAAACAAGGCCGCCGCTGCCTCGCTGCTCTATGAGCGCCGGGATGTTCTGACCTACACGGTCTTCACACTGGATCTTGAAGAGAAGGCATCCACGGCCCTTCTATCAGTTCCAGGAATTCCGTACGATACCTGCAAGGTCCTCCCGTTGCCTCTACCTGTTGGTGGCGCACTCCTCCTCGGCGTAAACCAGTTTATCCATGTCGACCAAGCTGGGAAGACCAACGCGGTTGCTGTCAATGAATTTGCCAAGCAATGCTCCTCGTTTCCCATGACCGACCAGTCTGACCTTGCAATGCGGCTGGAAGGCGCTAGCGTAGACCTCTTGTCTTCCGAAACCGGCGACTTGCTCGTGGTCCTTCGAGATGGCAGCTTGGCTATCATCAGCTTCAAGCTCGATGGACGGTCAGTTTCTGGTATATCCATTCGAAGAGTGACGGAAGACAAGGGAGGCTTGGTTGTGATTACAGCAGCTTCTTGCACGACGAGTTTAGGCCGCAATAGGATGTTCATTGGCAGCGAGGATGGAGACTCCGTCGTTCTGGGTTGGACAAAGAAGACGACACAGCTGTCCAAGAAACGAACGCATGCCGAGATGCTTGCTGATGATGCCGATTTATCGTTCGATGAGGAAGATTTGGAGGATGACGATGATCTGTACGGTGATGGTCCGTCCAGCGCAAAGACTGCTGCGGCGTCAACAGACTCCAGCGATCCTAGCAATTATACATTTAGGATCCATGACAACTTACCAAGTTTAGCACCAATCAAGGATGTGGCTCTAGCTGGCCACAAGGCAACAGACGTCGCAGGTGGGGCCGTGGAGAGGACGACGGACCAACTCGACCTGGTCGCATCGATAGGGCGTGGTAAAGCTGGAGCTCTCGCAATCATGAGACGAGAGATCGACCCTGTCATCATGCGAAAAGGAGAGTTCGCTACTGCTCGAGCTGTCTGGTCAGTCCACGCTAAGAAGCCGGCTCCCAAAGGCATGATAGCTGCCGGCCCACAAGACGCGGAAGCAAAGCTTGCAGCAGATGTGGATTATGATCAGCTCTTGATCATCTCAAGGTCTAATGATGAAGGCGGCGAAGAGTCTGCTATCTTCAACATCGCAGCCACGGGCTTTGAAGAAACCAGTAAAGGCGACTTTGAGCGCGAAGACGCAGCTACCATTAATGTAGGCACCATTGCTGGTGGCACGAGGATAGTCCAGGTATTGAAAGCTGAGATCCGCAGCTATGATTCTGGTAAGTTTGAATTTTCTTTTCTGTTCTCCATGACTGCTAGAGCGCTAGATCCCGATGCCCGTTCGGATGGCATTTTACCGAGTGTTGCCCGCATAGGCAAGACGAAGCTTCAAGCTGTCTTGGCCTACAACGGTTCTGCACGGGGGCAAAGCTGCAGTGTCTTTGCCGACCGAAGCGGCATGCCACTCGCAGCTCCAACTGTGGCTAGAGCATTTGCGTGGAAGCTCAAGAGGACAGATCGGAGAGCAACAGCTTCCACAAATCATGTGCTTTTAGATCAATACAATGTTTCCACCTCACCCTTCTCTCTGCCCTCGAACCTGTGCACAAGCAATGTTTACCCCGGCGTGCATTTTACCCGAGCATGACTAACGTTTCGTCTGTGTAGAACTTGGCCTTGACCAAATCCTTCCAATGGAAGACGAGAACGGCTCGGAACTCAGAATCGTCAGTGCCAGCTTTGCAGACCCTTACATCCTTGTGCTGCGCGACGACTCCAGCGTCATCATCTTGCAAGCGGATGCCAACGGAGAAATGGAAGAGATGGACAGGGGCGATGGCTTGCTGTCCACCAAATGGCTTTCGGGCTGCATTCATCAATCATCGTCGACCGGAGCCCATGCCGTAGCCTATCTTCTTAGTGCAGAAGGCGGTTTGCATGTAAGACGAGCGTTTTCATCTGTCAGAGCGAGGAGCTAACCTTCTGGACAGGTGTACACGATGCCGGATCTGTCGAAGCCGGCCTACGTTGCCGCAAGCCTTGGCTTCCTTCCGCCCATGCTGACAGCGGACTTCACTCCTCGTCGATCGTCTGCAAAGGCAACATTGAGTGAAATTCTTGTGACAGATCTTGGCGACTCGACGTCGAAAAGCCTATACCTCATCGTATGCGTGCCCCTTTGCTCAACTCCAAACACTACTGATTCCATCAGGTCCGCACCTCGTCGAATGATTTGGTGATCTACCAACCATACCACTTCCCTGCCCAGGAGACCGAGCAACCGTTCGTCGTGAACTTGAGATGGCTCAAAGTATCTCAGCCGCGACTTCCAGAATTCAGTGAAGATCCTGGTCTAGAGTCTGAAGAGGTTGCAGATGGCAGGGAGTGTATCCTGACCCCTCTCTCCAACGTTGGCGGGTACAGTGCCGCCTTCATGGCAGGGACCTCGCCAAGCTTCATCCTGAAGGAATCCTCAAGCCTCCCGAAGGTAATCAAGATGAGGACAAAGGCGGTCAAGAATCTGAGCAGCTTCCACACCGCGGAGTGTGATCGTGGATTCACCTTCATTGACACCGATGTACGTGCTCCGAATCTGGCCTTCCTTGTAGTAGTTGCTAATGTGACGTTCTCAACAGGGAAATCTGCGTGTCTGCCAGTTCCCGCACGGATTCCGCTACGGCGACGTTGGTTGGGCGACGAAGAAGGTTCCCTTGGGACAGGATATCCAGGCTATGTGCTACCACCCACCGAAGGATGTTCTCGTTCTTGGTGTGGGTGAGAAAAAACCATTCACGTTGCCTGAGGATGAACACCACCACGAATGGCTTGAAGAGAGTAAGTTTCATGTCCCTCCGTGCCTTGGATTATTTGTTAACATCCCCCTCAGACATCTCATTCAAGCCAATGGTTGAACACGGCATGATCAAAGTTCTTGATGCGCGCACGATGAGCGTGATTGATGCGTAAGTACCAAAACACATTCTCTACATGCTCTCAAACTGACCTTATTTCAGGCACGAACTTGAGGAATTTGAGGTAGTCCTTACCATAAAAGTGCTTAACCTTGAAGTCTCGGAGAACACGCACGAACGGAAGCAGCTCGTGACTGTGGGTACAGGTTTCATACGTGGTGAGGATCTGCCGTCCCGTGGTTGCATATACGTGTTCGAGGTCATCAACGTCGTCCCCGAGCCCGGCCGCCCGGAGACAAACCGCAGGCTGAAGCTAATCGCCAAGGAGGAGGTCAGGGGCTCGGTCACTGCCATCACTGACGTCGGCAGCCAAGGCTTCTTGCTCATGGCCCAAGGTCAGAAATGTATGGTGAGAGGGTTGAAGGAGGACGGCACATTGCTGCCCGTTGCCTTCATGGATATGCAATGCTACGTGACCGTTGCAAGGGAACTGAAGGGATCGGGGATGCTGCTCATGGGCGACGCCGCCAAGGGAGCTTGGTTTGTCGGGTACACGGTAAGACACTCACAGGGCCCCTCTTTGTACTGGATGTTGATATACCGCTTCGCAGGAGGACCCATACAAGATGATCCTCTTTGGCAAGAGCCGCGCCCACATGGAGGTCATGGCGGCCGAGTTCCTGCCGCACGAGAAGCAGCTGTACCTGATGGTGGCCGACGCAGACTGCAACCTGCACGTGCTGCAGTACGACCCGGAGCACCCGAAGTCACTGTCAGGCCAGCGACTTCTCCACAAATCGACCTTCCACACCGGTCATTTCACCACCACCATGACCCTGCTCCCCTCCACCCTCTCCCCAACCTCCGCCGCCGCCGCCAACGCCGCCGCCAACCCTTCATCCCCCGACAACGTCGACGGCGCCGCGGCCGCCAACAACAACAACGCCGCCGCCGACGACGACGACGACTACGACCCCGCCAACGCCGACCAGATGGACGTCGACCCAACGGCCCTCAACCCCCCTCCGGGCTCCACGCACCACCACGTCCTCGTCACCTCGCTCGCCGGCTCCCTCGCCCTCCTCACCCCCGTCTCCGAGCACCAGTACCGCCGGCTCGGCGCGCTGCAGACGTTCCTCCTCGGCGCCCTCGAGCACCCCGCCGGCCTCAACCCGCGCGCCCACCGCGCCGCCGACTACTACCAGAACCAGAGCGGCCCGGGCGGCGGCGGCGGCGACGCTTTTGGCGGCGGCGGCGGCGTGGGGAGCGGCGGCCGTGGGGTCGTCGTCGATTGGGGGCTGTTGGCGCGGTGGATGGAGCTGGGGAGCCAGCGGAGGGCGGAGGGCGCGGCGAAGCTCGGCGTCGAGGAGTGGGTCGTTAAGAGCGATTTGGAGGTTGTTGGGGGGGCGGGGCTGGGGTATTTGTAGGGTGATGAGTGGGAGTGGGGGAGTGGGGGAGGGAGAGAGGAGAGGGGAGGGAAGGAGAGTGGAGAGGGAAGGGAGATGGAACACGTGTGATGTGGGGATGGATGATGATGGATGGATGGATGATGGTTGAAGAGGGGTTTTTCTTGTGTTTTTCTTTTAGTCTACACAGGTCGACGGTTTAAAAACAAGAAGAAAAGAAAAGGAAATTGTATGCGATAATTTAAAGTCTAAGACTCATTGGCTCCCACGTTCCTATTACAACATCACGAGACGTGCTGACTGCAGGAAACTCGCGTACGAAGAGCCATACGAAGGCTGCCAGCACCGCGACAGGGATATTGCACCAGAGTAGCCTAGCTGCTGAATTCCCCACGCTTATGTGCCTGCTCCGACATCACCCTCCCTTTTACCTCCACCACGACCTCACGCAGCCACATCCTCTGACACAGTATCTGGAATCTGTTCCAGCTCCCTCGGAATATCCTACAACGACCGGAGTCAGGTTCAGCTGACATTCTCTACTTCATTGCAGCTACAACCAGCTGATTTCAGGCTCAGCCTTGCGTTGCCAAATCACACCGATTGTGTCGGCTCAGTTCGCTTTACAAATTCGAGCACACCGATCTAGGTGTTCAATGGCCCAGATGGTTACTTCGGAGCTTCAGACTGCCATCGCCGAGGTCCTCGATCCAGTCAACTGGGGCGGTGACTCTACAAGCTTTGAGCGCCTCTCGGACGAGGCGATCGAGAAAGTCGAGGAGATTTTGAGGCAACATGGCGACGAAGATTGCAGCACGAGACCGCGTACATACGCATTTCTGTACCTCAGTCACTTGACGCGGTTTCATGCTGCCTTCCGCGGCTACTCCGACGATCACCTCCCGTACACCGACTGGACTCTGCCACCTGGAATGCGGGACAAACAGGTCTGCAAACACTTTCTCAAATTCCAGTACCTGGTAATTTCCGAACAGGCTCAAGAGTCAGGGCCACGGATACGGAAGCATGTGCAATTCGCGAATGTTGGGGACTGCCCCTTGAGATTCATCAGGCATCTCGGGTATGGTGGCTCCGCAGTTGTAGATGCTGTACAGGGCAAGTACAGTGGGATGGTGTATGCGAGAAAATCGTTCTACCACAGAGGCAATGCGGCCAGGATCAACTCATTCAGGCAGGAGCTTGAATTGCTCAAAAACCTTCAGCACCGCCACCTTGTTCGCTATATCGGAAGCTATACAGACCCGAAGTGGATAGCCTTCACCATGATACCCGTCGCAGAGGGGGATCTCTCGTCGTGGCTCCCAACACACCTTGGGGACCCCCGGATACAGGAATTTTTTGGATGTCTTGCTTCTGCAGTGGCATATCTACACACGGAAAAGGTGAGGCACAAGGACATCAAACCACACAATGTCCTCGTTTCCCATAATGGCATCTTCCTTTCGGACTTCGGTACCTCCAATCAGTGGAAAGATTCAGACAAAAGCGCGACCGAGGGTGCAGTCGCGTATGCATTCACCAAAAGATATGCACCTCTGGAAGTCCTGACCAACGAGGTGAGAAAAACTTGGCGCTTTTCCCCAAGATTCAAATTCTGACTCTTCTCAAAAGCGTCGAAGCAGGGCCTCGGACATCTTCAGCCTTGGTTGTATCTTTCTGGAATTGATTTCTGCCTTCTGCGGGCAGTCAGCTGACGACTTGCGCCAATACTTACTCCAAACCTGGACCGGTGTGGATTTGTACGCCGACAACGAGGAGGCTGTCGAAGAATGGGTTGAGCATCTCAAAAGGAAAAATCTCCCAGAAGCCCACCTGAGCATCTTGGACATGACTCATAGCATGATGGACGCTGACAAAAACAAGCGGCCGGGCGCTTTAACGCTAGTCGACTGCATTCTGAATCTGGGACCAGAGTATGCGTGCAGGCAATGCCACCAGGAACCAATCCTACAGTATCTCGAAAGCAAAGGCGTACGTGTGAGCGAACCGCATGCAAGAGGGCCAGCCCTGTGCGAAGCTGCGGTTAAGGGAAACCTCGACATCTTTCAGAACCTTCTCAAGGTGACGGATGATTTGAGCTGTACAATCCGGTTTCAGCGGGAACGTAGGACACCGGTGGACATCGCGGCACTACTGGACCATGACAAAATAGTTCAAAGTTTTCTATCCCACTGCCGGCACAATGACATATGTCCTGACACCACGAATCCGCTTCGGCTTGCCATCAGCTCCCACTCGAACCGCTCAGTAAAGATACTTCTAGCCTTTAGAGCAGACTCTTATGCCGCTCCGCAGGGACTCCAGAGCGACCTATATCACGCAGCCTACCGGGGAAGTTTGGAATTCTTGAAGATGGTGGTCAAGCGGGGTATTGACCTAAGCCACAGAGACAGCGCCTTTGGACAGCCGACGCTGCTACATGGCGCAGTGCAAGGAAGCAACATCGAGACCCTCAACTATCTTTTGGCTCAGGGATTAGACGTCAATGCCAAGACCGACAACGGTACGACCCCGATCCATGAAGCCGCTATGTTAGGAACAGGTGATACTATCGCCCTGTTAGTTAAAGCAGGTGCAGATCCACGCCTTCGCAACCGTGAAGGATACACTGCTGCCGGCTGGGCCACGCAGGTCGGAAACCTGGAAGCTTTGAAGGCCATACTGGAACTCTCAGGCCCTGAAGATCACTACAGCAAAGATGGATGGAGCCCCCTTTACATTGGCGTGCGGGCCAACCACGTCCAAATTGTCGAGATGCTCTTGAAGGAAACTCCGTGGGAAATCAACCACCCGACGCATGGATCAAAGGAAACTCCGTTGCATTACGCTGCTCAATTCAGCTCGGAAGACATGGTCCGGATGTTACTTGCCTTGCCGCAGGCTTCGACCAGGAGTACGAACTCTTCAGGGGCCACGCCATTGCGCGTCGCAATGGATAAAAGACAAGCTCATGATTCTGTCTTGCGCCTGCTCGCCGCTCATGACCCTGGAGCTGTGAGCTTGAAGTAATTGATTGACAAGGCTCGTTTTTCGGATACACCTCTAGTTCCAACCGGGGATTTGGAGTATTTACGGTGCCTGGTAGAACACGGGGCAGACATAGAGCTACCTGTCAAGTCTAACGGCCAAAGGCCGCTCCATCTTGCTGCCTCTTACGGATGCACAAGCGTGGTCCGTTTACTTCTAGACTTTGGAGCCCAAGTACATGCTAGAGACCTAGAAGGGGTTACACCTCTTCACTTTGCGGTCCGGAATGGGAGCAAGGAAGTGATCGAGCTGCTCACGGAAAGAGGTACTGCGATGGAGGTCACCGACTCGCAAGGATGCACTCCACTTGACTGGGCCATGGTAGAATAGGTTGTGGGCACATTGCGGTTCAAGTCTTCATGGTGGCCTCCGAGCTTGGCGACGTCGAAGTCGTACAGACCCTTTCGGACGCAGACGCCGGTATTAGTATGAGGAAATCCATTTCTGGATGATAGCGCAGGGTAATACTGATGTCGTCAAAGCATTTGAGAGATTGAAAAGCGACCGGAATCCCACGACTCTCACCTCTCATCGACGATCCAGACCTGGGCTGAGACTTGAATCCAAGACTTCCCGCCTCTCTTCCAGAACTGTGCCGCACAGTGAAGTAGTTGGTGAGGGTCTGGATTTCCTTGCCAACCATTATACATCTTGCATCTGGCGCTTGGAGTACTGGGCGGGTCTTTTCTCCTTGATGAAAGTCCTTTTTTCCTAATGGATAGATCTCAATTTGTATCGCCAAAATGTAATGACAAGCACACTTGATCAAGACGATCGCGCACATATACGTGTAGACTTCGAGGAAGCCGGAGTGAAAGAAAAACACTCAACCACCATCCTCAATATGATCATCTTCCGAACATCTAACGCCCTTCGGCTTCCGACGCGCATCAAACCCACATACAGGCACTCCGTCCTTTCTTCCTTCCCTCCCTCCCCAGTTCATCGTTCCCCACGTATGTTCGGTTCCGGAAACGCTAATAACCACGACCCGGACCAGCATGTCGGTCGTACCGTACCCCAGCCACACGCCCTCGGCCGACCGAAAAGGGTAAAAGTACAGCACCCCCCCGAAGCCGAAGCTCGGACCTCCCGCTCCGACCCGACCATGCTTACATGTCTTGGCTCGGCAACTCCCCCCATGATGCACCTACCTAGGTACGTATGCCGCCGCATCAAAGGCGAAAACGTTGCTGCCTGGTAGACGAGCAATTACTCATCGAGCATATGACTGCAAAGAGAAATGGTTGGGAAAAAAAAATGGCGCCATTTTCTTACATGTCAAGGATGTGAGTCCGCTTGGGTAGTGGGGTCGCAATTGAAGGGCAACGCGTCCCGGTGGGGGCTGAGCTTTCCGGGGGAGGTGGGTTTTGCGAACCAATATCACGGTGAACGATTATTTTTCCGTGGTCACTGAAAGGGAAGAATCATTGTTCGCAGTAAGCTCAAGCGCCTGCTGATGCGTTGTTGCGTTAGATTGCGCTATTGGAGTATATATAATGTCTTCCTCCTGCGGCCAAGCCTCCAAGGGCGGCGATGCCTGTCCAAGGCACCCATCTATTCGTCTACCAAAGCTGGTAGATCTCATCCATAAAAGTCGTGCTTTTTCTAGCAAAGGGGAATTAAACGAGGAAATGAGAAAGCGTGAAGTTTTGACCATTTACAACGTCTCGATGACGATGGCAGAGGCACCGCCACCGCCGTTGCAGATGCCGGCAGCACCGATCTTGCCGCCCTTCTGGCGGAGAACGCCGATCAGGGTGGCGACGATACGGGCGCCAGAGCAGCCGAGCGGGTGACCAAGGGCGACGGCACCGCCGTGGAGGTTGACCTTCTCCTCGGGGATGCCGCACAGCTTCATGTTGGCGAGAGCGACGACGGAGAAGGCTTCGTTGATCTCGAAAGCATCGACCGCGCTGATCTCGAGGCCGGCGTGCTTGAGAGCCTTGGGCATGGCGAGGGAAGGAGCAGTGGTGAACTCCGAGGGAGCGTGAGCGGCGTCGCCCCAGCCCCTGATCTTAGCAATCGGCTTCAGACCGAACTTCTTGACCGCCTCCTCCGAGGCGAGGACGACGGCGGCAGCGCCGTCGGACAGCGGAGAGGCGTTGGCAGCGGTAACGGTACCAGTGCCGGGGATGAAGACAGGCTTCAGGGACTTGGTCTTGGACTCGTTGAAGTTCTTGGGCTCGTCGTCCTGGTCGACAAGGACGTTGGGCTTGCCCCTGCCGCCGCTGACCTCAATGGGGGCAATCTCGTCCTTGAACCAGCCGTTGGCCTGGGCGGCCTGGGCCTTCTTGTACGAGCGGATGCAGTAGTCATCCTGGTCCTCGCGGGAGAAGCCGTGCTTGGAAGCGCACTGCTCGGCCTGGACACCCATGTGCTCCGTCTTGTAGACATCGGTAAGACCGTCCTTCAGCACGCCGTCGACGAGCTTCTGGTCGCCGAACTTGGCGCCGGTGCGCAGGTTGGGGAGGTAGTGAGGGACGTTGGACATGGATTCGGTACCACCAGCGACAACGATTTCGGCGTTGTTGGTCATGATGGTCTGGGCGCCGAGGATGATGGCCTTCAGGGCCGAGGCGCACACCTTGTTGACCGTGGTAGCGACCGTGGCCTCGGGGAGGCCGGCGCCGAGGGCACACTGGCGGGCAGGGTTCTGTCCCAGGCTGGCAGCCGTCAGCGCACATTGCTAGAGGGAGGCGCTCGCTCGGCGGCTTACCCGGCAGAGAGCACGTTGCCAAAGAAGACCTCCTGGACGTCCTCGGGCTTGACGCCGGCGCGCTCAATCGAAGCTGTCCAACGCGTGAGCCGAGGGCAGCAATTGGCGCGAGAAACACAGAGACATACCCTTGATGGCGTGGGAGCCCAGAGCAATCGCAGACTGGGTGCCCAGAGAACTGGTCGAGGTTAGCGGCAGGAGGGCAGCAGTTGGCGGGGCCGTCAACATACCCTTGGAACATGCCCAGCGGGGTGCGGGCAGAGGAGACGATGTAGACAGGCGGGAGGGAAGACATGGTGACGGCTGGGATTCTTGGAGAGGAATGAGAGTTCAGAGGAAGCGCGGGGAGTGAGGGAGAGGAAGCAAGAGGGCTGGCGGTCAGTAAAAATAATGGCACGAGGCTCCCCTCCGGCGCCGGAGCTTGGGCCTGAGCACCAACAATTGGGAGCACAGGCGTCGGAGCGGACCCCTCGCCCCCATCCGCATCTGGCGCCCCGAGCGCCACCTGCACCCGCACGCACCGCCACACGCATCGCGCCAAGACTGCGCCCGAAAGTCGACCAGCTCGCGAAAGTCTTCCGCCACGAGAAAGCTCCCAGCACCCGCCACCTCCACCCCGCGTGCTGAGCTCCCTGTCGCCCACCATGGATGATCTTTACGACGAGTACGCGACCGCGCCCCCGCGCCTCTTTCCGGTCCACTGCTGACAATGCCGCAGGTTTGGAAACTTCATCGGCGAGGCCGAGTCTGACGAGGAATCCGACCATGGCGCGGCGGCGGCGGACGCCTACGTCTACGACGATGAGCCCGAAGACGACGAGCCCGCCAATGACCAGCAGCTCATGGAGGTCGACGACGAGGGCCCGTCCAATGCCGTCATCCTGCACGAAGACAAGCAGTACTATCCGACCGCCCAGCAGGTCTACGGCGCCGATGTCGAGACGCTGGTGCAGGAAGAGGATGCCCAGCCCTTGACCCAGCCCATCATCGAGCCCGTCGTGCAGAGGAAGTTCAACATCGAGGAAGCCCATCTCCCGCCCGTGCGCTTCGCCCGCGACTTCATGACCGATCTCATGAACTACCCGGACCAAGTACGGAACGTAGCTCTGGCTGGGCACCTTCACCACGGAAAGACCGCCTTCATGGACACATTGGTGATGGAGACGCACGATATCCAGGAGAGGCTGGACAAGAGGCTGGGCCGCAGACGTGACGAGCAGCTGCGTTACACCGACACGCACTTGCTGGAGCGCGAACGCGGTGTCTCGATCAAGGCCGGCCCCATGAGCTTGGTCCTGCAGAGCTCCAAGGGCAAGTCGCATCTGGTCAATGTCTTGGATACTCCCGGTCACGTCAACTTTGTGGATGAGGTTGCCGCATCGCTGAGACTGGCAGACGGCGTGGTGCTGGTTGTCGACGTCGTCGAGGGCGTGCAGGTGAACACGGAGCAAATAATCAAGCACGCCGTTCTCGAGGGCATCGCCCTTACGCTGGTTATCAACAAGATGGACCGCTTGATTCTGGAGTTGAAGCTGCCTCCGGCAGATGCCTACTTCAAGCTCAAGCACGTCGTGGAAGAGGTCAACACCGTCATCGAAAACACCATTCCTGGACAGGGCGCAAAGTACCGGTTGAGCCCCGAAAGGGGTAACGTGGCCTTCGCCTGCAGCACCATGGGGTGGTGCTTTACCCTGGGATCCTTTACGAAGATGTACGCCGACAGCTACCCCGGCTCCGGCATCATTGCAGACGACTTTGCCAAGCGCCTGTGGGGCGACATTTTCTTTAACCCAAGGAGCCGGAAATTCACCAGGAAGGCTGTGGAAGAGGGCGCAAAGAGATCCTTCGTCCACTGGGTGTTGGAGCCTATTTACAAGCTTTACTCCCATACCCTCAGCGAGAGCCCCGAGGACCTGAAGGAGACGCTGGCTTCGCTCGGAATTACGCTGAAGCCCTCCCAGTACAAGACTGATGCGAAGCAGCTCCTCAAGCTCGCCTGTGAGCAGTTTTTTGGCCCGGCCACCGGTTTTGTGGATATGATTGTTCAGCATGTTCCGTCGCCCATCGAGGGAGCAACCCGGTATCTGGAGCGTTACTACACTGGCCCTACGGATACACGGACAGCGGAAGCCATGAAGAAATGCGACCAGGATGGACCCCTCGTCGTTCATGTCACGAAGCTTTTCAACACCACCGACGCCAGAAGCTTCAATTCCTTTGGACGTGTTCTCAGTGGTATTGCGAAGCCGGGCGACCAGGTTCGCGTGCTTGGTGAAGGGTATACCATTGAAGACGAAGAAGACATGGTGACGGCAACCATCAGCGATGCTTGGATTGCGGAGTCGAGATATAATGCCCCCGTCAGCGGTGTGCCTGCAGGAAACTGGGTGTTGCTTGGTGGCGTGGACAACTCGATCGTGAAAACGGCCACGATTGTCCCCCCCAAGCTCCCAGAAGACGAGGATGCATACATCTTCCGCCCCGTCAAGCACTTCTTCGAATCTGTCCTGAAGGTGGCTGTGGAGCCCATCAATCCCTCGGAACTCCCGAAGATGCTCGAAGGATTACGGAAGATCAACAAGAGCTACCCGTTGATCACTACGAAGGTGGAGGAATCCGGCGAACACGTCATCCTCGGCACTGGAGAGCTCTACATGGACTGTGTTCTCCACGACCTTCGTCGGCTGTACGCGGAAATGGAGATCAAGGTCTCGGACCCCGTGACTCGTTTCTGCGAGACTGTTGTGGAGACTTCGGCCATCAAGTGCTACGCCCTCACGCCTAACAAGAAGAACAAGCTTACCATGGTCGCGGAACCTCTGGACCCCGGCATCGCCGAGGACATCGAGGCCGGGAAGGTCAACATCAAGGACCCGGTGCGCGTTGTCGGCAAGTTCTTCGAGGAGAACTACGGCTACGACCTGCTCGCCTCGCGCAACATCTGGGCATTCGGACCAGAGGACCAAGGGCCCAACATCCTCCAGAACGACACTCTCCCTTCAGAGGTGGACCAAAAAGTGTTGAGGAGCGTGCGCGACACCATCCGCCAGGGCTTCAGCTGGGCGACCCGCGAAGGTCCGCTCTGCGAAGAGCCCATCCGCAACACCAAATTCCGCCTCACGGACGTCAATCTAGACTCCCAACCCATCTTCCGCGGCGGCGGGCAGATCATCCCGACGGCGAGACGGGCATGCTACTCGAGTTTCCTGATGGCGAGCCCGAGGCTGATGGAGCCCGTCTACTCCTGCTCCATGATCGGACCCGCCGACGCCGTCAGCAGCCTGTACACGGTGCTCGCGCGGAGAAGAGGCCACGTCCTCCAGGACGGTCCCATCGCCGGCACGCCGCTGTACTCGGTCAAGGGCCTGCTGCCCGTCATCGACTCGTTCGGTTTCGAGACCGACCTCAGAGTAAGTCTTTCTTCACCACCACCACTGATCCGCAATCCATCAATGTTTTGCGAAAACCAACCCAAAACTGACGATGCTTTTCTCATCCAGATCCACACCCAAGGCCAAGCCACGGTCGCGCTCGTCTTCGACCGCTGGTCCATCGTGCCGGGCGACCCGCTCGACAAGGACATCCGGCCGCGCCCGCTCGAGCCGGCGTCGGCGCAGGCGACGGCGCGCGACTTCGTGCTCAAGACGCGCCGCCGCAAGGGCCTGTCCGAGGACGTGACCATCTCCAAGTTCCTCGAGCCGGAGCTGTTCCGCAACCTCAAGGAGAGCGGCATCTTGGACGGCTAGACGATGATGAGCTGATCTGATGATGATGAGCTGAGCCGAGCCCAGCCGAGCGAGGGCGTGAGGCAGGATCTTTTTTTTTGGGGGGGAGGGAGGGGGGGGGGTTTTTTTTTACGTCATGAGGTTCGTTTCCCCCATCGAACGTGAAACGTTGCGGTGAAGACGTACTCCTACGTGGTGGAGAGCGAGCGAATTGGCGGGCACAACGAGAAGAAGGAGGGAGGAACCGTTGGGCGCAGCAGCGAGTAAGTGGCTGCGTAGTAGTAGCTGCTGCTGCTGCGACGGCGGCGGCGGCGGCGGGGCGCGGCGGCTACCGGTGAAAACGAAACGTGATGTGGGGAAGCGGTAAGAGAGGAACGCGGCATTGTGTCATTGGAGGGTCCAGTAATGATGGCCGTTCCGTTTTTCGACGTTTCCCGCCCCGAGAGAAAAAAGAGAGAAAAGTTGGTTGCGGGTTGGGCGTTTTCGCGGCGCATGGGAAGGGCGGTGGACGCGTAGACACACACACTCACCGGATGCAATTTTTATTTCATTTTTGTTGTTGCTCGGCGCCCGGGAAGAAGAAAAAACACTTCTTTCAGCGGGGTGGGAGAAGGATGGGAGAGAGAGACGGACGGCCCGAAAGTCGTCGAGCATGTGGCCAAATACACACATACCTAGTAGGGAACGGACCGGTCAATCACACCACCCGTCGGGTGCCAAGCGTGCAAGCAAGCCTAGTAGGATAGTGCAGCACTAAATCTTTGCAACAGATGCGCGTGGGGGTGTCAAGATGATCATTTTCCTGCCATGCAATTATAGCGAATAGTCTTCTTCTGACCGAGAGGGAAGGGTTGGTGGTGAGTTGGTCTTTTTTTTTTTGGCCACTGCATGTGCGCTGGTGGTAACGAAAGAGTAGTCTGGGGTAATGAGTGCTGTATCACTGCCGGCTCCTGCCGCTGCCATTTTCCGTTGTACGTACATATGTATGTACATACATGTAAAATTCGACACAGATAGATTGGGTTTGCACAGATAAGCTTGCAGCTTTCCCCCCTGCCCAATCATGCAGGATGACGCTATCCTTGCTCACTTCAATTTGCGCATATCCATCTGTTTGCAGTGGGAAAAGGATACGGGATTTGTCTTCTTCTTTTTCCGTTTTTCCTTTTTGTCTTTCGTTTTCACTCCCCGCACGTCGCGAGCGATTGGCTCACGCAGATTGATATCGGCGGGGAGGCCGGCCGTATGTACCTAGGTTGGTGCATTAGCTTCGCATGTGTTGTATTCCCATCCACATGCATACATCTGTAATGACGGGAAGAGGGGTGCACGCATATGCACAAGCAATGCGGAGTGAAGTTGAAAGTGAGACCCGGGGCACGAAGATGGATGGCCGGGGAAGCTGTGGAAATGAATGGGGGGGTTTTCAAGCCATCAACGCGGCTGCTGTCGCCTGGTGACGGTCGCCATTGGCGGGCCTCTGGCTATCATATGAATTTCCGGCTTTGGCTCAAGCATTGCCGAGTGCTGGTGGTGGTGTAGCAACGTGTGCAAGGGCTAAGAGAGGGAGAACTCATTGCTCCCGGCCACTGCTGCGAAAGGACTTCCCTCTGTCCTCTTCAGGCCCCAGTACGAGCTGCTACTGACAATACACACCCTAACGGCATAGTTACACACGTACTTTTTTTTATTCATGCTTTTCACCTCACACAGTCAGGGAAGGTCCGCAGAGGCAAAAAGATCTGTACGTCATCATCCTGCAGCCGGCGCCCGAAGGAAGACACAACCGAGTCCCGCCCACCCCCGAGTTCACGAGCATACACGCTCATAACCCGCCTTGCTAATCCGAACGTTCCGGAAGCGCAAAGAGGAAGGCGGAGGCGAGAACGATTGGTCTCGGGCAACAGCAGTCGTCGACCCACAAGAGCTTGAGATGCACAGGAAGAGAGTGAGAGAGGGAACTTATCTCCGAGTGGCCGTCTTCGGTGATCCGACCGACAGGGTGTCGTCAGCCAATTGCACGGCTGGCTGCGCCTTATCGTCGTTCTTGCGCCTCTGTTCCTGCAGTAGTAAAGAGTTTTTCGGCTGCAAGCCTCCGCCACCCTGGCCCGGCAGGTGTCGTGCTGTCAACGCCTCGCTGGCTGGCTGGCTGGCTGGCTGGCTGGCTGGCTGGCTGCATGTAGCCACGGCTCCAATCTAAAACCACAGCTGCAGCCAGCCGTCGAAAAGCGGCTTGCAACTGTACATACAAGGGGACTGGTTCTTTCTGCGTGTGCGTGCCCGGAATCGACCGTCCCCCCCTTTCCCCCTCCCTCATCAAACTCGTCCAGCCAGTGAATGGAAAGAGTCTGTCCAAGAGCTTGCTTTCGGACCGGTCGTAGCCGCCGGCAGTGGTGGTGCGGCAGCCGGCTCTGCCGCCCTCTTCTTTCTTTTTTTTTTTCTTCTTCCCCTCCCTAGTGCCCCCTGTTCCGAGCGCAGCTGGCTTCTGCCGTGCACCTGGGTACGGCTGATCCTGGTCATGCGGAAACTTCACACGGCCTTTCCGGGGGGGCTGGAAGGAATTCTTCGCGGACCCATGTCCACGCGAGAAAGAACGCGGCATTTTCAGGGTCGGACAGAAAAGCGCGTCTTTCAGACACTGAAATGGCGTTGCAAAAGGGAGGGGAAAGAAAGAAGAGAGAACAAGGAGGAGGAGAGATATAGGACACGAAATCTTGACGTGAAGCGAACGTGAGCGTTTGCAAAATAGTGACGGGTTGCGCTGATCGACGTTGGCGAAGGCTTGCCGGAAGATCGCTCCCAACGTCGCGTCGTGGTTCAAAGTGGAGTCTTCGCACAGACAACATTTGGCCAGGCTTAAACAGACTCACCTTCCTCTTCCCCCCTTGCCCATGTCTGCAAAAATATTAATCTGCGCAACAGGATGCTTAGCTGCAGCGAGGGGGAGACGAATAGGGTCGTTTAGTGAGACGTGATAGACGTTGATTGGAGAAAGACTTTCATTTAAGGTGCTGCATAAGGCTGCCCAGGTAACCCGGTCGGCAAAGGCAGATTTGCATGCTCCGCGTTCCCGTGTGCCGGACTCGTTGAGTCTTCATGCGCATCGCCCTAGCCGAAGGAGCAATGTGAAACAAAACGGCTTGCAAGGCCAGTTGTGCCACTCATGTGTCTTGGAATGCCAGAGGCCGCCGAACGCATTTGGCTGCACGCACAGGGAGGAAGTAGCCGGTCGGGCTCGGAGCGAGCTCGTAAAGCAGCTTGCATATGGTATAGGCATGCAACTGGGCTTTCAACCAGGTACCAGTCCCGGCAGGTACCGCGAGAACAAGGAGGTGGAATATCCTTACTTTGCAGGTAGGCATCGCTGCTCGATAGCACGGAAGCTCCGACGATAGTGGTCTCTGCGATACGAGCAGGAAAGACTGCCTATTGGGTAGGTCGTGCGTTTCACTCGACCCCCCGAGGGGCAAAAGTCGTGGCCGCACGGCGCATGAACAACGCCTCTCGCCTCCCTTGTTTAGGCCACCAGAAGGGCGCATCGTGACGAGGCTGTTGCAACATTGTTGTTGGGGGCTGGCTCATGGCCTCGTCGGATACGAGCAGAGTCAGCGAAAATAGCAGGAAAGACAGCGAGGCTGGAAGGCATTTGGTGATGCAGAGGCGAAGTGGCCACTACTTTTGGTGGCGTTGGCTTCGTATGACGCTGCGCAAGCCTTCGTAAGACCTTCTTCGCATGTAGCTCCACTGCGGCGACAGCCATGCTGACGCTGATTCAGGTCGGAATCTCAGCACACTTGCTGCGCGTCCCTCCCTTGCGCCCTTGAAGCAGACACGCGGTGGCGGTGCGGCCGCTCAGCCACGCGTGTGATGGCTGCGAGTCGTGGGGGGTGCTTGCGCAATTGATGGGTTCTTGGGGGCGAGAATAGCTGCTTGTGAACGCTAGGAGGCGGGAGATGGACGCTGGAAGGGCAGTCGGGTCGGCGCACGGGTGGCGCAAGGCAGGGTGCAGCACTGCACTCGGGCCGCTGTCAGCTGTCAACCACCGAGTGCAGCGCGCGAGGAACCATGGCAACGGCCGCGAGGTTTCAGAGCGGATTGGGGTGCCGCATGGGCGATCAAATGGCAGCGCGGAGAAGGGACCGCGGCTGGCGTTGCCTTGCAGGCGCGCGTCGGGCGTCGTCGACTGGACAGCATGCGGTTGCGGTGTGCAGACGCGCAGAGAAAGTCGCGGGTCTGCGGCCATCGATTGGGCGCGGGCTGGCCTTGTTGGGGCTGAAACATAGCTTGGCCCGGGGCCGGCCAATCGCGAGCCTGATCTTCAGTCCATCGCGCGCTTCCCCGGCGCGTCTCCGTCGCGCCCGCCGGCCGCCTCCAGCCCACCCTCTGCTGCTCCTGGCGAGCGTCGGCGTTTCACGACGCCTGGCCGATCGAGGCCGCATCTGGCAGCCCGCTGCGCTGTTCCTGCAGCGCCCGCCCTCTTCCGCCCTCTTGCGCCCTCGCCACTGGCCAGCCGCGCCCGCCCTTTAATCCTGGCTCCTCGTGCAGCGCCGTGTTTCGGGACCACACCGAGGGCCGTTGTCTCCAAAATGCCCGTGTGTTTCCCTGGCCGCGACATGGAGACCCACCCTGCGTGCCCGCGCCCGCAAGGCCTGCGTTTCTGGCCCACCGCCCAATCGCCGCCAGCCGCCCACTGATCTCCAATCGTTGGTTCCGCGTGGCTCGCTGCTCAGTCGCGTCCGCAGCACGGGGTATATAGCCGCCTGGCCACGCTGCACTCCACACGCTTTCGTCGTCCAGCCGTTGACCGCGCTTGTTGATCTCCCCGTCAGCTTTTCTTTCCAGATCTGTCCCAGATCTCACTTCATTCTCTTTCTTTTGCGGACTGGTTCTCGCATTGCCCCTCCTTCACCAAACAACCACCATGCGTTTCTCTTCTTTCCTCGCCTCGTCCGCCCTCGTGGGCTCGAGCATAGCTGGCTATGCCATCCAGGACGACTACTCCGCAGAGAACTTCTTTTCCATGTTCGACTTCTTCACTGACGCGGACCCGACCAACGGTAAGCTCCACCCCGCCCGTCCATGCGAACGACCCGCTCATCTTCTGCCCCAGGCTTTGTGGACTACGTCGACGAGGCCACTGCCAACAGCTCCAGTCTGATCGACGTTTCCGACGGCAAGGTTTACATGGGCGTCGACTACACCGGCACCTCCTCCAGCGGCCGTTCCAGCGTCCGCATCTCCAGCAATGCCGCCTACAACGAAGGCCTCGTGATCCTCGATCTCGAACACTTCCCCGGTGGCATCTGCGGTACCTGGCCTGCTTTCTGGATGCTTGGCGAGGGCGAGTGGCCCGCGGGGTAAGCTCATCTCACTCTCACCTCACTTCCCGAAATAGAGCTAACACGCACGTGACAGCGGTGAAATCGACATTCTCGAGGGAACCAACAGCCAGGTCGCCAACCAGATGACTCTGCACACTGCCCAAGGGTGCTCCATTGCCAGCAGCGGCGCCATGGCCGGCAGTGTGAGCACCACCAACTGCTATGCTCACGCTACTGAAGACAACACGGGCTGCGCCGTCAAGGACAACGAGGCCAGCACTTTCTCCACATTCAACGAGAACAAGGGCGGTGTCTTTGCCACCGAGCTCGACCCCACGAACAACAAGATCCAGGTGTGGTACTTCGAGCGCGCCTCCATCCCTGCCGACATCACCAGTGGCAGCCCGGACCCCACCTCGTGGGGCAACCCGCGCGCCCTCTTCCAGGGTGGCTGCGAGGTTTCCTCGCACTTTAAGAACATGAACCTCGTCTTCGACACGACCTTCTGCGGCGACTGGGCTGGCAACACCTGGAGCACCGATGAGACGTGCAGTGCCAAGGCCAGCACGTGCGACGACTACGTCCAGAACAACCCCGAGGCTTTCAAGGATGCCTACTGGTCCATCAACTCGCTCAAGGTTTACTCCAACGACGGAACCGCTGGCAGCAGCTCTTCCGCCAGCGGCTATGCCTCGACCCCCGTGGCCCCTACTATCGGCCAGAGCACCCCGGTTGCCACTCCCACTCCTGTGTCGACCCCTTATGGATACAACACGCCTGCTGTCAGTGGCACCATGACGCCCCTGTACCCGGCGGGTAACTACTCGGATGTCTACGCCACTGGCTCTGTTGGCAACTCGGTGCGCTCCAAGACGACCGTCTATGTCACGGTGACGCCCGACGCAGCCGCCACCCCCGCTGCTACGCCGACTGCTGCTTCGGCCAACGCCGAGGCCGCCGCCGACTGGCAGCCCGGCGAGGCCCTGCCGTTCTCCATGTTCGCCAACGGCGTGGGCACGACGGTCGAGACGGGTACGCCCAACAAGGTCGCCCACATGATGGCGCACAAGAAGCGTGCCCACGGCGCGTGGAAGAAATAGGCTCCTCTCGAGAGCCGGGAAGTGTCTTTCACCGTTCCTAGACTTGGAAATCTTTTTGCGATCACAGGGTGTTTTACATGGCTTGGAGACCTTCATTTCGTCGTCCTTCTCTTACATATTCTGATTCTTGTGCATGGTTCACCATTCATTTTTCTTCTTCGGTTGGGTTTCTCTTCTTGCAAGTTCGCGGTTCGGCACGGCACTTATACCCGGGGGTTTCATTGGGGAATCTGGAGGTTTCTCTTCTCGTCAACGACACGCACAGTTTGTGGGTCACACAAAGCATACAGGAAACGAACGACACAACGAAAAAAAGACTGCAGAAGGCACGGGCTGGTTCCTGGGACACTGTTGACGAAGCTTCTTCAAAATTTGATGGGATACCCTGGGAACACGGGAAAAGGATTGATGGCATTTTAGACTTTCATTCTCTCATTCAGCATGAGCAACACAATGCATGCAACGACTTCATGACGACTCATCTCTGCCTTTCTCTTCGCTCTGATTGCGCCAATGTACTTCTTCCACGTCGTTGATGGCCAAGTGGCAGCTGATAAACTTCTCTTACCCCTCGCGACCCAAGCTTTGCACGCGGGGGATCCACCGACATGATTCCTCGCATGATCTCCATTCCTGACTCCTTGATCGACAGTGCGAAGTAAGTCCACAATCCCGGCGTCCAGGTCGTTCTTTGAACACGCATCGTCAGCAACAAGGCGCAGCTGCTCAGCCTCCTTTCTTTGTCTCCTCTGGTGCAACCTCCAACACCGTCTCCACTCTCCCCCTCGCAGTGCAAGTGGATGCAAGAAACGAAAGACGAGCAAGCGCCGCCCAACTCACGTGCCCACGCGTCGTGGCGACTGGCACTAGCGCGTGACGGCAGGCTGCAGGCTGCAGTCTGACCTCACCACTCCCGTCAAAGCAATTCCCCGCGTCGCCTTCTGGCACATTTTCCCGCGATATGCACCCGCGCTTTCTTGCGACCACGGCGGAATGGTTCTCCAGCAACGAAGCCCGTCCACGCACAACCAAATGCTGGGCAAGAAGCAGACCACGCTGATCCCCCACCCGAAGTCGACCAATTACGACGACGACGACGACGCTCCCGCGCGTCCGCTGAAGCGCATTAAGCGCGGGGAGGCCGGCGATGCTGGTTCAGACTACGCGCACTGCCCCGACTCGCCGAAGCCTGCGGCCCGAAGCGTGATTCCCGACTCAGACGCTGAGAGCGACGACGACGAGGAGGATGTGGATGCGCCAGCACCAGTGGCCCGCACCGATCTCGAGAGCGCTTTGCCGCCGGTTGAAACGGACAAGGAGGCCATTGAGGCCTACGAGATACAGCGAGCTTCCGAAGATGCTGAGCGACTTGACCAGGATGGCCGACTGAGGGAGGGCAAGTGGGTCAAAGGGCGAAGCTCTATATACGTCGATGCCTTCAACCTGGCGTTGGATACCGTTCTGGAGGAAGAGCGCCACCTTTTTGATGAGGCCGAGATGGAAGTCTTCTCGCAATGGCGCGCTCTGGACTACGAGGCGCAGTATCTGTATGCCCGTCTTCCTCCACCTGTAAGAGAAAAACTCATGGGCTCCGCAGATACGTCCGCCTCTTTCTCCGGAAAACGTCGGCCTGGCACCGCATCAACAGGCTGGGATATCACAGCGATATTGCTGATCTTGACGTGGCAATCGCGGCTTTGCAGCAAGCAAGACCCCTGCCTGACTCGAAAGCCCCAGCGCAAAGCAACCCAGGCGAGCTCGAACCTCCAGAAGGCACAGCCTTAGGCCCATCGTTCTCCTTCGCGGACAGATCCGAAGACCACATCGACACGCTTGAAGAAGCGTCGTCGTTGCTGAAGCTGGACGAGCTTAAAGCATTGGCAAAAGATGCCAAGGTCCAAGGCAAGAATAAACAGGATCTTCTCAGATCTTTCCGGAAAGCAAGCCAAAGACAAACGGGTCTTGGATGGGTAGGCCTGAAACGGTCTGACACCGACGCGTCCACGAAATCAGCCGACGGCGATCCAGATAGCGCATCGACACGTGAGAACACGCCTTTGCCGGAGGACGCGAATCGGGACGCCCATTGGGTACGGAAGATCATGTCTGAGACGGGTCCCTGCATACGACTTTCGTCGCCGGCGCTGAAGCTGTTCGAGCGAGTCCACTTGGTCTTCTACCGTTCCACGGAATGGACTGAAAAGTCTCTGACGACCATCATCTTGGCCAGGATATCACGGCGCAACTTCCCAGACTACGTCGTATCCAGATCGGCAAACGTCTTTGCTTCCCGGGCCCTGTTGCTTGAGTTTGAGGCATCACTGCGAACACAGTTCCGGGTTGACAACATCCTGGAGTTTAACGGCACGCCGGGCCCGAGAGATCTGCAACTGATCCTCGATTTGTTCGAAGAGGTGTACCCCCGCTGGCTCGTGCTGCTCCAGGAAGAACAAGCCAAGGAAGATAGCATATACATCAGCGGCGAGGGTGCCTACTTAAGACGACTGTCTCCTGCCTGGGTGTACACTCGTATCGTGCACAAGGCCACCTATGTACTCGGGAAATTCAAACAACACAAGCGGGAACACGAACTGTTGACAGAGCTGCTCACCCAGCGTTTGTTCCATGTGTCACGCCGCGGCGCTTGGTACCAACGCAAGGCGTTACTGGAAGAGCACTACATGGCAGCTCTGATGCCGTCGGAAGGGCTCGGTGAGGAGTCGCAGAAGCGGCATTGGAGACAAATCGCCCTTCAGACGTGCGAGGAAGGACTGCAAGACCACCTGGTGCACCAGATATACCACTACGACCTCCAGAAGCGCGTCACGAAGCTCGAGAAAGCGCTCAAGATTGCCAAACGCTTCCAGCACTCATTCAGCCACGTCCGGCTGGCCACCCCAGTCGAAGTGACGATCGAAGGCATCCGCATCGAGCGGTCGCCGACGCCAAACCCCAACAACAACACCAACACCACCACCACCACCACCACCACCACGACGAACCGCCGCGGCGCCGCCATCCGCCGCACCGTCTGGCTCGACGAGCGCGAAGGCGGCGGCGAGTGCAGCGTCGAGGCCATGTGCCTATCGCACTACCGCGCGCGCGGGGGCGGCGGCGGCGGCTGGAAGGGCTTCCACAGCGAAGGCGGCATCGTGCGCACGCTGTTCGCCTACCTCTTCTACGACGTGCTCTTCGCGTACGTGCCGCACGTCTTCCAGACCCCCTTCCAGACGTGCCCGCTCGACCTGCACACGGACGCCTTCTTCGCCGCGCGCCGCTCCGCCGTCGACCACCGCCTCGCGCGCATCGCCAACGGCGGCGCCGCCCAACTGATCCGCGGAGTGTGGGACGCGCACGCGGAGCGCCGCACGTGCGTCGTCGGGCTCGATTGGGGGTTCGACCTGGGGGATCTGCTGGAGATCGCGGAGTGCTTTGGCGGCGAGGCGTTGGCGGCGGTGTGCAGGGTCGTGGCGCAGGAGTATGGGCAGAGGGCCGGGGGCGTGCCCGATCTGTTTTTGTGGTGTCCCGATCGCGGGGAGGTCATGTTTGCGGAGGTCAAGAGCGAGAATGACAGGCTGAGCGATACGCAGAGGCTGTGGATACATGTGTTGACGGGGGCGGGGGTGAGGGTCGAGCTGTGCAATGCGGTTGCGAAGGAGGTTAGGAGGGTGTAGGTGGTGGTGGGTGCGTGCGTCTCTGGTATCAAGTCAGACAGGCTCGTGTGCTCCATGTTGGTGGAGAATTCAAGTGAGTTCGTCATGTTGAAAAAGGTTCGGTTCGATTCCACCTGCCACCGGGATGCCGGGAGGATAGATGTGTAGTCTGGTCTCAGGCTAGATATGCTTGCCTGGTTCGTGTCGGAGAGATTCATGTGGGTTCGGGTCACCTTTGGCACCCACCAGGGTGCGCAGTGATGCTTTTACACTCACTGACCGAGCACGCATGGCCTATAAATAGTTTGCCTTCTTCCCTCTTCTTCCCTCCGACTCCCTCCACCTTACACCCAACAAGTTTCGCCGGCCCACCGCTTGCTTCCCGGCAACAATGGCGAACTCCATGAGCACGTCCGACATGCTCGACCGCGCCATCGCCATCGCGGACGAGGCCCTCGCGGCCACCGAGTCACGCCCGCATGGCAAAAACAATACCACCGCGCGCCCGTCCGCCACCATGGCGTCGGCGTCGCCTTCGCCGTTGGCGTTGGCGTTGGCCTCCCCCGCTGGCGACACCCACGCCATGCAGAACGCGAACGACGGCCACGACGGCCACCACGACTCCCAGGCCGAGGCCGAGGCGCAGCAGAAGACCGCCAACGTCGCCGCCACGGTTGACAGGGTCATCGAAGACCTCAGGAAAGCTACCATGGCCCTCGCTGCCACCCACATCACGTCCGGCTCGGCCTCGCCGTCTTCTTCCCGCGGCCACGACGACGAGCTGCTCACCACCGCGGCCAGCGAGGCTGGCTTCGCCAACGACGGCTCCCACGTCGCGACGACTGGTACGGCCAACCACCCGGCGGCGACGGAAGAGGCCGTCGTCCACGACGCCCTCAAGCGCGCCATCGTCCACGTCCTCGGCGACCGCACCACCAACAGTTATGGTAACAGCAATGGCGACAGCAACCCCACTGCTGCTGCTTCCACCAACCCCGCTGCCGCCACCCCAGCCACTGCCACTACGCTTGCAACCCCCAACGCTGCCGTCAACCCCGCTGCCACCAGCGCTGCTGCTGCTCCCGCCAACCTCGCCGCCGCCACTGCCAGCACCACTGCCAGCGCCACTGTCAGCGCCTCTCCCATCGCCAACCCCACTACCGGCGGCAACGGCAGCAACAGCGGCAGCAACAGCGGCAGCAACAGCGGCAGCAATACTGCCAGCTCAAAGACACTCGGCAAGCGCCCGGCTCCGGCGCGCTCCGCCTCCCCGGACGAGCACGACCACAACCACCCCGGCAGCAGCAGCAGCGCGTCCGTCGATCTGGGCGACGGTGGCGTTCGTGGCCGCGGACAGAAGAGGAAGGAGAAGACCGGAAGTCCTGCGGCCAAGCGTAGCCGTCTCGACTGTGCCGACGCCGACGCCGACGCCGACGCCGAGCTGGCTGGACATGACGGCGGCGTGGTGGAGCAGGGCGGCTGTCGTGATGATGCTGATGACGATGACCACCGCGAAGACGACGATGGCGACGACGACGATAGCGAATGCGAATGGGACAGTACGTCGGGCGCGGATGTGCCGCCGGGCTTCGTGGGCATGCTGGATCGGCACAGGACGGCCGCGCAGCTGGTGACGGACTATCTCGATTCGATGGAGGAGTCTGCGGAGGCGATTGAGGCGGCGGTGGCGGCGGCGTCGTCGTCGTCGTCGCTGATGAAGGAGAGGGATACGAGGATGGTGTGGTTGATTATGAAGGTTGTGATGGCGAACGACGAGGGCGTCTTGGTATGTGCGGTCTCTTTTTGTTCTTCCTTTCGCCTTCCCCCCCTCCTTCTCTTTCTTCCTTGCTTTTGTCGTCATGTTTTTTCTCTCTCTCTCTTTCTCTCTTCGCCTCTTACTTCCACGACCGTCAGTCACCCACCTCGATCCGCCTAACTTCTGTCCCATGTAACTCTCGCTCGGCCAACAGTCCCAGATCGAGTACGACATTGAGCGCACCCACCAGAGCGTGCAAAAGCTCTCCTTCCACCTGGCCTCCATCACCAAGAAGCTCCAGCAGAAGAGCAAGCACAACCAAGGCGATGCCGCCACCGCCATCGCCGCCCTCGGTGCCATCGACGCCGACGTCGAGCACGACAAGTACGAGATGCTAGACAGCTTCCTCGCCGCGTATGGCAGGCGCTGCGCCGACGGCAAGGCTACGTGGAACGAGGAAGCCGTCGAGTTGCGCGGGATCCTGGATCGCATGAAGGCGGATATTGAGTGGTGGGATCGTGTTGACAGTGACGACGACGACGACGAGTGAAGCGGGAGGCTTATGGAACTTGACGGCGTGGACTGGCTTGCTTAAAAAGGATTACGAATTGGCTAGTCTTTCTTACTTCCCTCCATAGCAAGCGTCTAAGTAGAGACGTCTTCAGCGTAGGAAGCTGCGTCGACTTCGAGCACCAAACATTCAATACCTTTCCATCGTGATGCAACACCACCTTACAGCCGCAGTACGCTTCCTCTTGACTCACAAATAAACCCAAGTAGGCCGTTTAGAACATCGCAGTGTCTTATACACTTTCTAGGCTATTTGTTTTTTCTTAAGGGGGAAGAATCAATCAATCAAACCCAATTCAGTTGTTGTCAACACGATATATGCACACTTGGGAGGGGGGAAAGTACTTCTCTGACTTCGAGTACACGTCACCCACTGCCCTCTAATGCCTTCTTGATATCAACCGCCAGAAGCAGTCCAAACACGGTGGTCGTCAGCTACGAAAAAGAAGAAGAAAAAAACGCAGATAAAGTCAGTCCAGGTTTCTCCCCTTCCCCCTCGATGTAAACGATGACAAACAGGAACAAAACCACAGTTACTCACAATGGTACTCCCTATCATGATGGCAAGAATCTCCCACCCGCCCGCAAACACCTTGCCGCGCACAATGGCGTTCTGCTGGCGCCAGAAGCGGAAGGCGCCGAGGATGAGCACGGCGATGGCGGCGGTGATGAAGACGGCGGCGAGCGGCTTGCCGAGGGCGTGGTAGCCGTAGCGCGGGTCCGGGTTGGGGGCGTGCTGCAGGCGCATGAGCTGGGCGATCATGACGCCCGTCATGGAGAGGGCGATGGAGGTGCGCAGGTAGCCGAGGAAGGTGCGCTCGAGGGCTGTCGGCATACGGGATCATGCGGCAGTATGTTAGCAAAAAAAAAAAAAAACGGCTTTGTTTGACCTGTTTAGAAAAGTCGTCTGCTAGCAGCCTTGGGGCACTTCTCTCTCTCTCCGCGGCGGCGGCGGTCAAGCAATTCGTCACTGACATGAGAACGAACGCCCGAGCTGCTACTGAGCAATAACATCTTCGACGTCTGCACCACTCACCCAGATGATCCCTCATCCCGCCCGCCGGCACCGTCACGCTGACCTGCCTCCGCCACCACCTCGTCGCCACATCCCACCACCCGACCTCCTGTCTCGTCAGCCTCAGCTTCCGCCGCTCGCGCACGCTGCACTCATCCGTACACGTCGGCGCCTCCGACGGCGGCGGCAGCGGCCTCGGACGACCTGCAGGCTCATCATCCGGCACGTCCTGGTGGTCCTCGTCCACCTCCTCTTCCCCCACGCCACCGACGACCCGCCGCTGCGACGCCGAGTCCCACGACCGCGATGACGGTGATGATGATGATGACGATGACGATGATGGCAGGGGCGCCAGCTCCGTGGCTTCGCGGTCGTTGGGCGTGGCGAGGGCCGTGTCGTTCGCCGCTGCTGCTGTTCTCGGTCCCGTTTCCGACTCTGCTTCCGACGACACGCGACGGAGTCGGTGACGACGATGGCGGGCTTGTGGTGGTGGATCGTTGATGGGACGACCGGGAATCGATGGCGTGCTCGCAGCGCTTCGGTTCGATTGGGCGTTTCGGGTGGAGCAGCGTCGCGGAGGAGCACTAGTACTACCACCATGCCCGGCGCGGGTCGGCTCGTCGTCTCGGTTGCTTCTGTGCATTGTTAGGTGGATGTCGCTTTTTTCTTTATACCCGCATGCCTCGGACTGAGATGGCGGGCGTTGAGAGGGGGGAGATGTAGATGCCCGCTCCCACAGGCGGTGACGTCGCCAGCGGCGGGGAAACGGTCGTCCACTCTTGGCGTGCTCTGATAGGCCGGACGGCAAGGAGTAGTATTATATCGCTTCGTGCGGTAACCGACGTAAGAGAGGTGTAGAATAGGATGAAATGTTTTTTATCAACTACCGTTCCCACGTGCTGCCTTTGAAACCTTCTCTCACACGACAAAAACAAAAGTACCCCATGTCGGATCAGTGGTAGCCAAGGCCGTAAGCCTCCCGACGCTGTGTGTACTTGTCGAGAGTATCACCATTCAGCGCCCAAGTCAAGTCGCAACCGGCCCAAAAGTTGCGCTCAGTCCGCCCTATGATATGCTTGTCGCCTGCCACCAGGCTCGACTCGTGCAGCATCGCATAGTCCCTGAACCGAGCCTTGGCGTGGTGATTATGTGACACCCTGGCGCCACCTTTCACTTCGAACTCTTGCATGAGATAGTTGATGAATGCGTTCGTCCGGGCATCGTTGGTCATGCTTGCCGCAGCGTTGTAGCTGACCCTGTCCAGGAACGCCGCATCGCTAACCTCGATGTTATCAGCGGGCTTCGTGGGCGTCCTTGTGCTAGTGGATTGCCGTCTTGCAGGTGGCGCCACTCGTATGGTGCTTTCCGCGTCGAAGCAGTCGTTGACTACCCCTTCATCCTATCATAGTTACAGGAGGCCTTCACTTTAGTCTGGAGACTGTGACTTACCGACTTGTTCCTCATCGTTCCAACCTCCCGTTTCAACTCGTTGATCTCCCTTCGAAACGTTCTGCTGACCCGATCGAGGCCCTCTCGATTGGCTTTGCTCTGTTCACGAAGCTCCTTGACCGCATCTTTGACCTCCCTGCCCTCTTTCCTGATTGCCACGTTCTCAGAATCATGACGTCTCATACCGTTCCTGCTGAACTCGTCGAGCTCCGCGAGTGCCTCCTTTGCCGCTTTCACTTCCCCCTCGAGGCCGTCGACCGCCTTCGTGTTGCTTTCATTCTCCAGCTGACGCCTCCTGATGGCGCGAACAATGGTTTCCTCCTTTCCGCTGAACCGCTCGAGCTTCGCAATCGCCGCACTGTTGGTCTTGCATTCTTCGCGAAGGGCTTCGAGCTCCTCCCTCAACGCCGCATTCTCGTCCCTGAGCTTCTTTCGCTCATCCGCCCGCACCCACGGCTCGCCGTCGGAACCCCGCTGCAAGTCGACCGACGGTCCGTCTTTCCCATGGCGGCCGCGCAGCCTCTCGGCCATCTCAGTCATCTGCCGTGCCACGTCTCGCTTGTCCGCCGCCATCTTTGCCTCCAGTTCCTTGAGCATCTCGTACATCTCGAACGCGACGTCGTTGTTTTCGACTGCGGCGCGCTGGAAGAACACGTCGCTGAGTGAACGCGGCTCCTGCCCGTTCTCGTGAGAAGATGACGACGATGACGACGATTCGCCGTTGCCGTCCGCCATGTCAATGTCGGGCGCCGAGCCAGAGGGGGTTGGGTTTGCAGGAGGCGCGGCCATGGGCAGATCTGGGTGCCGCGCGTGACACGCGGGACGGGTCGGCGGGGGATTCGCTATCTCGTGTAAGGTTGATGTGGAGGTTTCCGACTGGTACTTGTGTTGTGCGCGCGTCGGGTACGCGTGGGTGGTCGTTTGGCCGTAGATTTAGGAGGGAAAGAGCGACCGCCATCCCGGAGAAGATTTGGATGCTGCCTCTGGCTGTGACTGATTTTTTGCCCGAGGAACTGCGCCGTGGCTGTACATTTTTTTCTTTTCTTTTCTTCGTGAGTCGTTGTCATGGTTTGACTGCGTCGTCCAAAGCAGCGGCGCTGCGGGAACCTCCATGCTGCACTTGTTTGTATGGACTGGCCAACAGCTTCAATCGGCCGTTCATTCGCTGGATACCTATATAATCTGTCACAGTCTCACTGCCGCAATTCGCCCAAGTACTCGACTCTATTGACTGACACGCCCACCCCGTTTCTTAACCTCTATGCATCTAAAAAAAACCCCACAAAACACACATCCACCATCGTCACCATCGTCACCACCACCACCACCACCACCATCCTACACCACCTCCCTCACCCCCTCCGCCTTCGCAAACTCCCCCTTCGGCCACCCCTCGACCTCCCCCTCCCCGACCGCCACCCACGCGCTCAACGGATCCGCCCAAATCTCCCACCTCTCAAACCTCCCCTCGCCATCCCAACCCCCCAGCACGTACACAAACTCCTCCCGCCACTTCCGCCCCGTCTTCACGCTCTCGAACGTGCCCCTCCCCACCACCGTCACCGTCCCCTTCAACCCGTGATTCAGCCCGCCCGCCCCGTTCGGGTTCCCGCTCCCGTGCCACAGCAACCCCTGCGCCACCTTCTTCGCCGGCTCCCACAGATGAAAGTGGTGATGATGATGATGACCAGTGGCATCGACGCTCACGCCCACGCCCCTCCCCCCCGCCGTCGCGTCCGCCTCGACGTCGACGACGAACCCGTCGCCGCCCGGGAACGAGCCCTCGTCCAGATGCATCCGGAGCGACGCGCCGAGGAGCTCAAAGTACCGCTCGCACGCCGCGGCGCCGACGAACGGCGTGCCGACGAACGGGAGGCGGCCTTGACTCGTCGCCCAGTGCGGGCCGTGCTCCAGGATGGTGGGCTGCGGCTGCGGCTGCGGCGGCGAGCCCGGCGACTGCGAGCCCGACGACGGGTCTGCGGCCGGGGCGGGCGGCGGCGGCGGCGGCTTGACCAGGAATTGGGAGATGAGGTCGCGAGGGGGTGGCGGGGAGAGGAGCGCTTTGCAGAAGGCTTGGGCGCGGTGGCGGAGGAGGGTGGCGCGGTCGTGGGGGTTGGCGGCGGAGGGGGCGGCGGCGTCGGCGGCGGTGGACATGGTTGGGGTCTTTTTTTCCCGTGTGTTTGTTTGTTTGTTTTTATTTATTTATTTTGTTGATTTGCTTTTGATTTTGGATTTTTTTTTTGGCGTTTCGTTTGCTCTGTGACGTGTCGTCGGCGTCGGCGTCGGCGGGTCGGTCGGTATTTGCTCTAGGTGTTCCAGTCCTTTTTCTATTCTGATTCTTTTCCGAGCATTCGAATGGGTTGAAGATGAGGAAATCGGGAGGATGGATGGGTTGTTCCTTAATCGGGGCGGGGCCGGGAGTTTTGTTGTTCTGGTCCTTTCTGAGAAAGGAAGGATGGCGTGAGTATCACTGCTGCCGATCGCCGAAGTCAATCGCGTCTCGGAAAGCCGTCGGGACTCGTGCTGATTTTCGGGCAGCCGGGTGTTGCCTGTCTTGCCTAGCCTTCCTGCCTGACTCGTTCACTTCGGTCGAGTCCAATGTGGAGAGAGGAGGTGTATTCGTGGAGTCGTAAACGCCAAGGAGATGTTGGAATAGTCTTAAGAGCATGCGATAAATACTTGACCGTCTGGAACGGATGAGCGACCGAGCGGAAACCCAAGGGGGACGTTGACTCCTTATGACGTCACCTGACATGATATTCCGAGCTCCCCGGATAACTGACTAATGGGCCAGCTCCATCGCACAGGTCCAGCAGCGACACGAGGCACGGGAGTGGGGGAACAATCTGCATGCATGCCGTGTCCGCCTCGGCGGTGAGACACCCTTTTTCTCCCGGGAACAGTTGAAGGCCAGAGTTGATTACAGGTAGAAAGAAGTAAATTACTAGTAAGAACGAGAAAAAAAAACAATAATACCATGCCCTTGTTTCAAATCTCTCAAACTCCAGGCTGCGTAACCGGTCCAGTGTATGCCCTGTGAGTCAAAGTCCAAATCAACAGTCTGCCATTTCCTTCCTTCCAACTCATGCCTGCAGCACATTACCTCCGCTTTCAAACCTAGTACCTTCTCCACGGCAAGTCGTACGCCGCCGCCGCCTTCACCAGTTTCTTCAGGCTCTTCTCCATCGCCTGCCTGCCCTCCAGCGTCTGCCAGACCCGATGCGGCGCCTTGTTGACGACCGTCCAATCGACTAGGTTGTCCGTCAGATGCGTCAGATCCCTCTGCTTCCGCTCCCACTCGCTGTCCCTTCTCGTTTCGATGCCAGAGCTGACAACCACAACCGGCGCGTTGCGCTCCTGGATCGCGCGGCTGCTGACCAGTTCATTCTTGGTGAGCGAGTCCGCCACGAGATTCTCCTGCAGCTGCGCCTTGATGTATTTGCCGTTCTGGTACGCATTGCGACCGTACACGCGGTCCTCGCGCGTGCGGCCGCTGAAGATGGCGCCACCGAGCCGTTCGATGCCGAGCGGCGAGATGACACCCCAGCCCCAGAGCAAGAAGCCACGGCCGGGCGAAGACAGCCTGTGTAGCAGGTCCTCGTGCATGGGGTCAATCATCATTAGACCGACGACGTCCCGCAGATGCCTCGAGGAGAAGATGCGGCTGATGATGCTACCGGTACCGGCGGAGACGAGGATCCAGGGGCCTTCCTCCCCTGCGCGGGCCAGAGCCTCCGACAGCGCGTCGGCCGACATACCAGCCGAGTGTGGAGAAGGTGCGTTGTCTGACCAAGCATACCCAGGCCTGTCCCAGTAGCAGTAGCGGCTGATGGTGCCGTTCTGCATGGCATTGTAGACCCAATGCTCGAAATCGTACTCTGACGGCTCTTCGCCAGCCTCAAGCAGGACAGTGGGTTCTTTCTTGTCGTGCGTGTACGTGACGTTGCCAACGCAGGCGAGGTGGACGGCGTACTTGTCACCATCGACCAAGTATCTCTCTCCATCCATCGATAACGTCGCATCGCGAGAGCGAAGGCCGAGGGTGCCCGTCATCAGTATGGTGATGATCACGAAGATGATCAGGATAGTGGTCGAAAGAAGCACGGCAATCCACTCCTTCAGTGTCCTCCGCGTCTCGGGTCGACCAGTCAGGCGTTCCTCCTCTTCAGCCTTTCCCCAAGCCACGATACGATCGGCTATGACACACCATGCGGCGATCACTACTGCCCACACGACGGAAGCAATACCGATCCAGCCTTCCTCAACCCGTATCCGAGGGACGGCTAGGACGATGATCATGTCGATGAGTAGGACGCCGGCAACGATGCCGGCGCTGATGCGCATGGCGCCCGAGGGTGCGGAGAAGAAGAGGAGGGCCACCAGTAGGTTGCCGACGGTCAGGGAGGTGAAGGAGAAGTCGAAGAATCCGGAACCGCGCGAGTGCATGCCGGGCGGCGAGACGAAGATGCAGACCAGAAGCAGCACCCACCACAAGAAGGAGATTATGAGGAAAAGAACGGTAAGGTAGCGGGTGAAGCGCACGCTCCAGAGGTTGTAGGGCGAGACCTGCTAAGATCAGCAGGAGCTTCACTGCACTGTTAGGCGATACGTACGGCGGGATCATCGGGATCCAAGTAGCCATCGGAATTGGGCGCATGAGGGTGGTGCAAGAGTCGTGTGCGCTCATCAGGTTCGCGCTCGTCGTAAGACCTTCTGGGAGGACCGTCGTCGCTCCGGCGCGGGGCCCCAGACTCGGAGCCGTTCGCGTCATCGTCCTTGTTGGAACCCCAGAGCGAAACCATTATCGCGAGAAGAGTCGGGCAATGGCGGGAATTGTCGTTGGTCGCCTCTGGAGACTCGTCGAGGGTGCGGGGATTTCAAGACAGCGAGGGGAGGCTGTGTGTTGAGGGTAGGTAGACGGAATGGTGATGTGATTGAATCGAGGATCAGAGCAAGGAAGCGGCGCACTGGCTGGACCGGGCACGACGTCATTTTGGCGCAGCTCTACACTCGATGCAGCTGCGTGCTGCCCGCGTTTTCGTTTTGCTGCACGTCACCTTGTGTGCTGGGAGCCACGAGCGACCAGCCCCGCAGCCCCGCGATGCCTGCTAGCTGGCGGCTGCATCTCCGCTAGGCCCGCTTCCCATTCGTGGCCGCAGCTCCAACGACCAGCTCGTGCGTCCGGTGCAGCCCTCACAGCCCTCAGCGGCCGATCGCATGTGGGCTCGTGAGCTCTGACCCATGCGTCGATCTGCGTGCATCAAATCACCCGCCATGCGCCTCTCCAATCCCTTCCATTCAGCACTCCACTCTCGCCGCCGCCACCACGCTGACACCGAGCGAATGCTTGCATGTCTCCCAAGATCTCCCATGCACTGATATATAGGCGAAATCGAGATCGATTAGTCTGGCCCCTCCCCCGGTGCTCTGTCCATCTTTGTGGCGCTCGCCTCCGTTTTGGCGTCTGGATCCATGTGGGCGAGCCGCATACGCCAACAGACCGTTCTAGCCTTGAAGGATCATGGTTTTGCCTGCGGGGCGTGCCCAACGGTTATTTCAAGTGCACAGAAGTAACTCAAGATAACGCCTTTGATTGAGGGCGCACCCGCCCCGTCATACATGCTACGCACCAGATGTAGAGCCAATGAAAGAAAACCGATGTTTCGGTAGTGGTACAAATTAGGGGGTTGGTAAATCTGACTCTGCCCATGCTATACCGGGGTCGACTATCAGATGTCAAACTGAAAACCGCTACGATGATGAAGTTTACGAAGGAACAGCTGCTTTTCCAAAACGATGACGTGGAACCACCACCAAGACTGCAATAGCCAAGTCTATGACCAACACCTGAACCTTACCAAAGAAGTTTGTTTGTGTTACATGTGCCTCGTCAGGTAGACGACCGGGGAAGGAGTGGCCTGATGCACGCCGATTTACTCATCGAGAGGGAAACTGTGAAAATGGGGTATCTTTCCCGAACAACAGAGAAATGAACGGTTTTCTTGGCAGGAACCGTACCAAAGTCCCAAAAAAAACCATGTATCCAAAACTTGACGCAGGAGCTGTTAAAATAGGACAAGGAAGCGGAGTGCCTGACGGCGATTGTTTTTAGTGGTGGTGGTCGTCGCCATCGGTTTCCTCGGTGGGTTTGGGGGGGCAGCACTGAGTACCGTCACCGCAAGCATCCCCACAAGCGAGCAAGCACGTCTCCGCCTCGCTGCGGAGACTTCCAGGCTTGCTTGCTTTCTTGCTGAGCTTCTTGCTGACCGTGGTGCTCCTCGAGTTCGGGTCGCCGTCGCAGGAGCTGTTGTCGCTGTGATCAGAGGCGTTGTGGTTGTGTCCTTCGTTGAGGCAGAACTCGGGCTGGATAGTGGACGAGTGGATGCCATATGCGTGCAGGCATCTCCGGATAGCACGCGCAAGCTCCATGTAGCGCGCGGACCCTTGACCCTTGAAGTCGTGAGCAACCTGCACATGTAGAGAAGCAACCAGCTTGGTGTCACTGAGCTGCCACACGTGGAGGTGGTGGCAGCTGATGATACCAGGAAGGTCAAGAATGTCGCTCTCGATATCTTCAACATTGATGCTGGTCGGCGCAGCCTGGAGCAGGATGCGGGAAGCCGCTTTGCACAGCGGGATAGCCGAGCACAGGATGATGACGGTAATGATCAAGGAGATGAGGGGATCCGAGTAGAAACGCCACGAGAAGTCCGTAAGCCAGATGATGAGAGCAGAAGCAATCACGCCAATGTTTCCGAGAGCATCACCCATGACATGGAGGAATACTCCGCGCATGTTGAGATCGTGAGAATGACCGTGGCCACCGCCGTTTCCGCTATCTTTGGGCTGGTTGTGCTTGTGGTCTCCATGCAAATCGTGCGAGTGGCTGTGCGAGTGGCTGGACTTGCGCTTAATCGAGCTCTTGACGTTGCTCTTTTGCAAGAGTGGGGAGTTCTCCGTAGGGGCCGAACCTTCGGCAGCGCCATTTTCGTTACCATCGCTATCCGAAGACTCCTCGGATTCAACGGAATCCATGCGCGCCGCATTGATGATCTCGTTCCTGAAGGAAGCTGGGTGAACGGGTAGGTCTCCGAACCCGCCATAGCCACTCCTCGACCTCGACCGGCTGTGACGCCGGACCTGGCGGCTTGCGCCAGAGGAAGGCCTGGCCGTACCCTCGCTCGAATTTTCTCCAAAATTGCCAGAGTCCTTAGATGACCGCTTCATACCCTGGCTCGAGGGCCAGTTCCCGAATCTGCTCTCAGGCAAAACATCCACGACATTTCCTCGCTCATCCGCAATAGCATCGACAGCATGGTCCGCATGGCTGTGTCCCTCCTCGGCTGAACCGAGTTCATCGTGACCGTGAGAGTGGCCGTGTCCGCCGTGGCTGTGGCCGTGATCGTGGAAAAGGAACAAGCCGAGGATATTGGAAGCCAAGCCAAAGCATCCGACAATCAGAACAAGTCGAGGGTTTCCGACTTCCTGCGGCTCGACGAAACGTTGGATGGCTTCGAGGAAGATGGACAGGCACAGAGCGACGAGGAAAACACCGTTGATCAGGGCACCGAGAGTCTCGGCGCGTTGGAACTGCGACGGGGTTAGCGCATCTTTTTTCTTCCAATTTTATTTCGAGTCGCGCAAAGCTTACGCCGTAGGTGAACATTCGCGAATGGTTCGTTGCATTGGCGGCTCGCACAGCCCAAAGACCAACGCAAAGGGAAAGCACATCATTGAGCTACATTGACGTCAGCAGAGGCAGGTATGTCTGGGTTCGGAGATACGAACCATGTGGAAGGAGTCCGCCACCAGCGCCAGCGAGTGGACGGAATAGCCTGCGGAACGTTATTGAGAGGCAGTTGTGACGACAGCGCGCTACATACCGACGATGAGCTCCAGGAAGAAGAAAGCGCTATCAATCCCCAGCAGTATGGAGATGCGGGTGGTTTTGGAGAGCCCCATGCTGCCGAACGACGACGCGTCGAGGCGCGTGCTAGAGAGCGGGCCGGCGGTGGGCGTCTGCAACGGCGGGTTGCGCGGTAGTGTCGATGTTTGGGACGCAGGCGACGGCGAGCGTGGGTGTTGTGGAGGGAAGGCGGGTGGAATGAGAGGAGTGCGTGGTAAAGTGGAGGCCCTCAGTAGTCTTTGGGCAATGTATTAATGGCTATCGATAGCGCGGCGCCGGGCGTTCGGGCCACTGCGTTGCCCCCGGGAGCGCTGCCCGCAATCCACCTGCGCCTGCGCCTGCACCTGCACCTGCGCCTGCACCTGCGCCTGCTGTACCGCCGAGCCCACATCATTATTTGCGCGTGCTGAGCAGGCAAGGGATTCTAACCACGCAACGAACACACCACTGCGAACAGCCCATCTGCTCCGAGGCGATTGCGCTTCAGCTCGGACTTGAACGTCTCAGCAAAGGCAGTTTTAGGCATCGATCTGATCTGTTATTTAGCACACGACACCGCAAGGGCCAAGGGGTAGGGAGGAAACTCCGAACTCCGGTGTTTCTCGATGGTCGAGACTGTACGGATAACGCTTCGCACAACACTGCTACACGAGGATTTCGCACCAACAAGTCAGGCTCGTCTGCAGATATTGGAATCTCCATGCTATGTGGTTTCTACTCCCGATCAACGAGGACAGCTCGCGCGACTGTGCAGTGACTTGGTCGGATCTGCGAGCGAGATCGGTTCCGGCAACGGACACGCGGCGGCATCAGCTCCGGATTCCATCTCACTTCCAGCCAGTCGGACACACAACGGGCGCCTGCCGCCATCAAGATCCTGAAGAAGCAGATCGGCACAGCCTTGAGAGCTCCAGACCGCCGAGTTTGGAACTCCATTCTGACCTGGATTTTCGCAGGTTCTTGGGCTAATTATCGTCGTCGGAGTATCTTGACTCAGAAGTGACACGTCAACGGTCTTCAATGCTACGACATCGCGTGCTCCTGTACGGATCACATGGGTTGCTCCTCTTACAAAGTGCAAGAAGATCAGCTGCCCTGTGCAAACAGCTATGCGACCCAGGTCGTCTCACAAAGATGTTGATCTTGCAGCTGCAGGTTGCCGCAATAAACGAACTCCGCAACCACAACTTCTACGGAGTTCCGACCAGATGCCGACCCGACTGTTTAAGCTGCTGTCAGCCGCAGAATTTTCTAGACCAAATCTACTGAACACGAGTCCAGAAACCTCTTGAAGAGTGGATTGAAATCAAAGCGGTGAGATCTCGCAATGCTTAGCAAGCAAGTGAGCTACCAATGGCAAAGAGCGCTAGGTCGGGTGATGCTTTGAAGTGGGCGACTTCGGACGTCTATGACGACATGAAAACTGAACAGGGTCTTGCAAACCGTTCAGGAGGGAATTGTCGTGCTGTTGCAGAGTTTGAGAGCTGTGCGATCTAGTAACGCTCGATGCTGTGTTTCACATCGCCTGGGTGCTTCCAAACAGGACAAGCACGACAACTTGAATACTCGTACCTAGACAAACAATTATTGATATACCGAAGTTCGGCGCCTGAGCTCCTTCTCCTGCCTAAGGCGGCAACAAGCAAGGGTGATGCGCTTCGGCCCCGCGCTTCTTAGCTCCCGCTGCCCGCTGCCCGCTGCCCGCCCAGCCTTCAGCCTTGACAAACGTCATTCGACCGCTCCCCACTCAACACCAGCGCCTCACTAACGTGTCCTCCGCGAAACTCAGCCACGACCGCGAAACGCAGACGCCCCGACCATGCGACCATGTCCTTCACCATCCCCGACAGAGTTCTCTGGCTCGGCATAGGCGCAGGCATCTACGCTCTGGTCCGCGGCGTCAGCTACGGCCTGCACGATGTCTACAACCTGACCGAAGTTGCGCCCGCCCCCGACTCGCCGCGCGCCGTCGCACAAGGCACCGAGGATGGTACGCCGTATAACCATTACCCCCGGCTTCTCGCCGCATCCGCCCCACCCCATCCTCTGCACCACCGTTGCGCTAACTCCACCGATAACCAGATATCCCGCTGCCGAGCCTGCAAGTCCTCGCGACGCAGCACCCCAACCTCGAGATCCGCAAAGCCGCCACCTCCATCGTGACGACGCGCGTCCTCAACGACCCGTCCACCATCCGCCGCATCCTCGCCGACTACAAGAAGCCCGACGGCGCGCCGGACCAGCGCGCCGCGCGCAACGCCATCCAGCTGATCCGTACGACCAATGGCATCGACCTCGAAGATTGGGAGGAGGAGCACAACGACAACAGCAACAACAATAACAACAACAACAACAACAACGAAGACGACGCCACGGCGGCCGTCGAAGTGGGCTTCGACGTCGCTGCGGGGCGCGGCGGGCGCTCGCGCTCGACCGCCGACATGCGCCGCGAGATGGCGAGCCGCTACTGGGCGGTCGAGCACGTGGACGGCTCCGACTGGGACGATGCTTCCGACGACAACAGCCATGCCGCGGACGTCACGTCTGACGATGGAAACGACGACCAAGACTTGACCATCACGGTGGGTGGCGGCGGCGGCGGGCGCGTCGCCGCCACCGAGCACAACAACGGTCCCTCCGGGGCGCAGCAGCAGCAGCAGCAGCAGCAGCAGCAGCAGCAGCAACAGCCTTCAAGACGTGGCGGCGAATTCGACGCCTTCGTCGAGGCAGACGTGTCCGCACTGTTCGAGGACATCAGCCGCCCGGAGCCGTCTTCGGGCGATGGCATCGAAGCTGCTTATGGGACTGTGGGTGCTGGTGCTGGCGCCGGCGCTGCTTCCGGCAGCAGTGTCCTCCGCGAGGGCGGCGACGCCACGACGGTCTGGGACCGCCACCGTCTGCCGGAGAGCCGGCGCGCTCACGGGCTCAGAGAGCGGCCCCATAGCGACACCAGCCACGTTGTGGAGGGCGTCCCGAGACCGCACGGCAGGAGACACCTCCGGGCGCGGAGCAGCAGGGAGAACGAGGAAGAAGTGGCGCGGCGGCGCGTCAGGCGCGAGGCTGTTGTCGTCAACGATGGGGACAGGCCGATCAGTCAGGATGATATAATTCAGAGGCCGCTGCAGCGGCGGTCATATTAGGATTCTGCAGCGATTGTCATGGTTTATAGCATTGCTATTGTCTGCATTGAGTGGGCGTTATTTGGGTGGTTGAAGGCTGGGATGACCAATCATGATGTTAGCGAACGAAGTATGACCGTGATGGCTTTTGCATAGATGGAGTTTAAGTATGTATCATAATTGGGACATTAATCTGCTGCTTAAAATCATTGCGGGAGTTAGAACGCTTATAGTGACGATAGCCCTCTCTTATAAATGCATTTTTTAATCAGATTGCAGTTTGTTGATCTAATAAATTTTAGGATTGTCAAAACGCACTCTGACATCTAGCTATCGTCAATTTTGTATCTGATATATTTCCACCATTAAAGACATTCCGTTCCACAGCTACACCTCTTCCATCATAACAAGCAAGTCTCATGTGAACACTAGGCAGCCCATAGCCAGCAAAATATATCCCAGCAAATCAATCAGCCACCCACTCCTCCACCCAAAAATCCAGCACATCCCCGGCCGTCCGTTCCCCAACCAGCAACACCATCTCCTCCACCTTTGCCCGCAGCCCATCGTCCCCGTCCCCGTCTCCGCTTCCATGCGCGACCGCCACCGCTGCCACCTCCCTCAGCGACCCGAACAGGTCGGTCAAACGGAACACCACGTCTCTACCCAGCGGCGCCGCCGCGCTGTCGGCCGTGCACCACGGCAGGAGATCGAGCGCTGTGTTGAAGGTCGATGACGGTGGTGTGGTTGACGGTGATACGATGGTTGTGGTGGATTTGTTGTTCTTGCGCTCTTGGACGCGGCGCGCGGCGCGGGCGGCGGAGTTGGTGCGGATGTAGGTTTGGAGGATGGGGGTGAGGGAGGGAGTGGATGGGAGGGGAAGAAGGGGGAGGGCGGAGAGGGAGGGGTCAGTCAGGAGGGTGGAGGTGAGGTGGGCGTAGGCGTGGAGGCCTATTTGGGGTCGCTGTTGTTGTTGATGTTGCTGGCCGGGTTGGTGAGGGCTTGTGTGAGTGGTGGCGGCGGAGGAGTCTGGGTTAAGCAAGAACATGATGATGGAGTCCATGCCACCGTTGAGTGCCGCGAAGTGTTGGATGCGGGTGAGGGTGGCGGGCAGCGCGGATGGGGCGGCGCAGGTGGGTGAGAGGAGGAGCACACGGAGGGTGCGGGTGACGTCTGCGCTGCCCTGGCGAGGAAGAGGGAGGGCAAGATCATGGGTATTAAGGCAGTACTCTGTAAAAGATTGTCAGTGAGGTTCTTGGATTTCGGAGGTCGGTATCGTTCACCTCGTAGATTCAGCCCAGGGTTTACGGTGAGAGCTGGAATGGCCGATGAGAAGGACTTGCGACGATGGAGAGTTGTACAGAACATCCTGAAGCACTAAGAGCGTACTTTTGGAGAGAGTGAGTGTAGGGCCTTGATCATACGGGAGTTGAGGTCTCAGACACAAGTGAGCTGTTTTGTTTGAAGGGAAAGCGCTGCCCGAATGATCCTGCCGGTTTCAGCGAGAACACCAAAGGCAGGCCACAACCCATCACCTGCAGCACTCGGCAATTTTGCTGACCACATACTATCTTACAATGGATGAGAGCTATTCCACCTCCCGCCAGAGAAAACAAAGAACTGTAATGCCTTGATCGACGAAGAACGCCTCAGACCGTCTATAATTTTTTTTCCCCAGCAGCTTGATTCTAGAGGATAGGAGATTCGGGTATCGACAAGTGATCATGAGGAGATAATGTGAACATATGGCGGGACTGTACAATATCCGTACTGAAGTGATCCCCAGCGAGAATTCTAGGCTTTTCGAACTTGAGAAATTGCAGCTTCCGAGACTTTAGGGCGTTCCTCGTCTGGCGGTGTAACTTCTTTCGTCAATGGTTCTGACGGAGCAGCCCGCGCCGCTGATGCATTCAAGGCGCGGTGCTCTGCATCCTTCTGGGCTTTTTCACGGGCGACCTCTTCAGGAGCAACGCGAGCTTTGAGCAGCTTGATCTCCTCCATGAGCTGCGAATTCTTCTCTGAAAGCTCGTCCAGCCTGTCATCGACCACGTCCCGGCGGTCGCTAGCCTTCTTCCTTGACCTCCACTGCTCCCATATAATGACGCTGCCTGCAACAAGAAACATGAAGGCCTCGGAAATGAAGTTGGCGCCCATATCAATGGCCTTGTTCTCAGCCAGAGGCCTGACCCTCGGAGTCTTGGGTTTGTGCTTCTCCGTGATTTCTTCTTTCTGTTTCTCCAGCGCTTCCTCGTCTGCCTTTGTCTGTGCCTCGGTCTTGACTGTGGGAATCTGCGCCGCGCGTCGCTTTGCCTCGGCTTCCTTGAGCTCCCTTTGGATTTGTCGTTCTATGACGGCAGGATCTTGTAGCAGTCCTACGCGCCATCGGACGTCGAGACGATGGAGGGATTGTGCGAATGCGACGCAGGTCCGTCGGAAGCTTTCATGGTTGCGGGCGCTGCGTTTTATTCCGTTCTAGCCGCTATCAGCCGATGCATTGATGAGGCCGATTCGGTAGACTCACGGCAATCGGCTTGGCAAGTGTACGAATGAAGAGAGACCCGATCTTTAAAGTGAGGGACATGGCTGCTGCCTGTGGTTGACGTGCGGAGCTGATGGGAAGCGCGTGGGGCACGAGTTGGCGGCAATTTCAAGGCATCGAACTCGAGGGTGTGTGGGGATCGTGGAGTGTGGGCTCCCAGTGCGATGGATTGTCTGTCGTTCGAAGGGACGCGGTTTGCATGCGATGGAGAGCTGGGAGGTGCGTCATGCTCGGCGCTCGGCGGGAAGCTGGCACGCTGGGTACAGAGTAGGTGGTGCCTGCAGTTCGGGCCTAGCGGGGATGGATTGGTTGGTTGGCAGGCGGGCGGCGCAGGGGCCCCGCTGGTGGCTGGTTGCTAGGGCGAGCAGTAGGGTAAACAGAAACCTCGGTCTCCCATACCGCCTCGACTTGACTGTGCCCAACCACCAAGTCGTCAAACAACAATTGCGAAATGTCCGTCCACGCCGACCCGCCCCCATCGCTGGTGCGGGAGCCCCACCGATTTGAATATGAAACTGCAGAACAACTTGGGAAGGGTGGCTTCGCCATCTGCCATCGCGCCGCTCTTCTCGACAACGGGAAGCCCACCGGACGGATAGTCGCCCTAAAGATTGTCAAGTCGAAGATGGAACCACCCAAGCTTGCGCAGAAGGTATGCAAATACACGCGTATTTGTACGCGTCTTATTGACGTTCGGCGTAGTTTGTCACGGAACTGCAAATACACTCGAAACTTCATCATCCGAACATCGTCGATTTCTACCGCGCTTTCTCCTTCGAAACCAGTACATACGTCGTTCTTGAAATCTGCGACAACGGCTCCTTGGCGGATATCCTCAAGAAGCGGAGGCATTTCACCATGCCTGAGATCCGCCGTTTCCTAATCCAAACATGCGGTGCTGTCAAGTACCTCCACCACCGAAACATTATCCACCGAGACCTGAAGACCGGGAATCTCTTCCTTGATAAGGACATGAACGTCAAGGTCGGGGATTTTGGCCTCGCCGCTGTCTTGATCTCGCAGAACGACCTTGGAGCACGAAGGACCACCATGTGCGGAACACCAAACTACCTTGCACCCGAGATTCTCGAGAAGGGCGGCAAAGGTCACAACGAGAAGGTCGATCTCTGGGCCATTGGAATCATCGCATACACTCTAGCCGTTGGAAAGGCGCCGTTCCACGCGCCGAAGAGAGAAGACATCTACAAGAAACTCCAGACGCGCGATTACAGCTGGCCGGATCCTGCGAAGACGACGAACGACATATGCCTTGAGCTGAAGGATCTCGTAGGCTCTCTTCTAGTCCATGAAGATGACAGACCAAGCCCGGACAAGATTGTCAGCCACGACTTCTTCAAGCTCGGATACATGCCCGCAAGGCTGGACGTGAAATACAAGGCAGGTGCTCCGAAGTGGCCCACAAGAGCACTACCTGCCTCGGCACGTGCCCGTGGCTATTCCGATGAGTGGTTCAAGCTGTGTAAGGAGTCAGGCGTCGGTGAAGTTGCAGAGGGTAAGGTTTTCTCCGTCATTGGAGGCAGGAAGATCAGGTCTGTCGTAAAGGACTGCGAAAAGGAACTCGCTCTTGGACGCCAGCCAGTCGTCCCTATCCCGTCCGACGCTGTCTATGTGCCGTACCCCGATCGTAACGACTGGCCGGACGTGAACCCTTGCGCACTGGCTGAAATTGTGGAGGATAAGGAATCGTCTCAGGAAGGGTGCCAGCTAGCTGAGATTACCGGCAACGACCGGACTCAATCAGCACTCATGAAACCACCCACGAGAGGAGGCAGGACCTTCTCGCACAAGGAGAACGTTGCGCCACAGCCCCTTCAAACAGGCGAGAAGCTGGAGAGGCCGAAGCGCACAAGGAGCATTCAGGCAGCAATTCGCACTGTCAGTGCACAGAGACCGCCGAGGCCATCAAGGGAAATCCACAGCGCACCGTTGGCTAGACCTACCAGAGACATGCCGTCCTCGGACTCCTCCTTGGAGGAGTTAGGCGAGATTGAGCCAGTCCCCAAGGTCCCGGCGCCGGTCAAGAGAAAACAGCCTGAAAGGGTAGACTCGCTAGAGCCGGCTTCGCGCCCTTCCACACCGTCCGATCCCTCTCTGGTCCCACATTCCGATCCGGAGTCGGTGCTTGCGCGAGTCTCGACGTTCCGCGACAACATCGCCAGAGCTTTGGCCAACCGTGCGTACGCGACGCGGAAGCCAGCCAGCTCGTACTCGCTCCCATTCGTATCGAAATGGGTGGACTACTCCAGGAAACATGGAGTCGGATACGTTCTTGAAAATGGAAATATTGGGTGCATCCTAGGAGCCACCTCACGTGAACCGGTGACGCATGTGGTGGCCCGAGATGGCTACAAGCACCTGCAGGCGCTCGGAAAAGAGCCAAGCTCGGTGGACAAGGTGCCACTGGAGTACTACACCGACTGTGGGGAGAAGGGATTGCGGGCCGCCGAGATTGCCAAAGAGAGGAGGCGTACCACTGGCATTCTCTGGGCCAAGTTCGGCAAGTACATGTGCCAGCAAGGTCCCTCGCAGGGCGACGAAACGCAAAGCGAAGACGACAAGGTTGCCATGTTCGTCCGGTTCTACCAGCGCTTCGGCAGCGTGGGAATCTGGGGATTCGGTGACGGCTCGTTCCAGGTAAGCGAAGTGCGGCAGATGATTGCGGTGAGAACAAGTGCTCACGCAAGTTACAGTTCAATTTCCCCGACCACACGAAGCTGGTGCTCTCGGCGGACGGCTGCTTCTGTAACTTTACGTGTCTGTCGTTGGAGGCAGCGCAGTACCTGGAGCAGTACGGCGAGGTGCCATACAAGTACATTAAAACACGCAATACTCTAACGACCTCTCTGCGCACCCTACTCAATGCGACGGGAGAAAAGGGCGCGCCGATCAAGGCGCTGGCAGACGCGAACTACCTCAAGGAGAAGCTGCAGTTCATCATGACGGTCATTGACGGCTGGGTGGCAGGCGGCGGCCTTGGCTGTTCGACGCGGGAGACGGCGCGGCTGCGATGGGAGGGCCCGCTGGTGGAGGACGAGAGGAAGCAGGAGTGGGTGACGGTGGGGCGGCATGGCGGAGATGCGCCGCGCGGGTCGGCGTAGGCAGCAGTTGTATTTCGGGCTGGGTGTTAGGTCGGGGCGGACTTCTTATGACGCTTGGGCAGCATTATTGGCGGCATGGCTGGGCGCTGGACAGACAGCCTCTTTTCTTGTTACGCGTCGCGTTCTGTTGGGATACCTTAGGCAGCGTTGGCTTTCGTACAGTAATGACAAATGAACAGGCAGCAATAATTAACCCGGCCTAGGCCAACGGCGGTGCGGGATGTGCGGGAGAGCGGCCAGCTGTCAGCGGCGGATTGCGCGTCGGGCGCAGCACCGCCACGGCGCGCCACAGGCCAGGCTGGGGGCCCCTTCTCACGCAGCGAAGCCCGGGGCGTGACGCTGCCCAGTGAGTGACGTCCGCCCGCCAGGCCTCTCATTTCGCCCTCCCGTAACATACCGCGCCCCATTGCGATCTCCATTGCGCGCAAACCCTCTCGCCCCCCACGACCCTCTCTCGCCGGCCCAGGCTGCTCCTCTGCACACGCGACCGCCGCTCCCATTCGTGATACCCGCCCCCGACTCGTGGGGTACAGCTGTTCCTGACTGCCTTCAGGGCGCACACCGGACCCACCATGGTGAGCTGCCCGCAGCCTCCCGCCCCGACTCGTCAAGCAACTCGACTAACCAGTCTGCCCGCCCACAGGCCGTTACCAAGCGCGCAGGGCGCAAGAAGGACGCGGGCGCCTCCAAGCAGGCCGCCGCTGGCGGCGGCGGCGGAAAGGGCTTCTCCAAGAAGGCCGTCTTCGAAACCACCAAGAAGAAGGAGGTCGGCGTGTCGGATCTGACACTAATCAGCAAGATCTCCAACGAAGCCATCAACGAGAACTTGAAGAAGCGCTTCGAGAATGGCGAGATCTACACCTACATCGGCCACGTGCTGGTCTCGGTCAACCCGTTCCGGGACCTGGGCATATACACGGAGCAGGTGCTGGAGAGCTACAAGGGCAAGAACAGGCTGGAGGTGAGCGTACCGAGCAGCGCGCCTGCGCCGCAAAGATACTGATTGCTACGCCGTCCAGATGCCGCCCCACGTCTTCGCCATCGCCGAGTCCGCATACTACAACATGAACGCGTATAAGGAGAACCAGTGTGTCATCATTTCCGGCGAGTCGGGAGCCGGCAAGACCGAGGCAGCGAAGCGCCTCATGCAATACATTGCCAACGTGTCGGGCGGAAGCAACAGCTCCATCCAGGAGATCAAGGACATGGTGTTAGCAACGAACCCGCTGCTGGAGTCGTTCGGAAACGCGAAGACGCTGCGCAACAACAACTCGTCACGATTCGGAAAGTACCTCGAGATTCAGTTCAACGCGCAGGGAGAGCCCGTCGGAGCAAACATCAACAACTATCTGCTCGAGAAGTCGCGAGTCGTCGGCCAGATCAAGAACGAGAGAAACTTCCACATCTTCTACCAATTCGCCAAGGGCGCCGCGCAGAACTACAGGGAGATGTTCGGCATACAGCAGCCGCAGTCCTACGTCTACACGAGCAAATCGCAATGTTACGACGTCGACGGCATAGACGACCTCGCTGAATTCAACGACACGCTCAACGCCATGAAGATCATTGGCATGACACAGGACGAGCAGGACAACGTTTTCCGCATGCTCTCCACCATTCTCTGGCTCGGTAACGTAACTTTCGTAGAAAACGATGAGGGAAATGCGGCCATATCAGATCAGTCGGTGGTTGATTTCGTTGGCTACCTGTTGGAAGTTGAACCGGCGCACGTCAACAAGGCTCTGACACAAAGAGTCATGGAGACCAGTCGCGGTGGCCGGAGAGGCTCTGTTTACGACGTTCCCTTGAACCGCGCGCAAGCAGCATCTGTCCGGGACGCCCTTTCGAAGGCCATCTACTTCAACATGTTCGATTGGATCGTCATGAGAATCAACATGTCCTTGAAGGCGCGAGGAGAGCAAGCTCACTCGATAGGTATCCTGGATATCTATGGATTCGAGATCTTTGAGCGCAACAGCTTCGAGCAACTGTGCATTAACTATGTCAATGAGAAGCTGCAGCAGATCTTTATCCAGCTGACCTTGAAGGCCGAGCAAGAAGAGTACGACAGAGAACAGATCAAATGGACCCCCATCAAGTATTTCGATAACAAGGTCGTTTGCGAGCTGATCGAGGAGAAGAGACCCGCTGGTGTCTTTGCTACGCTTAACGACGCCTGCGCAACTGCTCACGCCGACCCCTCTGCCGCCGACAACACCTTCGTCCAGCGTCTCAACGGTCTCTCATCGCACCCCAACTTCGCGGCGCGCCAAGGAAACTTTATCATCAAGCATTATGCCGGCGATGTCGAATATGCGGTGCAGGGAATGACGGACAAGAACAAGGACCAGCTCCTGAAGGACTTGCTTGTTCTGGTCGGCCAGAGCTCGAACCAGTTTGTCCACACGCTGTTCCCTCATCAGGTTGACACGGACAACAAGCGTCGCCCGCCGACTGCAGGTGACAAGATCAAGGTCTCCGCGAACGACCTGGTCGCAACTCTCATGAAGGCCTCACCGTCGTACATCCGTACCATCAAGCCAAACGAGAACAAATCGCACAGCGAGTTCAACGATGCCAACGTTCTGCATCAGATCAAGTACCTCGGTCTCCAGGAAAACGTCAGAATTCGCCGCGCTGGTTTTGCTTCTCGTCAGACATTCGAAAAATTCGTCGAGCGATTCTTCCTTCTGTCACCCAAGACTTCGTACGCTGGAGAATACACCTGGACTGGCGATTACAAGACTGGAGCCAAACAGATCCTTAAAGACACCAGTATCCCTGCGGAAGAGTGGCAAATGGGTGTCACGAAGGTGTTCATCAAGACCCCCGAGACGCTCTTTGCTCTGGAGACCATGAGAGACAGGTACTGGCACAACATGGCCATTAGGATCCAACGTGCTTGGCGCAACTACTTGCGGTACCGCGCCGAGTGTGCAACCCGTATCCAGCGGTTCTGGAGAAAGCTCAACGGCGGCAAGGAATTCATCCAATGGCGTGATCAGGGTCACCAGGTCTTGGCCGGCAGGAAAGAGAGAAGACGGTACAGCTTGACTGGATCCCGACGCTTCATGGGAGACTACCTGGGCATTGCTAATTCGGGCGGCCCCGGCGAGGTCATGGCGGATTCCATCAGCATTAGAGGAGAACCGGTGCTCTTCTCTTGCAGGGCTGAAGTGCTTATCTCGAAGCTTGGTCGTTCGAGTAAGGCTGAACCCCGTACGCTGATCCTGACGAAGAAGAACGTGTACATCGTCAAGCAGGCCATGGTCAACAAGCAAATCACGATTCTTGCGGAGCGGACAATCACCCTGGGAGCTATCAAGTTCATCAGCTGCTCTAATCTCAAAGACGATTGGTTCTCGATAGGCGCTGCTTCGCCTCAGGAGCCGGATCCCCTTGTCCACTGCATTTTCAAGACGGAGTTCTTCACTCACCTTACGAACGCCAGCCGCGGCACCTTCGAGCTCAAGATTGGACCGACTGTTGAATACAACAAGAAGCCCGGCAAGATCGCTACTGTCAAGACTGCCAAAGATCCCCAGGTCCCACCGCAGCAAGACCTGTACAAGAGCTCAACAATCCATACCAGCGCAGGAGAGCCGCCCAACTCGGTCTCTAAGCCGACACCAAAGGGCAAGCAGGTCGCAGCGAAGCCAATCACCAAGGGCAAGCTTCTACGGCCTGGCGGCCCCGGTGGCGGTCCTTCGAAGCTGGCCAACCGGCCGAAGCCCACACCTCCTCCTGCTCCCGCCGCCGCAGCACAGCCCAGAGCCATGCCTCAACCAGTTGCCGCGCTGTCAAACGGTCATTCACGCACTGCATCATCATCGTCAGGACGGGCGCCTCCACCCCCACCTCCGCCGCCTGGACCACCCGCAGCGCCGAAAGAGCCCACTTTCAAGGCTCTCTACGATTTCAACGGCCAAACAAGTGGCGAGCTAAGCGTCGCGAAGGACGAGGTCATTCTCATCCTCCAGAAGGAGAACAACGGTATGTAGATGCTCTTCAACCCCACCCCCCACCACCCTGGAAAATAAAACAAAGAGTCCCACCCCAAAAGAACAACAGGAGCACCCGACTGACAAACATCCTTCCTTCTCAAAAACAGGCTGGTGGCTCGCCAAACGCATGGACGGCTCGGCCCAGGGCTGGGCTCCGTCCGCCTACCTCGAAGAGGTCGTCGTCCAGGCCGCGCCCAAGCCCACCCCTCCCCCCCCGCCGCCGCCCACCTCCCGCCCCGTCCCCACGCCTCCCAACGGCGCTGCTGCTGCCGCCGCCAAGAAGCCCGCTCCCCCCGCGCCCCCGGCCAAGCGCCCGGCCGGCAGGAAACCCATCCCGCCGCCCGCGCCGAGGGACAGCGGATACTCGACGGCCGAGAGCGGCGCGAGCAACGGTGGTGGTGGCGGTGGTGGTGCGAGCATGGCGGGTGGGTTGGCGGAGGCGCTGAGGGCGCGGCAGGCGGCCATGAACAAGAAGGATGATGATGAGGATGACTGGTAGATGGATGGTGTGCGTCGGAAGGGGGGGGCGATAGACGGGTGGGGTGGCTATTCTTGGCGGATTTGGAAACGGGGATGGGATGTGGGATGTGGGGATGTTATGCGGGAAGAAATGCCATGATCGGGGTCAGGGCAAGCAGGGGAGACGTATTTGGCCATTGGAGGGTCTACTACTTGGGATGAACAACCTCTCCTGTTGGCCCGGATACTTCCTTCCTACACCCTTCCGATATTGCTTCGCGGCTAGTTCTATTGTTACTCCTTTTCCTCTCTTACCTTTCATACCTACGTTAATGAGACGAGAGGGTGGGGGAAAGGGATATCCCGAGATACCCCTCTCCCAAATCAAAGGTGGGACGGTATATGATGTGGTGGAGGGAGACGGAAGAGGGGAAGGTGTAGATTCGGACGATTTTCTTTTCTTTACTCTTCAGGTTTGAGACGTGTGGGGTCAGTATAGAGAAATTTTTATCTTTTTTTTTTCTTGTTTGATGCTTCTACTGTGAGACACGTTGCTAGTGCAGAAGATGATGGTGGGCCATTTTGCGGTGGAGCTGCGGGTGGTTGAACTCGATTCCGAGAGTTTGCGGCGTCGATGGGTATGCATTGAGTTGGTCAGAGGCGTGAATTGGGGGGCCATCGCTTGTGATTAATTTATTGAATTTGCCTTTAGACATACGAAGAGGCATCAGTCCCGACCTTCGCGTAAGAAAGTCACACCACGTTCTTCTCGAGCCAGTCCTCCCATTGCTCCTTGGTGAAGCTGCTGGAAATGCTGTTCTCCACAACGCCCTGTTGTTGCAATCGCTCCTATCAGCACCACGCGCGAAAAATCGAGGGGGGAAAACAGGAGACGCAGAACAATGTAAGAGACGTACGTTGAACACCACAGTCGGCGTGACGTGGATTCCCACCAGCCGGTTCGTCTTGACCATGACCTTGACGTCGTCCGTCACCTTGTTCCCGGTGTTCAGCGCGCCGTCGGGGCCCGGCTTGTCCGAGATCTCGAGCAGGCCGTAGACGTGCTCCTCGTCGAGGCCGACGCCGGCGGCGATCTTGGCGAGGCGCTTGTAGGTCTCGTTGCGCGTCTCGTTGACGACTTTGACGTCGAAGAAGTCGGTCTGTTGGTCGAAGAGGGCGCGGCTGAAGGCGTAGAACTGCGCGGGGGCGAGGCGCAGCACCGCGGCGCCGGCTTCGTGGACGAGGGTCGAGGAGGGGTGCCAGGGCTGGATTTGCTGGCGGAAGATGATTTGGAGCTGGGAGTCGTATTTGGATTTGATGGTGGGGAGGACGTGGTCGTAGATGGTGTTGAACATTTTCTTGGAGAACTGGGCGGATGTCAGCGGGAAGGTTCGGGTTTTCCTTGTTGGCAGAAGTGTCGAGGGCTGCTTACCGGGCAGACGTAGTCGAGGTCTGTGGATGAGGGGAATTGGTTGTCAGTTGCGGGTTTGAGCTTGTAGGCCGAGGGGATGTACATACAGAGCTCGAGGGTGTGCACCGTCTTCACGCCAGAAGCCAGCTTCTGGCCAGCGAATTTGGGTGCCAATGACATGGTCTTGCTTGAATTGGATTCGCGGATACTGGTCTGTCTACAGGACAATAGAAGTGAAGGAAGAAGTGATCGAGGTGGTTGCAGCTGGGGTTGATGTGATGGAAGCTATGGCGCGAGCGAAGCCCCGCGATGACGACAGTGGGGCCGATGAGTATCCTTATCCTGGAAGCTTCGGACGTGCACACCTTCCACAACTTCTAAACCCATCATATCGCCGAACCCCACGCCGGGAACAAAGCATCGTTAATCAGTACAGAGCGTCTCACGCGTAGTTTAGAACGCCCTTGATAACCCAGACCTCACCGTTGGCAACCTTGTCGGCGATGGCCGAAACTTCGACATTGCCAGGCTGGAGCTGCATCGCTATCAGTACTCTGCTGGGCACATGCAGACCTCGGTAGCCTTACCATCTTCTTGCCGTCCGTGATCTCGTACCACACCGTATTGCCCGCAAGCGACTGGATCTTGTCGTTCTCCTTCCACGGACTCTCAGGTACGATGTGCGCGTTGACGAAGCGCTCCAAGTTCTTTTGCGCGCGGCTTGAGCCATCGGCCCCTTCGTATGCGTTCGCGCCCAGAGACTCGTAGTCTCTGGCATCTTCCCAGGGCTTGCGTGGCAGGCTGTGGATGGCGCTGTTATCAGGCGCCAGGATAGTCGCGTTCTGAGAGCCGTCGTTTAAACGTGCAGCGACCGAGTCGACATCCCGCGTGAAGCCGCTGAAGATGTTGACGCTCCTGTCCTTGCCCATCACGTCGGACAGGATCGGGGCGTCGTCGGACGAGGCGGCGGGCGGCATGACGATGCTGGGGATGTTGAAGGATGGCACTTGATCGAGCACGTCGGCGAGTTTCTCGCGCCACAGAGGTCCAGCTCGGGCAGATGTCACAAGGAAGAAGGCTGGAGCGAGCAGTGATCCTAGAAATAGAGGGTGTCGCATCTTGGATGTTCGAGTTGTCAGGGTCTTGAGCAGGGCGAGCGGCCATGGGAGACGGCCTTGCCCCGGCCGTGCGTCATCAGGTGGCACGCGTCGCGCTATCTTATCGGCACGTGCCAGCTCCCGCCAGCGCCCGTGCGCGCCTTCCATCCTTCGGTGCTTCCTCGCTTCGGCGCGGGCCCGAGCTTCCATGCGTGTCTTCCTCCGCTGCTGCCTCTACTCGGCGCCAATCTCGACATAACAACACCGCCGGCCATTGAGCTTCGCATCCTCGCTCGTACCGGAGGCTCACGTGGGTGCATTCCCATCGCAGCGACAAAATGGCTGTCCCCTTCGTCCAAGTCTCCGAGGTAAGTTGTAAAAGATCCGCGCGTGTCCTGCCTCAAGCTCACATTCTTCGCAGGAGGAGTTTCGCGACTTCGGTCGCAAGCACTTTCCCGGCGCGCCGCAGCCCATCGTTCTTCCATCCTTTGTGACGCCCTCGGCCAACTCGCCGCCTGCCCACAACACGTCTCCGTCCTCGGCTGCCTCGGACATTGCCTACAATGCCGGCTTCACTGCTGGTGTTAGCTTTGGACACGCCCATGGACGCGCTTCTGGCTATTACGAGGGCTACAATGCGGCAGCTGCTCAGCTCGGTGCTCCGACTGCCAACACTCCTGATGCCGCTCAGCCAGACGTCGGCCACGCTGAGGCTGACGCCGAGGACCAGGTCTACGAGGCCCACGATTACGAGGAAGAGGAAGACTTGGGCTTCTATCCTGATGGAGTCCGGCGCACCGTTGATGATGAGGCTGTCAAGTTCTACCGTCGCTCTGAGCTTATGCAGATGCTCAAGGATGCCAAGATCCGTGTCGCTGAGCGCAAGGAGCGCGAGGCCGAGGAGCAGAATGACGTGAAGCCAAAGCTTGAAGCTCAGGTCGTCGATGGGCTTGCGCAAGCCGAACTAGACAAGGTCGAGCCTCAAGATGTCAAGGAAGTCAACCACGACGAGCCGAATGTTGTCAAGCCCGTCGGCACGGTTGTGCATGAGCCTGTGGCCCCGGGCATGGTCATGCACGAGGACCAAGCTGATGCAGGTGCTGACACTCCCTCATCTACGACGATGGTCGGTGATGAGACCTGTAAGCGCCCAACTCCTCTCAACGCAAAGAAAAGGTTGACTGCTGTTCCAGAAGCACATAGGGGCAAGAAGCGGAAGCGTCCTGCGCGCAATCCTCCTCCGGATATTGAAGGCATCACCTACCGCAGGATCGCGCGTGAACTGGATCAAATGCCAAACGAGTCGGTGGAGCTCGACTACTGACTGCTCTTCCTTGCACTTCTAAGCTGTTGTTTTCAAATTAGCGATACCCATACTCTTCGTCAGCAACTAGGGACACGACTTCCTCGTGAAGCACTATGATACAAGGTACGTACAGGTACCTCTCTTTGATTACCCTCATCGGCATGTTATGATGAAACCTTCGTATCGTCATCCTTAGGCGTAGATTGAGACGCATGATGAGTGTCCAAGGGAGGAACGTCTTTCTCAAGAACGGGACCTTGAATGCCACATGGGCAGTCTTGATACTGCCGAGTAAAAATCTTCTCTCTGACTACATGCACACCTCACATTCGGATCAAAGATGTCATCCAAAGCACAGCGCTGACCAGTGCACCACACAGACTTGACGACTTGGACCGTTCTGAACGGATATTTTACTGGTTAAAATCAACAGTAGGGCTGGAGGTATGCATGCATCAGGACGGAATGAGCTTGTTGGATCATTACGTAGTCGCATCAGGCAGCCAATCCAGTTGTTCGTCATCTTGCGTGCTCAGAGCGACTGTGCCCCACCTGCAAGCGTAGAAGCACCCGGTTCTTTAACAACAACTGCGATCAGAGTTTCCAAGGTATGCTGTTCATCTGATCGAGAATGAAGATGGTCGGTCAGGAACGCATCGTAGGAAAAGGAAAGGCGAATGGACGCAGACGGAGCGGTCAGATTTAGCGGTAAGCTAGCTGAGCATAAGAATCAAAAGAATGCTTCTGTGTTGTGTTGATGGGACTTGACGCAGGCGGTTGCGCGGCCTGCAGACGACACGCGTAGGCCCAGCCAACCAGTGGCACAGTGGCGCTGCGGCCAAGGGGCCAAGCTACGTACCAGGAGTCTAAGCTCCCGCCGCCAGGCCCCAAATCCCGCCGCCGCATAGGAGACCCGACACCAAAGCTGCTCTCCCCTCACTCTCTTGCCGTCTCGCAGCCGAAAGATGCGCACCGCTGCTGCCTCTTCGTCCAGTCCAACATGACCTCGTACGATGACTGGGGCTATCCGATCTCGTCGTCGCGCAACCGCTTCCGCGCGCCGTCCACCGTGATGCAGCGCATCCAACTATTCGCCAGATCGCTCCTCACTCGCTCTGGAATCTACAGACCCAATGCGCCTGCCGGGAAGACCTGGAACTTCCGCCCAATCTTCTCCGTGCCAAACATCCTGACCCTCGTCTGGGTGTGCTTCGTATACTCGAACGAGCGCTCCGCCTTCCGGCATGGCATCGAGGCCTGCGACTGGGCCAACTGGGAGAGCTGGGTGCGCCGCCTCGCGTTGTTCGATTGTGGGAAACCTGAGCGCTGACGCCATGGGAAAAAACACTAGCCCCACGATGCCACTCCGCACCGCCTCGTCTTCGTCGCGGACCCACAGCTCGTAGACCCGCACACCTACCCCGGCCGCCCGTGGCCGCTGTCCACCCTGACCGTCGCCTACACCGACCAGTACCTCCGCCGCTCGTGGTCACTGATCCAGGAGGACCTCTACCCGGACACCGTATTCTTCCTCGGCGACCTGTTCGACGGCGGTCGAGAATGGACGGCCGACGGCAGCGTGAGCGAGGACAAGACGTGGAAGCAATATGGGGACAGCTTCTGGCTGCGTGAATACGACCGGTTTGGCAGGATATTCTTCGACCACTGGGGCGATGCTGGAATGGCACCGAGGCTGGGCCAGCCGGGACGCAAGGTTATCGCAGGACTGCCTGGAAACCACGATCTGGGATTCGCTGCGGGCATTCGGACCAACGTGCGGAAGAGATTCAATGCCTATTTCGGCGATGGTAACCGCGTCGACGTCGTTGCGAACCATACCTTCGTCTCGATCGATGCCGTTTCGCTGAGCGCGCTGGGACATGCCGCCGGCTCTCAGGACATCTGGAAGCCGACCCAGGATTTCCTCGACCAGGCCCAGGCGGAGAAGAGGCGAGCTGTTGCGAGAGAGTTGAGGGCGAGGAAGGGCTTGAATCCCACTCCGCCCTACAAGCACAAGGTTGTTGATGGCGCAGACATGGGGAAGGCCAAATTGCCAGTTGCAGATGCCGGCGATGCCGAGTTCCCTACAATCCTCCTCACCCACGTCCCTCTGTACCGCGCCGAAGGAACCCCCTGTGGCCCGTTGAGAGAACACTGGCCGCCAACCGAGCCTCCCAAAGGCCAGAAGGAACCCGTCTTCCCCGACCACCGCAACGCCATCGCCGTGCGAGGTGGCTATCAATACCAAAACGTCCTGACCAAGGACGTTTCCAAGGACGTCACCGAGAAGATCGGCAACATCGAGTATGCCTTCTCGGGCGACGACCACGACTACTGCGAAGTGGTGCACAAGGGCTACCAGTCCGGCGGGCACAGCGGCATCCGCGAAATCACCGTCAAATCCCTCTCGTGGGCCATGGGCGTCCGGCGGCCCGGCTTCGTCATGCTCAGCCTGTGGAACCCGGTCGACGACGCGGGCCAGTCTCTCGGCGCGACGGCGGAGCCCACCGTCCAGAGCCACCTCTGCCTCATGCCCGACCAGCTCGGCGCCTTCATCCGCTACGCAGTGCTCTTCGCCATCGCCCTCTTCGTCCTCATGGTCCGCGCCCTGGTCTTGAAGCTCAGAGCAGCCTCCTCCTCGTCCAACCCCAACAACAACCCGGACGACGCACCCATCCTCCCCCTTTCCGAGGGACACCCCCAACGCAACGACAACACCACATCCTCGGCCGAGCAGGAGAAGAGGAGACTCCACCTGGGCGGCGCCGCGGCTCCCAGCAGCCGCAACCGCACCGACTCGACGGGCGAGGGCGCCTCGTCCAACTCGTCCACGGCCTCGGCCTCCGACAACAACCACAAAACAGGCCTCTCATCCCGCTCTGCCTCCCTCCAGCAGCCACGGAGCACGACGACGACGACGACGACGATCCGCAACCCCAGCCCCGTTCCCTCTGGCGGTGGTGGTGCGGGCTACGGCCTGCCTCCCCCCTCGTCTTCCTCATCACCGGTATACCACGGCGGCGGACCCGGCGTCAGCAACAACGGCCCCATGAAGCTCCCGCTCGTCGCGTACGCGGGCTTCTACCCGGACCGCGCGGAGGAGAAGAAGAGGGAGAAGGAGGCAGCAGCCATGGCGAGCACGAAGCCGACGAAGAAGCCGAGGAGGAAGAAGAAGGGCGAGGGCGTCTTCAGGGAGGAGCTGGGCAAGAGCGTCGTGAGGGTCGCGGCTGTGGTGTTGACGTGGTATGCCGTGTTGACTTGGTCGTGGTAGTTAAGTCTTTTTACCTTGGTACGAATACTGCTACTTGCCGTTGTCGCTTACTACCTCTGTACTGTTATCCCGATATTAGACGTTTGTACAACTGTACTACCTCGGTTTCTGTTTTTCTCTCTCTCTCTCTCTCTCTCTCTCTCTCTCTCTCAGTGCGTGGATTCAGAGCATTTTGTTTCCGTTACTTTTGCTACTGCTGCTGCTGCTGCTAATGCATTGGTTCCATGTTAGATGATGATATACATCGCTTTTAGCTTTTTTTTTTCTGTTCGGGTAGGTACGCTCTACCGACTAACTTCCCTTGCATGATTGATGGGTATCTGGCGTCCGGAGGTTGTTCTTTTTTTTTTTTCCATCTTGGAGAAGAAGGTGTGCAACAAGAACATGTATCTCAACATTCTACTTCCTTTTCATCGCTACTAGTCGAAGAGGGAGGTAATACGTAAGGTTGATAAATACATTTGTCTTAACGGCATGAAAATTATTTTTACATTACTTAGTCCTATCACGTCATCGTCTCATTTTCTCCATGTCTCTCTTTGCTCTTTCCCTTTCGTCTTCGTGATCCTCCAGTCGTCGAAAAATAAGACATGTATCACCTTCGTGTGTGTGAGAGAGAGAGCCGGTGAAGACCACACAGGAAGGAAAGAAGGAAAAAAAAATTTAAACATGCAACCACCTTGCCATCCACGTCTCCGTCACCGTCTTCGCCTCGTCGACAAGCCCCATCTCGAGCAGCAACTGCGTGGTTCCCCTCACTGCACTCTCGAGGGCCGACCAGATCCATGCGTGCGTGAAGCTCGTGTGCTCGCCGACGAAGACGGTGTGGTGCTCGGTGTGGTAATACGCGGGCAGGTACAGCTCCTGCTGGCCCACGAGCGGGCTGGCCCAGGCGCCGGCCTGGTGGACGTTGTTCTCCCAGCAGATGCGGTCGTATTTGCCGGTGAACTGTTCGATGGCGACGTCGCCATGCACGGCGGCCATGGCGCGCACGACGTGCGCGACGTGCTCGGCCTCGGTCATGCTGCCGAGCGTGCGGGCTAGAGTGCCGGATTGGTACGAGGCGAGGAGGACACCCGGGCCAGTGGCGTTGATGGTGTACGACGGGTAGCAGATGCTGCCGATGCCGGCCCAGGCGGAAGTCGAGCCGCAACCGCCGACGATGGGCGGCGAGAGGTGCTCCCAGAAGCGGGTTTCGTAGTGCAGCGCAACCTTGCAGCTTTGCTCGTAGTTGAGGGTGTTGATGGCACGGGTGAGCAGGCCGGAATAGGAGGGGAGCTGCCAGAGGCGGACTTTGGAGAAGGGGACAGCGACAACGGCATAGTCGAAGGAGAGAGAGTCGAGAGTCGTGCCCCAGGGCCCGTCGGGCCGCCACGATGCGGTGGTTTGCTGCGTCGTCTCGTTGTACGAGAGCTGCTCGACCTGCTTGCCGAAGAGGGTGCGGTTGGCGACGAGCGGTGTGAAGGCTTTGGGTAGCCGGCTCAGGCCCTTGTCGATAGTGCGCCACTCTGTAGTCAAGGATGAGAAATAGACGCTATCATACAGCCACTCCGGATTATCGCTCGCCGTAGAGACGGCCTCGTCGGTGACGTTAAGGTCAGTGTGCAACTTGTAGCGTAGGTAGCCAGCTTCGGAGAAGTCGAAGTAGCCCTCGGCCACGGCCTTCTTGTGCGCGTCGAACACGTTGGTGGCAATGTCCCGCATCTTCTCCCACGTCAGCGCGTCCCAGTCCTCGATTGCCTCGAGCGCGTCCTCCACGGCAGTGACGTTGGAGTAGGAGAGGGTGTCGTCGGTGCTGTCAACAGGGTCATTGGCGCTCGACTGGATCCACTTGATAAAGTCAACGGCCAAGGCGGGATCATGGCCATTCATCTCGTTCAGCGTGTCGGCCAACTGGAACACCATGCGATGGTCCATGATCTGAATGGTGTCGTTGGTGGTAGTGTTCGTCAGGCTGACAGGAAATCGCATGGGGCCCATTTCCTGGTACTGATAATCCTCTGGAGCAGTTCCATTCAGGTAAGAGGTGTGAACACGACCTCCGATACGCTCACTAGCCTCGATGATCTTCCAGTTGGTGATACCGACGGACTCAAGAAGATACTGCCGTACACGTTAGGATGCCAGTTTGGAGATTGAAGTAAAGAGACTGTCTAAAGGATGGCGACTTACAGCGGTCATCAGACCAGACATACCACCGCCAATGATGCCCACACTCTTGCCCTTGGCTTGAGCCACGAAGGTCGAGTCAGGCTCCTTCTCCTTCAAATACTCGACACCGTCGAACCAAGGGCCCATGGGGTCGGCAATGTCCGCGAAAGAGGTGCTCCTGCGAGCTCTCCTTCTCTTGACCGTGAAGGCGTCGGACCTGCCAACCAGCTCGTGGCCGGCAAAGGCATGCAGACAGCCACCGGATTGCACGTCGGCAGGAGGAAGCCAGACGAAGCGAGTGGGCCTGTAGTCATCCCAACCCAGATTTCTCTTGGCTAGCGGGTGGTCTCCAACATGAGTTCTGCCGACACGGTGATGTGCCTCATACGGACTGGCCATATCGCAAGAACCGTAGTGTACAGAGAGTTCGCCATCAACGGGGCCGGCGAACTCAATGTGGATGTTGGTCATTCCATCGGCTTCCGCAACGAAGGGACCCTTGAAGACCACAGTTGTGGGGCTGGGGACGGCAGCGGCGGCGGCATTGCCGGCCAGGAAAGCAGCGGCAGCAAAAGTGCCTGAAACGAGACCAGCAGAGTGGAGGAGACCCATGTTGGATAGGGAAGCAATGAAAGCACTTGAGAATCGGCCTGCAGAACCAGAAGGCTTCTCTCTCTACACCCCGGGCTTAAATACTCGGCCAAGGTTTCACAGAGGGCGCCGGATATGACAATCTTGGGGGTATCTACCGAGCCTCAACGGTGAAGACCGGCCTTGGCAAGCCCTGAGGTTGACCATTCGCCGGGGCCTGAGTCAGACGGACAAGATAACGGCAGTGGGCGGTGTTCGTTTATGACGCGGTCAACGAAGAGGCTTGCCGGAAGCAGATTGCGGAGAGCGGACTCCCCCACAGGCCAGGCACCGCGGCGGCCATGGCGTTAGGCAGCGCAGGCTGGGGAAGAGCGGATGACGATTGGGCGGGCTCAGGCGTCCATGTAGTGAGATTATCAAGCACAGCAGCCTCAGGGTTGGTCCTACGGTTTAGCGAGAGGCCGACGAAACAGCTCGCAGCGATAAGACGGCCAGCGGCAGGTCAACGGCAGGTCAACGGCAGATCAGCGGCAGAAAGCAGCAGGAAGGCCTTCTCCCGGACATGATTGACGTGGAAGGCGGCGGCGGAACGTGGCAAGCAAGTGCCGGGCAGCGCGAGGTCCGAAGATATGTCGGGCCCATCGCCTTTGGCCGACGCGGGAGCACCGGCCGCCTTGCTGATATCGAGAAGGTCGAAGCGAGCGTGGACCGGCGACTTGGTGGGCTCGGCACGGCGGTCGGCCAGACGCCCGCCGGCACATCTGGATAAGCCCGTGGTGGTGCGGCTCTGTGGTGGCATCATTACGCGCGGCCAAAACGTAAAGCGCAGCAGTGGGCGTTGGTCGGTAGTCGATCGACTGGTTGACGGCGCGGAGGGGAAACAGCAGCGCGGTGGCGCAGGCGAGGAAGAGAGAGACGGAGACCAGCTAGCTGGGAGCAGGGCGGGTAGGGCAGGCAGGGCGGGCTTTATTTAAGAGGCTGCCGTGCAACCAAGCCTTGGCCGAGTGCGAAATAGGCATGAGGATGGGCAGGTACGGCGTGTGCAAGGCGGCTTCCGAATTGCGCGATGGCCGCGACTCGTGCAGGTGGCCGGCTTGGCTTCGGGAGAGCGCCGCATGACTCGCCCGGCTTTTCACGTCACCACCTGCATGGGATTTTTGCGCGGCCGTCTCTGGGCCTCTCTCCACTCCGAGCGCTTTCGAACGGATGAGGCCGGCCACACGCAGCTTCCTACGACGACCGCCGTGGCTATCCAAGCCCAAGGCACGGAAACAAGCCCAGCCGCAGCGCCGTCCATGGATCGCCTACGAACCCCCGGCTGCACCTCGCGAGCAGGAGCAGGAGCCTGGCTTCGTTCTCGACCGCGCAAGGGCGGCGCAGGTCAATGAGTTTCTTCGTCATCCAGTGAACCCGCTTCGCGTTCGCTTCCCGTGCTCTCGGGACAAGCAGCCTTACCTGGATCTGTTGAATCTGTACCTGTGGAAAGGCCTCGCCGATCCAACCCACCGCAAGACTGCAAAGGCGCTATGGCGGCTGTACATCAAGTTCCGCCTGACGACGCCAAAGTTCCTGCGAGCCCTGTCCTCCCAGGCCTGGGACATTCTGTGGCGGACGCAGTCTCTCCGCGTTTTTGCCGAGCCCAAGATCGCGGCTCATCTGACCCAGCTGGCTGAGGACATGCAGGGTGCCGGACATGTCGCCAACTTTGAACAACGTCTCGTCCACATCGAGACCCTCTTCGGTCAAGGATCCCGCCAAGCAGCTGTCGAAAAATGGCAACAGGGCTACCAGACTGCCGCCGGCCGGACCGGGGACAGCTACCGCCCCGAGTACCTGGAGCTCGGCGTCCGCATGCACGCCGTCGCTGGCAACGTCACATTCGCCCAGAAGCTTCTCGTCGACTTGTTTTCTTCCCACCCGATGCTGAACCCACGCCTCATTCTGTGCGTCTTTGATGCCCACCTTCAAGCATCTGGTGAAGGGGAAACCCATGTGAAGCAAGCTTGGGCCCTCTACCTGCGCCTGAAGGATCTCCTCGGAGACAGCATGGCAGTGAAGGACTATGAGAGGTGCTATACTGGCTTTCTGAAGGCGGGATACCGCGAGCACGCCTTGGCCGTTTTCCGCCATCTGATGTCGGCGGGGGAGCTCCGTGGTCCCCAAGGCCACAAGGCCAACGCAACCCTTCTGAAGGGCTACAACGACCTGACCTCTGTCCTCGATAATGCCGACGAACTGAACCAAATCTTCCTGAGTAGTCTGTCTGCGTTGCCTCTAAACCACCAGAACAAGTTTTTCTTCGGCAAGTGGATCAACCGGCTGATCAGCGTGGGAGACGTCGATGCAGCAGCCCAGGTATACGAGTTGATGTTCCAGAGAGACGTGCAACCGCAGGCTCGTCATCTCAACGCCCTGGTCAAGGCATGGATAGAGACCCGTGACCCCACCAACATAGACAAGGCCGAGAACTTGGCCCTTCAGATGGTCGTCAGACGCATCACACTGATGCGCCGTCGCAAAGGCCTATTCACACCACCCCCACCCGACATAACCGCGAAGCTAAGGCCGCCGCAGAAGCTGTTCCTCCGTAGGACTCTTCCACCCGCAACGAGCGACACCTTCGCCCTTCTGACACAAATATACCTGCAACGCAACGACGAATCGAAGCTCGACAACCTCCACACCTGGCAGGTCGCCCACGCCGAGCTCCGTACCACTCCCGAAGCACTGAACATGCAACTGTCCTTCTACCTCCAGCGCGGCTACCTCAGCGACGTCTGGCGCACTCTCAAACGCCATGTCCTCCGCCGGCCCTCGCGAAACGTCAGAGCCACCAAACCCGACATGGGCACCATCGCCCTCCTCTGGGAAGCCTCGTACTTCAAACAACGCACCATCGGCCGCCGCAGTCCCTACGACATCCGCTCCCGCCGCACCTCCTTCCCACCCCCCACCATCATCCTCCGCCACACCCTGACCTGGTGGCGGTCCTCCACCCGCGGGCCCTCCTCCTCCTCCTCCTCGCAACCCTCCTCGCAACCCTCCCCCCGGCAGGACGCCACCTCCCGCATCCCCAACCACATCGTCGCCACCTACGCCGCCTGGAACGACCTCGCCGGCTGCCTCGTCGCCATGCACGTGCTCCACCGCCGCCTCCGCTCGCCCGTGACCCAGCACACCATGACCCTCCTCGTCCGCGCCCTCGCCCGCCTGGGCTTCCCGCCCGCCGACGTCCGCTCGCGCTCCCCGTTCCGCCGCCGCCAGCTCGCCGCCTCCGCGGGCCTGCACCACAACCTCGACAAGGTCCTGCAGGCGCTGCGCGCGCTGCTGCAGCGCCGTCTGGATGCTGCTGCTGCTACTACTACCCCTACCACCACCACCACCGCTACTACTACTACCGCCCAGGCCAATACCCCTACCACCACCACCACCACCGCCGCCCACGCCGATGCCAATACCACCGACACCAACCCCGACCCCAACGACAAGTCCCTCCTCCTCCTCGAAGCCCTGAGCGAGCTGACGCGCGCCGTGCTGCTGCGCCAGGGCCTGCCGCCCGCCCGCATCGAGGCCCGCGTCCAGGGCGTCAAGCGCCGGCTGGGCGTCGACCCGCGCTTGCCGACGGGGGACAAGGACGCGTGGGAGGTGGCGGAGGAGCTGGGCATGTGATGTGATGGGAGTGAGAGTGTAGGGTGTAGGGGATGGGGATTTGGCTGTATGAATGATGATGATGATGATGATGATGTTGATGACGACGACGGTGGTGGTGGTGGTGGTGGTGACGGCAATGGTAATTGGTAATGGGTGATCATGATGGCGGCGGCGTCTACGGCAGCGAGGAGGTCAGGAATGCACGCACGTCCTACCTGGAGGGCGTTTTTCGACATCTCCTTTTTTTTTCTTGATTTTTTTTTTTAGCACCCCTTCCTTCCCTTTGATGGATGGATGGATGGATGGACAAAAGGGATGAAAAGAATCCCATCTGTATGATCAAGGCGTAGCGACTGTACTATAACATCTCACATCTTCTCACGGGCGTTCGGGGGAGCGTGCGGCATTTGGATCAAGAGGATAAGGAAGAAAAGGCCCCAAAGGTCGACGGGTCTCCAGACGAAAAGCCGCACCGTTTCCTTCTCGTCAACGATACCCAACTCACCCATTTAATCAGAATATGAAAGGTAGATCCCGCTTCTCGCAACAGAATGCGCAAGCAGCACAAGCAACAAACTCTACGTGGTATTGAAGAATCATTGATTATCCGTGTCCCTATATTTATGTGCTGTTCTGTACAAATTTGGGAATCTTTTTAGCTAGTGAACCACCCCTCTTTCACGCTTCATAGAAATCCCCATCGCGTCGCTCCCCGCAATATCCCTCCCGGACAGCGCATGGCAAGGCCTGTTGGCAAAATGCATTGTGGCCAGTACGACTCTGCTTTAAAGCCCGTTCGAAGCCTGCGTACGTACAGGAAGGGTGTGTGAGGTACCAGCGGTGGGTGAAATGGAAGAAGCAGGGGAGAAAAAAGAAAAAAAGACCTGAACCCATGCCCGTCTATGCTTATGAAAGGAATTGATATAGAGGTTTTGCGAATCTTATGCAGCAAAGGAGAACAATTTGCAGAGTAAACCAGACTATCGGTGGGAAAAAGTGTTTTGTCAAAAGAAGAGAGAGTGACAGAAATGAGATTGAAAAAAAAAAGAGGTGCCGCCTGTTGTGATAGCAAACAAAAAGAAATGTCTCCGTAAACGGGATATGCCAGCAAAATAGCATGTGGTTCAGGACGCAGAGAAGAGGACGCTACCTCGACAAAGGCCCCGGGAAGGACATATGGACGAGAGCCCGACCTCTGAGATGTGATGCTGCCGATAAGTCTGATGAATCTCAGGTATGTACCGTTCGCTGAGCAGACGAGCAAAGCTTGGCGTATCGCATCCTCAGTTTGTCATCCACAGGGGACGAATCGTGGTGATCTATGGAAATAGTATGTGCAATGTTGTCGTCGGGAAGACGACGAGAGGCCGTTAGAAAGCGTATAATTGGGTATAGGCGCAATAGAGGATTCGAAGAGTAAAGAAGGGGTATGCGAAATTTTTTTTCCCAGCCACACCGTTGAACGCCGTGAGATTGGCCAACAACTGCTCTCGCAATGATTTTGTTCGCCGCGGGAGGATGCTGAGGGCATACTCTATTGAAAAGAGTGAAAGCGTGGATGTGTATGAACGTGCTGAGGATGAGCGAAGTCCCACGCCAACTTCCTACTCATCCAAAATGCGTTTCGTATGGTCGCAATGTGATCGTGCTGTACAAGCTGGTACCAAGGAAAAAAAGAACGGAAGGCGTGAATCCAAGCTTGTCTGGAGTACGCCCAATTGTGCATGTGCTCATTCGCAGATGGCCTTCGTGAGCAGGTTCGGCTCGTGCACTAGGCGAGCGAACTCTCTGCCCTTCGTAGAACGCGTCTTGCGGTCCCATTGACACCTTCAACATCGCTGGTGTCCGTGCTACTCATGCTGACCGATGTGGCGGCTGAGTGGGACGCAGTCAGGCTACCGTTGATGCTACTATCGCGGGGCCTTCTGTTTGCCCTTCGAGCCTGTGCCTGCGAGCCGCATGCCTTGAGCGTCCGGCGCAAAGTCTTGAGATAAAGCACATGGTCTCTTGCAACCCGGCTGGCTTCGGTCACCATCATACGCTGATCAGCGGAATTGTCGAGTGTCGTTGGGTGCGGCGGAGTGGGACGAGCGGTGCGTAGAGGCATCCGTAGCCTTCCTTGAACAGCGCCAAGCTGCATCGAGAAGCTTGCAGTGCTCCGCGGCGAGTAGGTAGCAATTGATGTGCGAGGTGTGGTGAGTTGAGTGACGTCACCAGAGAGGGCCAAAGCAGTATCAGGGGAGGCGAAAGTGCTGCTTGAGAAGGACCCGTTTGTGGATGGGGGTGTGCTTGAGAGCAGAGAGTCCTGATAGCGCCACGTGCGAGGAGACTCGGGGTTGAAAGAGGGGACACTGGTTTGAGACACCTGACGCCGGCTTTTGATGGTCTCATCATTGAGGCCTCCTTCAGCTGGGAACGCGGTTACCAAGGCGCCTGGCAACCTCGAGAAGGTAGCATCCTCGGATTTCTTGGCATCGCTGCCTCTCGTGCGCCTCTTGGGGTTGATGAGGCGATGAGCCAGGGAACCGTTCGATTCACGCACGACCGAAGACTTTCTTGATCCAACCGAAACGCGATGCTGCTCTTCACGGCCTTCGACAATAGGCCCATGATCCGACACATATCCTTGTCCCTTCTCATCCTCCTGGTCACCGGGCGTGAGAAGCCCAGAGATCTGCTTATGAGGCTCGGATTGAGATTGACGATGGTACGAGGCACGATTGTTGTTCTGCGAGAGCTGCGCCTGCTCTTCAAGGTCGAATGGATTGCCGGTCGTGATGTCGGCGTCATTGCTGCTGGTAAAGGAGTTGACCATGGAAGCCGCCGTGGTAGGACGGGGAACAAGCCCAACGTCAGCAAAATCCAGATCGATCATCGAAGTCCGTTCAGGAGATCCTGGTGTCGACCGAGAGCTTATGAAGTCATCGAATTGGCCAATGGGCTGCGTCGCCGCGTGGCGGAGCGGGGGGCGCCACGCATCGCCCAACGGTGGTGACGGACCGAGACCACGCGCAGAACCTTTGTTGGCGCTTCCTTCTGCTGCTCCAATTGGAAAAGAGAATCCCGGGAGCATGCTGCCGCGACCGTTACCCGACTGGGCCGCCATGGCGGGCAGTTGCAGCTCCTTCGTGCCACGACGTTGCACCAACCGGCTTGTCCGGTAGTCTGACTGCGACTCGTCCTCCGATACTTCTGCCGTTGCAAAGGTCCAATCCATCGTCCGACGGTTCGGGGTGTCTTCAGTTTTGGTGTCTTCTGGAATAGGCGGCGGCTCCATGACTGGAAATTTCCAGTCCTTCGTCGCACGCCTGGCAGTCTCAACTGGAGGAGGTTCCATCATGGGGAATTTCCAATCTTTGGTTGCACGCTTCTCTGCAGGTGGATCCATCATCGGGAACTTCCAGTCTTTGGTGGCGCGCTTCGAAGCTCTGTTGGGTTGATACGTGTAATCCTCATCGTCATCATCTTCCAACTCTTTCATGATCCTGTTGATTCGACTGGCGCGTAGAGTGTTTGCATTCGCAAGATCCAGGTTCGGCGTCATCTCGAATCCAGCATCCACGGCATCCAGATCGATCATGGTGACTCTGTTCGAAGGTTCGTTCGGCTCCCAGTTGCGGAGCGCCAGATCAGACTGCGACGAGCGGTCTGGGCCGTCGGGCTGCATCATTGACGGATCTTCACCGTATTTGTACTCTGGCGCTTCCAAATTGAAAAGTCTCTCCAGTCCTTCTTCTCCACGCTTGATTTGCTGCTCTTTCATCGCCTTTTGGTGCATCATGAATTTGCGTCCGCGGCCTCTGGGCGCCGATGCATCTTCCACCTCCTCCTGTCGTACGTCACCAAACGGATCCACCATCGAGAGGCGCTTCTCATATGCAAAATCTCTTTCGAAATCTGCAGTGGTACTGAACACCCAATCCTCGCTCGTGTCAGACGAAGGGTCCGCGTCAAGCCCTTCAGCTCCTCCTGCAGCCCAAAGCGAAGTGCGATTGCCGCCACGATCCTGCCAATCCAGGAAGCGCTTGACCAGAGTGGAGAGGCTTTCGTTTGGAAAACTTTCCCGGGTTCCGAATATGTAAGGATGCTCAAGGACCTCTGCGACAGTGGGGCGTTCATAGGGCCTTTCCTTGAGGATGAACGACACAAAGTCCCTAAGCCCATTGGAATATTGGTTTCCTTCTAACCGCGGGGCCTGGCGTCGGTTTGCGAGGAATTCGAAGTTACGACCAGCGTCCGGGGGCAACCCAGTTGCCATCTCGAAAATGGTGCATCCAAAAGCCCAGCAATCAACTTCAGTCCCGTAGCCAGCGCCTACCTGGTCTTTGATCATTTCCGGAGGCATCCAGTTAGGTGTACCGATGATGGTGGATCGCTTGTCAAAACTGGTCTCAAGCAGTCCGGATACGCCGAAGTCAATGAGTTGGACATTTCCAGCCTGACTGATCATAACGTTTGCGCCTGTTTGCCAAGGTCAGCACGTCGTGCACGACGATGCGGGGAATCTGTGCGAGTTATGCGGAGAGTGCTCACATTTGATGTCACGGTGAAGGATGCCGGCATCGTGCACGAACTTTAGGCCGACTGCAACCTCTCTTGCAATGGGAATGATGAAATGCTCTTCGAGCGGCATCGGCTTTTGTGGCGTTCCACCAGGAGTAGCTCTCATCAAGGTGCGAACGCTACCACCAGCGACATACTCGGTGATCATCCATAGTTGGGAGTGGAAGGCGAAAGACTCGTAAAACTGGTTGACGTTCTTGGCTGAACTATCCCGGAGCTGTTGAAGGATAGATGTTTCTTTGACGAGTTGCTTGACGGTCTCATCTCGATGCTGAGTGGCCTCTGCGTAGTCAGCCTTATCAATATCGCAGATTTTGATCGCAACAAGCTCGTTGGTATTCCGGTTTTTGCTGTTAAGACGGTTCGTCAGCATGTGGTGCTTGATCAGGGCACGCTTGGGAGACCATACCCCTTGTAAACACGCCCAAAGGCGCCCTTTCCGATGAGCTCGAGGAAATCATAACTGGGTGCAGCAACGCCAGAGCGGTCGGCATGGAGCTCAACAGCCTTTTGCATCTCTCGCGCTGCCTCGGCCTGCCTGGCCTTGGCGCCATTGAGGCGAGGGCTCAGTAAGTCAAGTGCCATGTTTTTGCCGCTCGAACGTCGTCTTCCGTTGGAACTCCGGCGAGCGTTGCTTCGGACAAGAGTGCACTTGAAAGCTGGGGGTTCAAAGAGAGGCTCTGGTGGAGACAAGGGTATGTAATCGACTAGTAACAGAGCATCACGGAGATCAGATGGTGGGATTTGGGTCGAAGGAGGCGGGGTTGGGTACGCGTCCGAGAAGGTGGTGACGGTGGCCGGTGCTGTAGATGGAGAGGTCGAGAATCCGAAATTCCTGGGGGTCGGAAGATGCTTGGGCGATGAAATGACAATCTGTTTCAGATGTGCAGAGGGCGGCGGCTCCGGGAAGGATGAGAACGGCTTTGGCTTTGGCTTATGCAATATCTCGGGTTCAGACCTGGGTTCCGTGTAGACCCGACGAAGCTTCGGCAATTGTGGCTCCGGAAGGTCCTCGTCTGACTCCCGTGTTAGCGGCCAAGATATTTGCTCTGGAGTCAGCTTGCGCCGGCTCTTCCTCCCGCGGCCCTGCCAGACCTTCCACGCCGGCTCGCTGGCCGGCATGGCGTGCAGGCGCGCGTGCGAGAAAACGAGAAGTTGAGGGAGAGGGCAAAGCAGAGAGGGTTGGAGATTTGGTGGGTTAGGACACGGAGTAGTAGCGGGCAGCCATGGCGGGTTGTTGGTAGCAGGGCGTCAAGGGTGTGTGGTTGGTGGGATCGGGAAGTGGAGCGGCGGGCGGAAAAGGAAGCGGCGAACGGCGACTTACAGAGGAAGAAGGTGCAGCTACGCGAGGATCGGCTGGTTCAGATGGAATGACGTGATCCTGCGCATGGCTTCCTGGGACTCGTCGCGTGGCCCAGTGAACGCAGAGGCAGGGTCGCAGGGTTGCCAGGCGAATATCTTGATGTCACGGGTCAAGCTGGGCGGCGGACGCGGTAGACTCGCGGCAGACTTTCGGCCCCAGCAGCCAGTTGGACAGCAGCGTGCGCGGGCGGGTTGCGAGGCGCAACGGCGGGGCTGCGGTGGACGGGTCAGGGCAGGCGCAGCTGGGTGAAGTCTGACCGGTGGACAGGTTTCTGAGGGCTGCGAAGTCGAGGAAAAGGAAAGGGTCCGCGTCGAAGGGAGCCGTCTGGCGCGATCCGCGACCGGGATCCTCCCGAAACGAATGGCGCGGCGCCCTGTGCGGCAGGGACGAGCGCAGCCACTCACGGCGCCGCGCCCTGCCTGCTTGTTGCTGCCACCTGCTTTGCCGCCACAGGTGATGTCAGCCCGCCCGCGCTCTACTTCTTGCTTGCGCCCCCAGACCCCCCGGCGGCCACTCTTCTCTCGCACACTACACGCGTCGCACATCGCAAGACCATGGCACCAAACGACAACTGGCTCAACCGCTCCGTCCAGGGCGCCGTCGCCGGCGCCGGCGGCTACGTGGGCGGCTTCATCAATAGCATGGGCAACGGCGTCTCCGGCGTGGGTCGAGGCATCGGCAGCGGGTGCGCGCTCCCTTCCCTCCTGGGCCGTTCCCCACGATCGCAACGGCAATCCTCTAACCGCGCCCCGTGCTGACCCAATCTCCACCTCTAGCATCTCGAATACGGCTCGCGGCTTGGGCGACGGCGTGCGCGGCTACGGGAACGGCGTCAAGGACGCAACTCGAGCCTCTGGCCGCCGCGCTCCCACTGCCGCCAACCCCCTCGGTCTACCCGGCGGTTCCACGCAGAGCGCCGCCATGATGAAGTCGAAGGTCAAGGGAATTACCAACAGCGGCCCCGCCGGCTCGGGCAGCAATCCTCTCGGACTCAAATAGGGGCCAAGAACAGGCGTCGGATTTACGTTAAATTGGTCACGGCAAATGATTTACGATGATTTGGATATACAAATGTAAAACAGCAGAGCGATCCTTCCCCGTTCAGCCTCACAGTCACTGCTACCCTTTGATGAATGAACGTTCATTTATTCTCATCTGTCACTGCGCTTTGGTTTCTTCAGCGTCTATGGAGCAGTACAAACGCTTGTCCAGCCGTGTGCCCATCTTCGCCGGTTGTCCGACAGCCCCTCCTATTAATAACAACAATGCTGAAATACCAATTCGTAACCTGAGTCGCTTAAACTTTTGCTTTTCCAAACTCCGCGCTAGAGGGAATCTTGCCATGGAACCCGAAAAAAATAAGGGAAAAAAAAACCTGAACCCATACCCATTGTCGATCCGTGATTGAGAATCAGGTGCTAGCCTCCGTGGCGGTGCCGTCTTCGAATATCTCTTCGTCGTCCGACTCATCTGCTTGCGAATCCGAGTCGCTGCACTCATCCGCCTCCTCCTTATCGAGGCCCGGGATGCTCTTCCATTCGTTGTAGTCACCTTCCATCCAACGCTTACTCCTCGGCAGACTGTATGGATCGAAAGGGAAGTACGAGTCCAGCTGAAAGGCACTCTCGCTATTCTTCGCGGAAAGGGCCGTCTCTCTCTCCTGCATGCCGTACATGGCACCAGCGGAAACAAAGCGCGAAAGCTTCAACCGTTTGTTCGTCTCGAGTAGCGGGAATACGTAAAGGAAGCGAAGGTGGTGTGCAATGCGAGCAAATTGTGTGACGACTCCAGGAGAGCAGACCTTGAGCGGGTTGAACTTGGAGTAAATGTTGTGCATCATCACCTCTTTGATGCCCGGGAACCAGGCCAGATCGCCGCCTTGGAAGAGAATTTCCTCGTCATCCGCGTAGCTGTCGGTCTCGCTAACAATAAGGTCGCGCCAGCGGAAACAGAAGATGTAGAGGAGCGCCTGGGCCAGAGAGTAGTAGCCAGTGTAGCGTTGTAAATCCGGCCCTTTGCAGTTTCCTTCGTTCCGTATCCGGAAGTCATCAAGCTGCTGTCCGAGAACTTGAAAGGTAGCTTGCACAGTATGCCTGGGGACATGAGCACCGCGAGCGATGAAGCTGGCAAGGTAGGCCGCAGCGGCAAGTCGCATGATTTGCGGACGGGTCTTATCGAATGCAAGCTCAGCGCAAACGTACGTGAATTTGTCGGTGAAGACTGGTGAAGCCTGCGCGAAGTGGAAGAGGAGAAATTGCGTGTGCCGGGACCTATAGGTCGGGAGAATGATGTTCTTGAACTGAGCGAGCAGAAAGTCGAAAGCCTCCAAGCCGTCGACATGTGTGCCCTTGACGAAAATACGTTGGTAGTACTCGAAAAGGATGTCGAGAATACTGTCCATCTTGCCGACCGAGTCCTTGAGCTCCTGGATGCGTCTTTGGTCGCTGTCCAAGCCGTCCTCGCTAGACGAGTCATCGTCGCTGTCGTCATCGTCGACATCGGACTCGTCTTCTTCCTCGTCATCGTCAATTGCCTCGCGCTTGTACAGGGCCTCTTGTACTATGGCTTCCTCGAATTCCTCTTCCAAATCCTCCATGTCGACCTGAATCTGGACGTCAAGCTTGACGAGGTTTTCCGTGATGAGAGCCAGAGCCAGAGCCTTAAGTTCCGGGGCGTACTCCATGAGCTCCATAAGGTTGTTGAGGTATGTAAGGTATACCTTTGCGGTCTCTTGTGTGGACGGGAACGAGGACTGTAGCAAGGATGTCAAGACGCCAGTTGCCGAGGGAATGAGTTGAATGAGGCGCTTGAGGGTCTCGTGCACACGTTGGCGAAGCTCTGAGCGAGTGATGGGCGGGTCTCTTTCGGTGCGTAGATTCGGAGAGGAAACTGCGGGGGGTCAGCAAGAGCACACGCTGAAAGCGCGAGGTCCGACATACCACCATGAAAGTACTTCACGAGCGATTGCAGAACCTGGCCAGTATAGCCTCCGTGTGCAGACATCAAACTGGCAAGAAGCGTGACATAGAGTCGCTTAAACGCGTCATCTCGAGCCAGCCACTGGCAGTCGAGGATTGCATGGACAAGTCCGGAGCAGTTCTTGTTCAACAGGCTCACATTGCCGATGAGAGCGACGACATATTTGCCCAGCAGCTTTGTGCTTGGGGCGGCGCTTGCCGTTGGGCGAGTCGTGAAGAGAGTCTTGATTTCGTCGTAGGACGCACTGTCGCCTGCGACGTGCTTATCTATGGCGCGTCGCACCTCCTCGCGAACGAGCTCGATGCCCTTCTCATCAAAGTCCTCTAACAGCCGGATGTCGACAGTCGGATCAAAGGACACCCTCGGCTTCTTGCTCCTTGCGACGGCAGGAGCCTCATTGTCAGAGTCGGAATCCATGTGCTTGCGCTTGAGGCTGGGGCCTGGGAGGATGGCCTTGGTGGTGGATGACGGGAACGTCTCGACAGGTGCAGCGAGTGAGACCATGTTCTCACTGCGGCATGCCGGTGTCGCTCGAGTGGTCCTGAAAGTAAGTAAGGGTAACGATGTGGGCGCGTGAGAGTCGAGTGGAGTGGAGTGTGGGTTGGGTTGGATGAGAATTTGGCGTCCTGCGCGTAATTGCCAAGATTGCGCTTAGACGCTAAGGCACGTGCCCATGCAAGGGTCCTGTCGCCCACACTCAAACCCACGTCACCTCTGGCCTCGCACAGCTTGCGCCGTCGGGTCCACGGGCTGTTGTTTCGAGGTCGTCAAGTCAGTCAACAGCCATGTGTCGATTTCACCAAAGCCTTCAACGTACTCCAGAACTCAGCTGCTGCATACATACATTTCACACCGAAGACCATAGCCCCGCATTGGGTTGCGAAAGACATTAACCTACGGCGATCCTTTCTGTAGGCTGTCGAAGCAGGCATCCCGAGATAAATGTTCTTTTAGACAATCCTTCTTCATATGCAGCTGAAGCAAATACCGAGATGTAGATGGGAGTGTTAAAGGGAGGATACCACCATCACCATCGGTGTGGTTGTCTCGGCCAAACTTGCGTTTGGACTGCACCCAATGGTCCGTGCGGGAAATTTTATATGCCTAGCCCCACATCCGAACAAGCACCATTCGTTCGCTCGACCAAGAAGAAGGGTAAGCAGGATACTCTACAGATTTTAAGGGAAAGCAAAAAGGGATAAGAAGCTCTAGAGCTATTTATTCTCCAACCCCTTGGCCCCAAAGTATGAAGCGGTGCACTGAGTCCCTCCATGAACAAACACTCACTCCCCCTTCAAGTGACCACAAAACGTCTGAACAAAACGCAAAAAGGAAGATAGGTCTTACCCAGGATCGAACTGGGGTTGCAGGAATGCTCTGATTACTATCAGAATCCTGAGTGCTAGCCACTACACTATAAGACCGACGGTTTTTGACAGTTACTTTTTGATATTATATGTGGAGCTTTACTGTCACAAAACCAATCAGCAGATAGAAGCCTTCCTGGGATACACTCTGATGTTTGATCTCCAGTCTCTTTTGTGCCAAGCTGCCGTGGCATTTCACTAGATGTTTGGTGGGAAGAAAAGCGCGCTCCCAGAAGGCTGCCTCACGGACTACAAACCAGAACGGCATTCAGTCGTCGGTACCGCCATTGAATACCCGAGCCCGCAATACACTTTCAATCGCCGTGTATACTACGACCTCTTCGCTCCGCTTGGGTGGTTTTCCCGAGAAGGTTTTCCAGGATGATGGAATAGGCATTCGTCTAAATGGTCGAAAAATCTCCACCACATTCGCAACAGTAGACTGGAGCCCCAAGTTTGTCGAATCGATTGTAGTCGTTCCAGATATGTTTCTTGTAATTTTCAAGACGCTGTCGGAGACAGTATCACAAAATGGACACACAAATTTTGGCATGTGTCCTCCCAGAAGACGCTGTCTTAAGATCTCGGCGGATGGCTGGGCCTCGTTGGTTGGAAAGGTGCGGCGCGACGTCCTTTGCGCGAGGTCACCGTAAAACGGGCAACGGATGATGCCTCCAATCGACCTTGGTTTCGACTGGTTCAGCTAGTCTCCGAATGCGTCGTCGAGCGAGGAGGGAAGTTGTGCGGCGTCAAATTCGACATCACTACTGTTGGCTTCCGCTTGATCGTTGCGTGAGATGGGTGCGGATTCGGCAGTGAGAATTGCGACGGTGGAGGTCTGCAAGTAAGGTGAGTCGCAAGGAAGAGTTATGACCGGTTCGTTTGGGGGAAGGCTTCTGATCGACGGGAGACAGGGGTGCCAGACTCTTGCGTGTGGCGGGGTTCCAGACAGAAGATGAGACACTCCTTCACAAGCCGTGGGCCCATCAATATCTCGTACAAGATCAGCGACGGCTTCCTACTTTTCGTCAAGCCTCGCGGGTGCTTGTATGTACATACATACACACTATACATTAGCTGCAAGAGCGTATTGTTCGTATGTATCGCACAACGAATGGCATGCCAGCCAGACCGCCATCGGAAGCTAAGCTCGCGTCGCGGGTACTCGTGCAGCCACCCTGCAGCTTCTCGTAACGCGACTCGACAATCAGCAGTCCAGGGAGAAGCTTCCCGAACCCACACGACGGGTCCAGCCTCGCGTTGTTGCATCACCGGTGGGAGGGAAAATAGGCGAATGGGGAACTGACTCGAGGATTGCGCAAGAGCTGGTGAGAAGAGGGCGATCCTGCAGCATATCGGCCGATGAATCGAACAAGTTCGTTACCGTGGGCAGAGCACAAGAGCAGCGCTAGAGTTGCCCCGCCGGACCTGTGACGATCAGGGCGGGGAGAGCTAGAGAGTGCCTCCACCTGCCTCCACCTCCGTGCGGGTGCCAGGGAGGAGTACGGAGCGCGGTCCGTATCGTAGTTAGTCAGGCACTGCTGTATGTCAGCGCCGGCGCAGCATCCAATCAGCGGTGCTTCAGCCAGCTCAGCAGCAATGCGGAAAAGGACCGCCGAGGGCGATGATGAGAGCATTCGTGAGCAATCCAGCAAGCTGGAAGGTGCCTGCGCGCGGGCGGGCCAAGGAGTGGCAGGGCGGAGCGAGGCGTTGCGAGGCACCAAGGCTGGCGGATTGGTAAGGGTTTGTTAAGCACCTCGGTGGAATTGCCAATCGCCCGCAAACAATCGCTACCTCCCGCCGTGCACGGTCCATGATGCAACTGCTGTGCCCTCAGCCCATCCCGGGTTAAATAGACAGCCAGCCGCTCGCGGCATCTATTCAGCTCACATCTGCGCAGCCGCTGCTCTCTGCTCTCCCTCGCAATCCATCTCTCCCGCTTTCAATTGCAAAAAAATCCGCAACAATGGCTCCCAAGATCGCCATCGTCTTCGTACGTTACCCCACCCAGCCCACTTCAGCTGTGCCACGGCGAACCGCAGGCTAACAGCTTCCCTCGCCAACAGTACTCGATGTACGGCCACATCAAGCAGCTGGCCGAGGCCGAGAAGAAGGGCATTGAGGCTGCTGGCGGTACCGTCGACCTCTACCAGTACGTCTCCACCTCTCTCCCCCCGCCAATGATGCAGCCCCCACCCACTAACAACCCCTCCTCACCAGGATCCCCGAGACCCTCTCCGACGAGGTCCTCGGCAAGATGCACGCTCCCCCCAAGGACGCCTCCATCAAGACGCTGGAGAACCCCGCCACCCTCGAGCAGTACGACGCCTTCCTCTTCGGCATCCCCACGCGCTACGGCAACTTCCCCGCCCAGTGGAAGGCCTTCTGGGACAAGACCGGCGGCCAGTGGCAGACGGGCGCCTTCTGGGGCAAGTACGCCGGCCTCTTCATCAGCACCGGCACCCCCGGCGGCGGCCAGGAGAGCACCGCCATCGCCGCCATGTCCACCCTGACCCACCACGGCATCATCTACGTGCCCCTCGGCTACAAGCACACCTTCGCCCTGCTCGCCGACCTCAGCGAGGTCCGCGGCGGCTCCCCCTGGGGCGCCGGCACCTTCTCCGCTGGCGACGGCTCCCGCCAGCCCACCCAGAAGGAGCTTCAGCTCGCTGAGGCCCAGGGCAAGGCCTTCTACGAGACCGTCGCCAAGGTCAGCTTCGCGTGACTAGCCAATGAGACGGCCGAGGCTGCCAATGGCGCGGAGAAGAAGAGTGATACCCCTGCTGCCCCTGCTCCTCAGCAGCAGGCAACAACGTCGCCAAATGAGCCTCAGCAGAAGGAGACCAAGGAAGGCGGTCCTTGTGGTCTCCCCGTCAAGTGCGAGATTATGTAACCTGCGAATAGAAAAAAAACCTACCGATCCAATGAAATAATAATGCTTGAACTGATGCATCACTTGTTCGGTCTCCAAACGTCGTGGGTTGTTCATGGGATCGGTTACATAGTCCGAGATCATCGGCCGCCTTCGCTCACTGCCCCCCCGAACATGCAGAGTATTGGGTCATTTGAATATGTTCATGGTAAAATCGGGTATATGTACGCTTTCGTTTCCTGGGCCGTCGATTATTTGGTCCAGGGCAGCCCCAGCTTCTTCATCTCAACAGCGAGCTGGAAGATGTAGTCCAAGCTATACACGCAATATGGTCAGCATCGTCCGCGACAGGTCGTGGCGTATATAGCCATAGACGTACCTCTCGCACTGTGTCTTGGCCTTGTGGACGTTGTCCCCCCAGACGTAGATGCCGTGTCTGCGGACCAGGACAGCGTAGGTGTCGGGGTACTTCTCCATGGCCGCCGCCAGGCTATCCGTCAGATCCTCCTCGTGGGCCGTGTTCTCGATGATGGGGATGCGCAGGCGGTCGAAGTAGCCGAGGTTGCCCTGCTTGCCGCGGCCCTTGGGGATGCCCTTGATCTGCTCGATCATCTCGATCTCGAAGCACGCGTCGCTGCCGAAGTCGCGCTCGACGAGCAGCGTCACCAGCACCGCCCACTGCGAGTGCGTGTGGATGCAGCAGCCGGCGCCGCGGTCGAAGGCGGCGAGGAAGAGAGGGGTGCAGGCCGAGGGCTTCAGCACCTGCGGCTTGCGGAGGTACTCGCGTGTGTTGTAGTCCAGGACGAACATGTCGGTGGGCTTCATGAGCTCCTTCTGCACGCCCGAAGGTGCAATGAAGATGTGGTCATGCTGCCTGATGCTGGTGCCGCCGCCAGTGCCGGTGACCTACGAAGTCGGGTGGTCAGCGGCGGGGCTCTGGGGTGCGCGTGTGGGGTGAAGGTACCCAGCCCAGGGTGTAAAACTTGCGGCAGAGCTCGCAGATCAGATTGGCCGGGTGCTCCGGGTCGTGGGAGTGGATCAGGGCGTCATTGTTCTGTTCGGAAGCCATGGCGTTGCGTATGGCGTGTTTGAAGCCTGCACGAGAAAAGAAAAAAAAAATGCGGCGGAGAAGGCGGGGGTGGTCAACTTTTGCAGATCTTATCGATACCCAGTCCGCATGGCGTCACGCCTGCCCGCGCCTTGTCAACACGCCAGCGCCCTGATCAGCAGCGGGACGGGAAAGCCATACGCCATGCTTACCAAATGCACGCCGAGGACTATTTCTAATCCCGGGTACGCTCTCAGCGGAGACCACAAACATTTCCCTTGCACACCTTTTCCCTACTTTGCAATTAACCTCCCCCGTACGTCCTGTGAGCCATGATGCAAACTTCCTCCAAACATCCATGCATCATTCACTAATGCTCTCAGGTTTAGCTGCCCAACGTGCGGCCATATCTTGGTTCCACTCTGGGTACTGTCCATAACCAAACACCACTTATATAAGCACATGTACCCACCACGCCTCCACAGCAACAAGTGGTGCTCTCGTCCCCTCCCTCCCTCCACTCTTCTCCTCCCCACCTAAGCCCGCTCCAAAAGAAAAAGAAAAAGAAAAAAAAAAGAGAACAAGAACCAGCCCACCCAACCCACCACCATGCCCACCCTCGCCATCACCGGCGCCTCGGGCAAGCTCGGCGGCGCCGTCCTCCGCAACCTCCTCTCCCACGACCTCTCCCCGCCCGCCTCCATCGTCGCCACCACCTCCGGCTCGCCCGACGACTCCCCCCGCTGGCAAGCCCTCAAAGACCGCGGCGTCGCCGTCCGCCACGCCAGCTACGATGACCCCGCGTCCATGGAGGCCGCCTTCCGCGGCTGCACCCGCCTCCTCCTCGTCTCCACCCCACGCATCGGGATGGACTTTGACGACGCCGCCCCCGGCCGCGGCCGCGAGGCCCACCACGTGGCCGCCATCGACGCCGCGCGCGCCGCCGGGGTGCGCCACGTGTACTACACGTCGCTGGGCTTCGGGTCGGGAGCGGCGGCGGGGGCGGCGGCGGCGGGGTCGGGCATGAGCGGCAGAAGCAAGGCCGGGGTGATGCGCGCGCACGACCGGACGGAGGCGTACCTGCGCAGCCTGCCGCCGGCCTCGGACAGCAGCGGCGGCATCGACCACACGATCCTGCGCGAAGGCCTGTACAACGAGTCCTGGCCGCTGTATCTGGGCCACGGCGAGCTGCTGACCGGGGGCGACGAGCGCGAGGAGGTCGTGGTCGCGGGGGACGGGCGGATCAGCTGGGCGGCGATTGACGACTTGGGGCTGGCGACGGCGGCGATCCTGGCCGCCGGCGACGAGGAGCGGGCGCGGCGGTGGGCTGGGGCCACGGCGACGCTGGCGACGACGGCCCCGGTCACGTTGCGGGAGGTGGCGGCTATGGTGTCAAAGGCCAGGGGGCGGAAGGTCGAGCTGAAGGTCGTGGGCCGCGACGAGCACGAGCGGTACTACGTCGAGCGGCGCGGCGTGGAGGAGGCGTACGTCAAGTGGTGGTCGACGACGTACGACGCCGTGCGTGACGGCGAGTGTGATCACCAGGATCCGTTGCTGGAGCGGATCCTGGCGAGGTTTGGCGGCCGCAAGCCGAAGCCGATTCGGGAGACGATAGAGGAGATGTTTGCGTAACGGTGAGAAAGGATCGAAGGTTGACTTCTGTATGTCGATGCCTTAAGGACAGCGCGCCATATCTTGAGTTATATGATCATCGAGAATATTCTGATCATAGCACCTCAACGTGAATGGCTAATACGAGGACTACGACATGAACAATGCGAAATCTCCACCGGCTTTTGAGAAAAAATTGTTGATACTTGAAGGGAAAGTGGATAGGTACGTACATCGGCATAGTCACTTCACAAAACACCTGCAGCTTCGCAAAGTTGATCTGTCGTTTTCCGTCTACCTAGCCCTTCACCGCCAATGCTAGGAGCCTTCGCTCAAGTAATAGGGTTATCTCGCTTTGTTTCGCATCACTCTGCTCCCCTGTTCGAGGGCAGGCCCGTGAATGCATTTCGACCAACCATCCGTCATCCATCACTGCCGTTTCACGCCGTAAAACTCTTATGTACAAGTCCAATCGGGTGGGAGAAAAAATGGGGGGGAAGGTACCGGCATAACTCGAAGGTTATCTCGACTGAGCTGGGAACACCCGGCGGTACCTAGGAAGGAAGGGAAGAGAAGCAAAAGAATGAGGTGAAAACCCACAAGCTACTGTGAAAAAGGGCTGTTGCCTCGAGAACTTCAGTGACCGACGTACTTTTGCTCTAATGCGTTCCCCGTGGTGACCATACCACGCTGGGCTGCGCAATATCGTAGTGCGGTCCTTTTGACGAACGACTATGTAGACCCCACAAGAGAGTTTCTTAAACGGCAGCGGCAGCGTCAGCGGCCTTCTCGTCCGCCTTGCTCTCTTCCTTTGCAGTTTCAATGCTCTCTGCTGTGGGCTTCTCTGCATCCTTGGCATCTTCCATGGCGACATCGCCTGCTTCGGTGGCCTTAGTGTCATCAGGCTTAGGCTCGTCTGCCTTGGCTTCCACAGGCACAGCTTCAGCAGGAGCATCTGCAGCATCCTTCATCTCCACGTCTTTTGCGGCTTCCTCGGCCTTGGACTCAGCCTGAGGTTCTTCTGACTTGGGCTCTTCAGGCTTGGGCTCCTCAGTCTTGGGTTCCTCAGTGTCCTCCTTTGCCTCAACACCGTTAGGCTTTGTCTCACCACTCACGTTCTTTCCCCAGGCGTTGAGGAGCTCAGCAGAACGCTTCTTAAAGTTGTACACCTCTTCCTTGGGAATTGAATCCAGCTTGATGATCGCCTTCAAGACCTTGTTGATCTTCGTATCTTTGATTATCTTCTCCTCGAGGTCTTGGTGCGACTCAAGCTGGGTGAAGTACTCGGCCATTTGTTGCATTTCTTCCTCCTTGGGGGTCTGATCGCGAGTCAGGAATCCCTTTTGGAGACGGTGGCGGAGGTAAAGGACTAGATTCGCTCGTTAAATACTGAAGTCTTAAACCTTGTGTTCGCAACAACTTACTGGCCTTGGAGCGCTTCTCGAACTTCTGCTCGGGAGTGAGCTCTTCCTCGACCGGCTTGGGCGTGGCCGATTCCTCAGACTTCTTGGAGTTCTTTGCCTTCGATGCCGGAGTCTTCTTCGTCTTCGTGGCTGAGGACTCCGCCGGTGTCTTGGGGCCGTTGACCTTCAGCTTGGTCTTGGGAGTCTTTGCAGGCTGTGAAATTCTCAGTTACGTGTTCACAATTAGGAAAATCACACTCTTACCTTCTCATCGTCAGCGTCGGCGTCATTCTTCCTCTTCTTGGCACTCTTCTTGCTTGCGGTGTCAGAACTACCAGCTGCGTCTTCCATCTCAACATCTTCGTCGCCAGCCTTGCTCTTTCTCTTGCCTTTCTTGGCAGCCTTCTCGGCCTTCTCCGCTTCCTTGGCGGCACGCTCTTCTGCGTCTTCGGCCATCGCTTTCTCGTGATCCATAAGAAGCTGCTTGAAATAAGCAAGGCTCTGACCTTCAGCTGCGACTTTCCAGGCTTCCCAGAGGTTCTTTGCTTTCTTCCCCTGGTCGTTGTTCTCGACCGCCTTCTTCACTTCGTCGAGATCGAGACGGGTGAGGTCGGTGTTGACTTGCCATGCGCTGCGAATTGTGTTAGAGTTCTGTCCGAACATCAAGGGGGGCGAACTTACAATTCGTTGGTACCCAGAAACATGACCGGATACCTGCGGTCCCGGACGTTCTTGCCATTGTCGGCGAAATCCTCGCGATAGGTTCCATCGGGCCGGATTGCGCTGACGGGTCGCTTGGTAAGCAGGGTTTCAGGGAGCATGCCCTCGTCGCAGATGATCACCGGCCAGGCAGCGTAGCCCTTCATCCTAGCCCACCAGTAGGTACCAGGCTCGACGTCGAGGTTAAGATTGGCCATAGACTTCTTGCTCTTGAGCTGCTTCTTTCCCCCCTTGTCGCCACCGGTGGACTTGCGCCTGCCATTGGACCTCGGCGCACCGTTGGCATCGTTGCCAGCCTCAGCTCCTGAATGGTCGTCAGCAAATGTATCAAATCTTGGCGATGGCGAGACTCGTAGCTCGTCTGATAGCTTCCTAACCTGTTCCCTTTTCTTCAGCGTTGTCGCCATCCTTCTCCGACGTAGCCGGCTCTTCGACGCTGGTGGCGGCGGGTTCCTCAGTGGGAGGCTGGGCTAGACGAAGTGACATGTCGTCAGTGTCGTCGCTTACGAGCGCACACGCGGGGTGCCACTCACCGTCTGAAGTAGTCTCAGGCTTGGTATCATCCTTGGGGGCGGCCGCCACGCCATCGGTGGTCGCGTCAGCGGTGGTAGCCCTCACCTCGACAGCAGGCGCCGAGGCCTCGTCGGGCTTAGGCGAAGCGACGGGAGCCGGAGCAGCAGCCTGGTCGGCCATTGTGGTAGATTGAATCGACACGCAAGATCTAGTGTGGGACGGCTCGAGGGCGACGCGTTGGGCGTGTGCCGTAGGCGTAAACAAGGATCGCAGTCGTGGAGCGCGACGGGGAGGGTGGTGCGATGATGGCGAGGTACGATAGGAGGATGGAAGGCGATGAGGTTGATGTTCGGGCGTGGGTAGAGGAGGGTGGGAGGATGGGCCTTGGGGTTTTCAGAAGGTCGGGGAAGAACGACGACGGAAAATGTGCCCAGGTGCTTAGTCAAAGGCGGCGACGCGACGCGAACGGACGTCACAACGCGATGCGCGACACAACACGGCCGAACAGAGCAACCAATTGCGCCGAGCGTGCAGGTCGCGTGTCGGTCGTCTGGCAGAGCAGCGGGTCTGGCCGAGCGAGGAGTCGCGTGCGAAGAGGTCGTGGTGTGGACGGCAGGCTGGGGAGGGCTGAGGGTTCGCTTCGGCGAGAGGAACGGAGCGCATCAAAACCAACGTGCCCGAGCTTCGGCGTGGTTGCCTGCAAGAGTTGAATGAGTCTTCTGGCAGCTACACCCTGCCTCACCGAATCTTTGTCGATCGAACTGTGTCGTATCGCGCCGTCATCCGGGCTGGAGGCACTCATCACGACCTGTCCACCCAAGCGGGGTAGCTGTCTCCACGCGTCACGGGCGCGGGAGCCGGCCTACGCCACACCAGCGCTGTTGCCGAACACCAGATAAGGAAAGCCGGTCATATGTCCAGAGATTCAATTATTTCGTATTTTGCTACCTCAATCTGTGGTTGTTCCGGTAGCAGCTCCGCATCTGTCACATGTTATCAGGTGTGCGCTTCATGGAGAGATCGGGGAGTACTTGCCCATTCAACAGGACCACCCGTTCCCCGGCCCGAGCCCGTTCTCTTCGCAACCAATTTCGTTCCCTTGCTCTTGCATCCTCATCGAAGCCACCCTTTCATCTACAGCCCTTGGACCAGGCAGAGGGGGTGTAGTGCGAGATGTGCGTATGTTGTGAGATAGTGGAGAGACTGTGCGGAAAAGAAAAGGGAATCTGCACAGGACGACGGATGTCCATGCAAATGGAGACGCAGGATTGGACGACTCGGCAAAGCGATCCATCGGGAAAATAAAACCAGGCGGAGCTTGCAAGGGTAGGAAATGAAAAAGGACGAGACGAGAGCGTGCACTACGTGACGGGACCCGGCCCAAAACGACTGACTGGCAGAATCTTACCACTCGCTTTCTTGGTGATCCTTGTGGGACGAGTTGTTTCGAATACAGATATCGTAGCACTTCGCTTCAGACCTTGGTCATCCACGCCGTTTTTAAAACAGAAGCCGAGAAGCGCGGTGCTTCGAAGTATGCACCGACGAACTACGCATTGTCAAGATATTACGCGGGATTCAACGCATGCTCACCTCCGCTGAACCAGGGTTGCCTGCGCGGCAGTGTCCCGCAAAAACGGCATTGTAGACGGCGAGGACCTGATACAGAGCGTAGCAGGTTGTTTCCCTTGAAAGACGCGGGCCCCTACGTAGCGCTAATGCACAACCTCCAACACTGCGTGTCCGCTCTGTGTCCACACCAAACGCTGGCCCGGCGTCGCCTTGATGCGACAGGTCCCACGGCCGACAGAGGTTCGGGAGCGTATGTAAGCAGGACCTGGCGATTGAATCGACGTTGGCAGCGATGGCTAAGCTCCCGCGGCGGGGCGACGTGTGGTCAAATTCCGGGGGCCAGGTGCGAGACGCAGGGCGGTTACGGCGACCAGGAAATGTTGGGCATTCGCGGCACGCGGCGGATGGCACGACCAAAGCTGGCTCGCATCGCCGTGAAAAAGTTTGGTTTAGGTTGTCGACTTGGGTGTGCCGGGCTGGGGCTGGCGTGTCCAGGTCCGAGCGGATAGCGGACTCAAGTTGGGCGGGAGTCTCGCTTGCTTAGTCAAAGGCACCACGTGAAGCCTCAGCATGCCGGTTCCTCGAAAATATTCTCGGGAGCATGCTGCAAGATGAGCTGCTTGGATTTGCATTTAGATATGCGATAACATGGTGCCTGCCTTCTGACTCATGGGACCGGGTGTCTGCGCCCGTGTACATGCTTATCGATGTCAGATCTAAATCTGGGGCACCGCGCAACGGGAAGCAGGAGAGCAAGGGCCCCTGTGACATCTGCTCTCCCGTAGGACCACCTAGCTTAGCACTTGATTGTCACAGCTGAGCTGTCGTCGTGTTAGTCAGGTCAACCATGTCACGCTATACAATGCAGGCACGCACATGTCTTGTGGGGGGGATGAAATCCTATTTCCTATGTTAACGTTGGCCTCGTGCTGAATGCTGGCTTAGCCATCCCCAGCGGATGATCTGCCCGACTGGAATCGTTCAGAGTTGTCCATGACGTACCACAGCTCAAGTCCTGCCGGTACTTTGCTTCATCCGTAACGCAAAAGTCCCAAACGCCTATCTCATGCTTCCTTCCAAGCGACACGCCCGACTTCATCCTCTAGTGTCACCATGCTTCTCGACGGTGGTCCCATTTGCTCTCTTAGGGTCTTCTCTTCACGAACTCCTCCAGGTCAGACCTGGTGGCTACTCCCAGAACGAAGCGCCTGCTCGCATCTGTCACAACCGCGAAGTCCTGCTTCTGGCCCTCCGTACCTTTGCCCTCGAAGAATTCCTCCAGCTCTTCGAGCGGCGTGTCCATCGTGATGACCTTGTAAACGCGGCCTTTCCGGCGGAAGCGCTGCATGGCATCTCTGACAGGGCTTGTGTCCTGGACCTTTCCCTCCTTGAGCTGCTCTTTGAGTCGGGGGATGTTGAGATAGCCGAGCAGCGCACGGTTTTCCGGCGATAGGACGGTCAAGTGCGTGTAGTCACGCTCGAAGGCCGACATGAGCGCGTGCGAGACTGGGTCGGTGGGGGAGACAGACAGAGCAGACGGCGGGTCCAGGTCTTCGACCGTGGCCTATACGCGGTCAGAACCGGATACATCGGTGAGCTTTGCGCATGTCGATTTCTGCCCGTCGGGCGACGTCGGAGGGGAGCACGGCGGGGCGGGTGGGTTGGGAGGGTGCCGGGGCGAAGGCAGCCCCGCCGACAATTTGATGCGCACTTACCCCACGATATTTGTTGGCCCACAGGGACGTCGTCGCAGATGGAACCCCGTTAGGCGTACCGGCGGTCATTGTGCTAGCGGCCATGGTAGCGTTGTTCGAGCTTGTTGCGAGGAGGAAAATCCGTGTTGAGTTTGGAGAAAGAAGCGGAATGACGACGTGGGGCGAGCATGTGAGGCGAGGCTCCCAACTTTCATCACGCAGCGTCTACAGTCCTTTGCGAGCCAAGCACTCCGCAAACACTTCACGTTAATCCTGAGAAGTCTGTTTCTTGATTTCAACTACTGCGCCATTTTGAACGCCGATGCTATGCACAGCAACATCGCATCTAGTACTATCGGTTTCACTCCTTGAACACCAGCTTGAACTTGAACACCGTCATAAACGCCGGGTCTGTGACAGCAACTTCCTCTCCGCTAGCAAGCAAGTCAACGAGCTTCCTCTTGAGATTCGGGCGTGTCTGCTCTTCCAGACTAGGAGGGAATTGCTGGTAAAGCGTCTTGGCTTCCGATCGAATGCTCGGCCTCTTGAACTGCCTACAATTTTGGATCAGCGTGATTACGGCATGTTGTACGGCAAATACCCACGTCTCTGGTCTCTCTGCGAGGCTTTCCAGGAACTCCTCCAACGAGTTCGCCGAGTCGACCTCGAGCGTCCTGGCGAGGTTGCCGCAGATGGGGCAATCGTCCTTTTTCTCATGCTCGAAAGTGTAAGTGTACACGCTGTCGTCGCCAGTGTAGTACATGTAGTTGCCATTGCCGCTTTCGGGCATTCCAAGAGCAGGGTTAGTAGAGGAGGCGATCTTGAAGGCTTCATTGCAGCATGCTGCGGCAACGATAGCATTGGTCGATGCAATCGCAGGGATGATGTTCTTGACCACGCCCTGGGTCATTGAGTACGTGACGCCGGGGATGTTGAATTCCTTGGCACGGACGAGAGCCTTGCTGTAAAGCCAGGTGATATGCTCAGGATCGTCAGTGTCAAGCGTATCGCCCTTGCGCTCTTCCTCCCAAGCTATGATGTGCGCCCATTCAATACAGTGCTGTGGCTGTCTTGGGATGGTAGCAAGTGTACAGAGAGGAACTGCAGCACGCGGGGCGTGCATATCAAGCTGGCACTCGATACAAGACGTCATGGTCGGAAGAATAACGCGTGCCTGGCCCTTGAAGCCTGGAAGCTGACTTAGCAGTGGCCTTCACAGGTGACACGATCGGTCTGGCCAAGGATAGCTTACCTTCGGTACCACCATCGATCAACGGTTTCAGAGAGTCCGGGTTCTCGACGTCGACCATTTCAACAAGCGTGGCATTGATCCACCTGCGCGCCTCGATGCTGTCGAGGCCGCACACTACCATGGCAAACTGCAAGTAGAAATCCTCGTCCTTGTCCTGGATTTTACCACAGTAAGGCGTAATTTTGACGCCCTTGACGCGCCTTTCCACGAAACGAGCGGCCACTTCAGCCTTGTACTTTCCAACGTCGGACTGCCGGAAGAGGAACTGGCGGTTAAGGTTCGAAACGTCAATGGTGTCTACGAAGGTGATTAGGTCATGTGATGGCGGTTGGCGTAAGCCCTGGTTTGGGTCATACCCATATCGATAACGTAGATATCTTTGAACCCTGATAGCGCAAGGTTCTTCAGGATCTCGCAGCCAAGCCCTCCGGCGCCACTACTTGCGGTGAGCACAGCACGAAAGCAATAGAAGACGACAATCATACATGACCCTAATGACACATGAGCACGATCCCTCCCAGACCTCTATCGCGTAATCACTCACAAAACCTTCATAGACGCCAGGACGTCAAGAACAGCTGGGCTAGGTTCGAAATCGGGGTCTGCGAAAGGGCCATGTCGGCTAACGATGTTCTGGAGGTATCTCCTGGAAGCTGTCAGCGAAAAAGGATCAAGAGAGACGCGGCGGACATCTACCATCGCGCTGGAGGTGCGCCCATGCCCGTTGCCATGGTTTGTAGTGACGAGACCAGATTCAGTGCGGGGATGTGACCGGGAGAGGTGACGGTGACGGAGCTGTTTGGGGATCCAATGGCGTCAAAGCTCCACCGGGCTTATCGATAACGGCCGCTGCCTAATCACTCGCCGCGGTTTATCCGCCTGCGCTGTTGCCATCCGTTCCGCCTGCGCCCAACTTCTTCTCTCAACACAGGCTTCGCCGGCCTGTCGCCATGACTTAATGTGCGACAATGGATGACCTACTGACCGCCGTTGGAACCACCAGGCTGAAGCCCACTGTGGCCCTCGAGCAATCTCCCACCACACCTGACCCAGCCGAGGATCTTGGAGCTACCGGTGTAAGCTCTCCGGATCAAGCCTTGGCGGCTCTGCGAGATCAACCTGACGCACAAAAATTACACCGCGTTTTGAGCTACCTCAAGGTGACAGCTAGGAATTTAGGGGATTTCAACATCAGGGTTCCAGGGCCACTTTCCGCACAAATTATCAGCACGCTCGTGAACGACACCATCCCAAATTATTGGGACGTGTGGCCAGCTACGTTCTCGTCTGAGGATGACAAAGGCATCCTCATTGAGTGCCTAAAGAGCGTCAGTGGCCTTGGTGCCATAGTTGCACGCCTGAAAGGCCTGGTCCAGGACTTTCATCAGAAGCAGAGGCAGTCGGGCGGAAACTCTGATAGCGCTGAGCAGCAAATCAAAGTACTTTCTGATACTTTGGCCAATCTCCTACAAGAAAGCGTTATTTTAGATCTGTGGAGGGTCATCCAAGACTTTACAAACGCTCCCACGCAGAGACAGATCCTCTGGCGCGAACTTGTTTCTCTTCTCGCGGCTGGAAGGATTGTGTCCGTTGCGGCTCAGGCAACGGATTTGCTGAAGAGTACGACAAGTGCCCAGTCTGATCCTTGGTATGCTTCTGGGTCAAACTTCGCACTGTGGATTGGACGTTCGACGGCTCTTTTTGTCAGTAATGCCACAGATTCAACTGGATCAGATGGTGCACTTCTTTTGGGGAAGTCCCTAACGCTTGGGTATCCAGGTGAGCTCTCACGCCTTTGGATATACATCATGTAGCTAATTTCCAGATAATGTTTTGTGGGAGTTCTTGTCACGATTCCCTCTCCACGATGCGACCAAGCTTCCATTATTGCAGCAAACTATCCGAAAGCTTCGTGCACACGAGCAAAGACAGGTCCTCTTTACTCTTTTAAACGTCCTGTCGAGCAAACTCCTCGCGGTTCGGGATGAAAACCTTAAAGAGACATCGAGAGCCATTTCAGCTTCTGTGGCGTTCCTACAGGCCGTCACGAACAGCAACGATACCTTGAAAGAAAGTCTCACCCAATGGCTCACAAACCCAACGGGCGGGTGTGCAAACGTGTCATTCGGCGCGAGACGTGTTGCCGTAGCCGCCCTGCAATCAGATGAAGGTGAGATATCCTCTCACTATTGAAGCAAGTGCAACACTAAGAAGCTGTAGACAGGATGTGTAAGGTCTTAGAGAGGAGTATGGAGCAGTTTGGGGATGAGCTCTTTATCAGGCACACGCCGATCCTACAGCAAGAAGGTGACTACCTGCGTTGGTGGCAAAAGGCAATTACTGACGCAGCATAGCTTTGGCTCAAATCCTCCTCATGTCGTCAGGTTATATTCACCGCATGCAACCGATGCTCCTATTCACCCTAGCACGGTCAAGCGTACAAATGCGTGGCACCTCGAACCGTTTGGGGTCTTCCTCCCTGCGCGCCCGCTTCCTGGGAATGATCGTTGCTGCCGCCATATCTGAGCTCGTAGACAAGCCAGAGACCCAGCTCAACTTCGGCATCCCTGATACTGAATCCGAAGAAGCAGGTTGGTTCAAACAACTTCCGCAATTGAATGATTCGATTGGCAGCGTCGAGGACTTTGAGCAAGTGGTGGCTGAGCGGACGACTCCGATCACCAAGCATTCACGTCCCCAATTGCAGGAAAAGAAAAAGGCTGGACATTCCTCGGAGAAACCGAAGAAGGGGCATGCGGCAGCAGGACCGAAAATCATCGAGATCATGAGTGACTCAGACGAGGACGAAGATCTCGTGCCTTATGCGAAACCAGACTCTGATCCAGAAGACGACTCGGAAGACCCAACCCAGGTCACCAGAAATAGACCGACAGCACCGGTCTACATACGTGACCTACTGGCGGGTCTTCGAGAAAGTGAGGACTACGATCGCCACCAGCTTGCGCTGTCGACCGCAGCCAATCTCATTCGACGAAAGACAGGCTTCGGTAAAGAGGTCAAGGATAACCTTGAAGAGCTTGCTTCCGTCTTAATTGGCCTGAATGATCAGTTTGACCTGGAAAACTTCCAAGATATGCGCCAGCAGGCTTTGATTGCTGTTGCGGTTGCCGAGCCAACACAAATGGGGCCATACTTGGTAAGATGCTTTTACGCTGGCGATTATTCAATCAGCCAACGTACCAGTATACTTGCCGCCATCGGTCTTGGCGCACGAGAGATGGCCGGATTCAAGGAGAGTGTGGACGAGTCAGATTCAAGGCCGCGCGTGGACCAGAGCTTTCCCTCGAAAATGCTTCCTGGGAAGTTGCACAGCATCTATTCGACCGAAGGTAATGCGGTTGACGCCATTACAAACAAGCTGAAGCATACCATGATCTCGCCTCTGGCACTTGACGCTGCCGATAAAGCAGCTGGGCCCAATGCACTCAAAGTGCGCACCTTCTCGTCCCGCATGGAGGTGGAGAAGAAACGTAGAATCATCACAAATGAGCTCGCAAAGGTCGTGGCACAGAGCTTTTTCTTCCCGCTCACTGCTGGCTGGTGGACACACTCAAGAGCACTGTAAGTGCACATTCATGGACGCGCTGGCCGCTGATGCTGATTTTCATCAGGGGCACAAGTAACATCTACTACTCAGCTACGATTCTGCCCCTCTTTCTTAAGACACTTGCCATACTCCTGCATTCCTCTGGGTCGTCCACCCTCTCTCTTCCACAGATGACTTCGGAACTATGGGATTTGCTGCTTGCAGTCAGAGCGCCCGCTCTCTCAGACTCTGCCATCCTTGAGGGAGTTCTCTTTGCTTTGCTAATGCTGTTGGAGGTGAATGAGAACCAGCAACGTCTTGTACACGAAAACGGCAGAGAGCTTCTGGAAACACAGGAATGGGCAAAGATGGTGTTTGATCGCACTGGCGGAGGAAGTGGTGAGGAGGAGCGGGTCAGGACGCTTGCGGCGGGAGTACTCGTAAAGTGCGGGGAAGTGGTTGAAAAATACCAAGGGTCGTTGATGGGCGACATGATGGATTTTTAGGTCTGGTCTGCGATGCATAGCTGCACCAAAATTTGCCCAGAGAAGTCTTAGTCAGACCCCCGGAACAAATGAAAAGGGCGCTCGAGCCATCCAGATGAACGCTTTGACTGGACATGTGTGTTAATTCACTGCTGCGCTGCGCTCGCGGCGTCCGACATTGTGAACACGCCTAAAGTGGTTTAGCGCAGTCTTGGCGCGTCACGGCTCGGCGGTGCAGCAGAATACCGCCGCCCGCCGTTCCTCAGCGCCGCTCGTCGACAACTTCCTGCTCCCACCCCCGCTCTGCTGCTTTGGACAGACGCACCTACATGTCGGTCGCATAAACCGCCCACCCGGTCGAAGCGCACACTGGATTATCGTCGCCCATAGCCCGTGAAGATGTCCGACGGTAAGCTGAACGCGCTCAACGTCACCAGCAAAGCTAACGCCCGTACAGCCGACTTCGAGACCATCAAGCGCCTGCAGCAGGAGCGCAACGCGGCAGCTGCAGGGAAGAAAGGTTCAAAGACTTTCGACCCGGCTAACCAGAGGACTGACAACTCAACGAAGGCCTCCCTGACGGAAAGCTTTGATACCGACCTGTATGAACGCAATGGCGGCAACAAATACGACGGCTACCTCGCCTCCATTCCCGCCAACGACGATGAGGACATGGACGATGCCGACGACGGACGCCGCCTGGTCGGCCAGTACACTGCCACCCGTGCCCAGATGGACGAGTTCGCCACGGGAGACGGCATGGAGGAGGACATTCTGATGGATCGCGAGAAGCAGGCCCAGATCCAGTCCCGCGAAACCGACTACCAGCGACGTCGCTTCGAGCGTGGCACTGGCGACGAGGAGGGAATGAGCTACAAGGATATCATGAAGAAGCGTGAGCGCGAGCGGGAAGAGCGCGAGAAGCAGGAGAAGAAGGCGAGGGGCGAGGATGCCGACGGGCACCAAGCTACGCTCAAGGATGGCGGCGATAAGACACCTACGGGTGGCGACAAGACGCCTACGGAGAATGGTGCCAACGGCGCCGCGGCTAGCCGCAAGCGTAAGAAGCGCTGGGACGTCTCGTCAGAGGACACCGCAACTAACGGTACCAACGGTGCCGTCGAGTCCGAACCCAAGAAGCGCTCCAGGTGGGACCAGACCCCTTCAGTTCCTGTTCCCGGCGCCTCGGATGCTACTTCGAGGAAGAAGTCAAGGTGGGACCAGGCACCGGCTTTGGGTGCGACGCCTGCCCCCGGTGCCGCTGGCCTTGCCACACCCATCCACCCGTCCCAAAGTGGCCAGGCTCTCTCCTTTGGCACGGATATCTCTGGCCGCAATGCCCCTATCTCCGATGAAGAGCTCGACGAGTTACTGCCGGGTGAGGACCAGGGCTACAGAATCCTCACGCCGCCACCTGGCTATGAGCCCGTTCGCGCCCCCGCAAAGAAGGTGGCAGCCACTCCCGCACCTACCGCCAGTCTGGCTGGTGGCTTCATGATGCAAGAGCCCGAAAATGCTCGAGCCCTTGGCAAACAGCTTCCGAACGAGATTCCCGGTGTTGGTGAATTGCAGTTCTTCAAGAATGAGGACATGCAATACTTTGGCAAGCTTATGGATGGTCAGAACGAGGAGGAGCTGAGCGTGGATGAGATGAAGGAGCGCAAAATCATGCGCCTGTTGCTCAAGGTCAAGAACGGTACCCCGCCTATGCGTAAGACTGCGCTTCGACAACTCACCGACAACGCCCGCAACTTCGGAGCTGGACCGTTGTTCAACCAGATCCTCCCCCTGCTCATGGAGAGGACACTCGAAGACCAGGAACGCCATCTTCTCGTCAAAGTCATTGACCGCGTTCTTTACAAGCTTGACGACATGGTCCGGCCTTATGTCCACAAGATTCTTGTTGTCATTGAGCCGCTTCTCATCGACCAAGATTACTACGCCCGTGTTGAGGGTCGCGAGATCATCTCCAACCTCGCCAAGGCTGCTGGTCTTGCTCACATGATCAGTACGATGAGACCTGATATCGACCATCCCGACGAGTATGTCCGCAATACCACTGCGCGTGCCTTCGCGGTTGTTGCATCGGCTTTGGGTATTCCTGCACTGCTTCCCTTCCTGCGGGCCGTTTGTCGAAGCAAGAAGTCGTGGCAAGCTCGTCACACTGGAGTCAAGATTGTCCAGCAAATTCCCATTCTCATGGGCTGTGCTATTCTACCTCATTTGAAAGGTCTCGTTGACTGCATTGGCGACAACCTGAATGACGAGCAAACCAAGGTGCGAACTGTCACGGCTCTGGCAATTGCTGCTCTGGCAGAGGCCGCAAACCCCTACGGTATTGAGAGCTTCGACGACATTCTGAACCCACTCTGGACTGGAGCTCGCAAGCAGCGAGGCAAGGGTCTTGCTGGCTTCCTAAAGGCCGTTGGTTACATCATCCCCCTGATGGACGAGGAGTACGCCAACTACTACACCAGTCAAATCATGGAGATTTTGCTGCGCGAGTTCTCTTCGCCCGACGAGGAGATGAAAAAGGTCGTTCTCAAGGTCATCTCCCAGTGTGCCAGCACAGAGGGCGTTACTGCCGGTTACCTAAAGGAGAGTGTCCTGGATGACTTTTTCAAGAGCTTCTGGGTCCGCCGCATGGCTTTGGACAAGCGTAATTACCGACAGGTTGTGGAGACGACTGTTGACCTTGGCCAGAAGGTGGGTGTCAGCGAGATTGTGGAGCGCATTGTCGTCAACCTCAAGGATGAGAGCGAGCCCTACCGCAAGATGACGGTCGAGACGCTGGAGAAGGTCATTGCCAGTCTTGGAGCTGCCGACATTGGTGAAAGGTTGGAGGAGCGCCTCGTCGACGGTATCCTGCACGCGTTCCAGGAGCAGAGTATCGAAGATATTGTCATGCTCAATGGCTTCGGTACCGTCGTCAACGCTCTTGGTACCCGATGCAAGCCTTACCTCCCCCAGATCGTCAGTACTATCCTCTGGAGACTGAACAACAAGTCTGCCACGGTCAGACAACAAGCCGCCGATTTGGTTTCCCGCATAGCGCTCGTCATGAAGCAGTGCGGAGAAGATGCGCTGATGGGAAAGCTCGGTACGGTGCTATACGAATATCTCGGAGAGGAGTATCCCGAGGTGCTTGGTTCGATCCTGGGCGCTCTCAGGTCCATCGTCACGGTGGTGGGCATCAACCAGATGCAACCGCCTATCAAGGATCTTCTTCCCCGTCTTACTCCCATCCTTCGCAATCGGCACGAAAAGGTGCAGGAGAACACGATTGATCTCGTTGGACGTATCGCCGATCGCGGTCCTGAGAGTGTCAACGCTCGTGAGTGGATGAGAATTTGCTTCGAGCTTCTGGACATGCTGAAAGCCCACAAGAAGGGCATTCGTCGCGCAGCTAACAACACGTTTGGCTTCATTGCCAAGGCCATCGGCCCGCAGGATGTCCTTGCTACCCTCCTTAACAACCTCAGGGTGCAGGAACGCCAGTCCCGTGTCTGCACGGCCGTCGCCATTGGTATCGTGGCCGAAACCTGTGCACCCTTCACGGTTCTCCCGGCGCTGATGAACGAGTACCGAGTTCCTGAGCTCAACGTCCAGAACGGTGTGTTGAAGTCGCTCTCCTTCCTCTTCGAGTACATCGGCGAGATGGCCAAGGACTACGTCTACGCCGTCACGCCGCTGCTCGAAGACGCCCTCATCGATCGTGACCAGGTCCACCGTCAGACAGCCGCGTCGGTCGTCAAGCACGTCGCTCTGGGCGTCGTGGGTCTGGGCTGCGAGGATGCCATGGTGCACCTCCTGAACCTACTCTACCCCAACATCTTCGAGACCAGCCCTCACGTCATCGACCGTATCATCGAGGCCATCGAGGCGGTCCGCGTCGCCGTCGGCACGGGCGTGGTCATGAACTACGTCTGGGCCGGCCTCTTCCACCCCGCCCGCAAGGTGCGCCAGCCGTACTGGCGCCTGTACAACGATGCGTACGTCCACTCGGCCGACGCCATGGTGCCGTACTACCCCGACATGGGCGACCCAAACACGGTCAGGCACGAGTTGAACATCATCCTCTAGGCTGCATCTTCTCCCTCAAGAGGGCGACGAGTCGTGGCGCAGAGCTTCTTTCCCCTCTTTTTCTCATATTCACAGCGTGGGTAACTTCGGCGAAATCGAGTGGCCAGGCTTTTTCCTTTCCTCTCAGCAGTTAATCATCGGTACATTGGGCTTTATTTTTTTTCTCTGTGCCTTTCTACGGGTATATGGAGAGGGCTGTTTTTTTATTTTTCTATCTTTTGGCTCGTGCTGATATGAAGTTGGGAAAGTGGGGGTTTTTTCCTTGTTTCCAATCGGAGACTGCGAGCGAGTTGTGTGCGGCGGCAAAAAGAAAAAAACGGGATAGCGACGGTTTATCTTCATTTGTTCACGGGATCGAGGGAGATGTGGTGGATAGTGGAAATGCGATAGAGGTTATCGTGATCGTGACGATGCACTTGGCCTTTTTGAGTGTGAGTGGCTGCAGTGATGTGTGATGATCCCAGTCAGCGTTGCGAGATCGAGCCAAATTCACATCCCAGTATTGCTTGACGTATTTTATTTCTCGGAATAGGCTGTCTTCAACCTGTTTCTTGAAGTTGACCTTTGTGACTATTACGCTTCGACGATGATGAGTGAGATCCGCGCACGAATATCAAGATGATAAGAGGATAATGATGTGAGTACCTACGAAAGACGGTGAGGATTCCAGTGGGAAAATGAAGAAGGCTGACGCGTAGACCGTGTGCCTCCAAAGAAACTGCACTGTTCCTCCGCGCTTTTGTGCTTTGAAAACAGGAAGAAGCCTGCCTCGAGGATGGAAACCAAAACCATGACCTCGAAGAGGATCTATCATGAAAGAATTCTACCGCTGGAAAGGAAGAAATATACCACCAGGAGTTCTGTTATACGGGAGCTGGCTCAGAACAAAATAGTCTGAAGCAGCAGAAGCAGAACCCTGATCGTTATACAGGGGCTTTTAAGTCTCCGGCTGATAACGCCAATTCGACGACGTGGGAATGATAGTAATAGTGCACATATGCACACGAATGTATATATAAGATCTTCGGGATTACCCGAGTAGCTGGGATTCGCTACCGGATATCTGGCTTGTGGGGAAGCGATATCTGGCACATAAGCGAAGTGGGTGGGGAAAAAACTGGAAGACAGAAATAAAACCCATCGATTTAAAGGTTAGAAAAGAGGAACAAAAGCAAACGAAAAAAGGTGGCCAACGGCCAGGGAATGACCAGCTCACCAAAGAGTATATATATGTATGCAGGCCACTTCCGAAACGACACGCATATTCTTCATGCTGCTTACGCACATGTATGTGGGTACCCGCCGCAACGGTTCCCACTCGGGCCGCATACCCAGAACAGAGAACATGCATGCACCACACCCTCCGACACTCATTCATATTACTACCACCAAGACCACCACCAATTATCACATCATCTTCTACGTGTGTATTGTTAAGCTTACGCGGCGTACGTGGTGCATATCCCGACGCCTTCATATCTCATCATCGTCCCAGCTCCCCACATTAAGCGCGCGCACCTCGCGCAGCGGCGCCGTCTCTCCTCCCGCCACGCTGCCCCCTCTCCCCCCCCGTTGCTGACACGCATACATCCATACCGTACCATCCCACGCACCCACGCACCCACGCACCCACCCACATTTCCCCCGCGGACGTATCCTCCCCCCCTCCTCCTCCTTTTTATTATTATTATCATCATTACCATCACCATCACTCAAAAGCCGTGCCGGCCCAACCAATCGGAAATGACGGCGAAGCCGGCGGTCGCGTTGTAATGGGCCGTCAGGCCGTGGCCGGTGCGCGGCTGGACGTAGGCCAGGAAGTCGGCGTCGGCGACGTTGGGGAACGACTTTTGCACCCGGGCGGGGATGGACGCCACCGCGGCGTCGCCCGTCTCCAGGCAGTCGCCGCCGCAGAAGGGGAGGTCGGCGTCTAGTGTGTGTGCTGTTGCGTCAGCAGGAGGAAAGAAAAAAAAAATAGAGTTGAAGTCACGTCGTCGCGCGCGCGCGCTACCTAGGTAGCTTGATGTCTGATTGATTCGAGAGAGA